CCCCCCCCCGAAACCCGCTTTCTGGGACTGGACTGCAACTCTTCGTCATTCCCACCCCCGGTTGAATTTGACCTTGCATTGGCCTTGCATCGTCTTGCCTTGTTCTGTTTTGCCTCTTACAACCCGCACTTTCGCTTTGAGTTGAGGTCAACCATTGATTGTTCGCTCTCTTTTTGCCCTCGGAACATACATACATTTTCCGTCTTTTCTTTCTCTTTAAACCACGACTACTAATACGTACCCCCGGGCTTTTTCATCCACACTTCATACTTTCTGCTGTGCACTCTTCCTTCTATCCTGACTCGAGGTAGTTCACACAACCAACTCTTCACCCTACGGCTTTTCTTTTTTTAATTGCAATCATGTGCAATTAGTTGGAGCAAACATCCGTCTCTTCCCTTCGCCCTGCCTGTTTCTCGACTACAGGCAGCCTTGCGCCTCCTTCTCGCTCTTACGTCTTTGCTTCGACGAGGAGCAAATTCTACCTGCCAACAATGAGTCCGTCGAGTCCTTCGTCCTTCGTCCCTAACGGAGAAAACTCAACACTCTCGTCGCCGCTCTCCACCCTTTCTAAAACACCATCCGCGCCTTCGTCGCCCACCATGTCCGACCCTACGAAACGCTATCCCTCACCCTCAACAACCATCTCTGGCCCTTATTCACCCGCTAAGATGTCCGACCTCCCGTCCGAAGACGAAATTGTCGCTAAACCAATCGATGCCTCTTCTCAAGGCCCTCCGCCTGCCAAAAAGCGCCGAGTCTCCCCACCAAAAGAACGTACAACCGAGTACTTGGATCTTATGAAGTCACATAATGATTGGACCGCTGAGGATGAACGTAACCAGCAAAGGCTCATCGACACATTGAGCAAAAAGAAGAAGATTGTTGTCATTGCTGGCGCGGGTATTTCGGTTTCGGCTGGAATTCCAGACTTTCGGTCGTCCACTGGCTTATTCGCAAGCGTGAAAACCCAACACAACCTAAAAGGCTCCGGTAAACAGTTGTTCGACGCTTCAGTCTACAAACACGACGACACCACCGAATCCTTTCACACCATGGTCAGAGAAATGGCTGCAATGACCAAATCTGCCCAACCTACACCGTTTCACCACTTACTAGCATCCTTGGCCAATGAGGGCCGGTTATTACGCCTCTACTCGCAGAACATCGATTGTATTGACACATCAATGGAGCCCTTGAAGACTGAAGTGCCTCTCCCCCCTAAGGCCCCCTGGCCTACCACTGTTCAGCTACATGGTGGCCTCCAAAAAATGGTTTGCACCAAATGCAGCAGTCTCCAGGATTTTGATGGCGAGGTTTTCAATGGTCCAAAGGCTCCCCTATGCCCAACATGCAAAGATCTTGACGAAGTCCGAACAGCTCATGCGGGAAAACGAAGCCATGGCATTGGAAGATTACGACCGCGATTTGTGCTTTATAACGAATACAACCCCGACGAGGAAGCTATCGGAAACGTTTCTAGCGCAGATCTCAAGGCGCGCCCTGATGCTGTTGTGGTCGTCGGTACCACTCTCAAGGTCCCTGGAACCCGCAGACTCGTTAGGGAAATGTGCCAAGTCACACGAGGACGAAAAAATGGTATGGCTATTTGGATCAATGTGGACGACGAGCCCAAGGGGGTTGACTTGAAGAACTGCTGGGATATTGTGGTGCGATCGAAATGCGACGAAGTCGCTCGTGTTGCCAACCTTACGCCGTATGACTTCGACATAGGCAACAATTTCGAGCTTACTCAGGATGAAGATCTCAAATTGGAAGACCGTGTTGCTAACAACAAGACGACTTTTGAGATCAGCATTCCAGCAAGCTCTCCCTCAGCGGACGAGGACGTTGAAGAGCAGGCCACGGCCAAACCAAAACAAATTGAACAGGCCCAAGGAATCCCTACTCCGAATGCAAGCCCTAAAATCTCAGCAGCCAAAAAGCCTGCAAAGAAACAGAGCACGCTTTCTTTCAGTGGGCAATCATCGGCACCTGCTACGTCAGCCCCCAAGCCACGCAAACGCGGGAGAAAGCCTGCTCAACCCAAACCCGTCGCCCCAGCAGTTGAACTTTTCAAGACGGTCAAAAATGTTGCAAACCAGGACAAGGCGAAGAAGCCTGCATCACGCGTCCCCGCAAAGCGAAAAACGCGTGCTTCAGATGAAAATTCTACTCTCACACAGTCAAAGGCCAAGAATGCCTCTACTAGACCTTCATCTCCCGTTACAACGAAGAAAGTTGACACAATTTCTCCAAAGTCTGTTCCATCAGGCATGCGGCTCCTCATCGATTAGAGCTTTGCGAAGCCAGAGCTGAACCATAAAGTATAGGAAGGAATCGGGTGGTTAGTATCTTGTTATATTATCTTTAATTGGCATTTCCGGAGTACGGGGTTGGGTTATACCAGGTCATGACATTCGAACTGTCACTGCGGGCGGACAGTCAGAACGTGTGCAATTCTAAGGGAGCATATTTGCTTTTCTGGAGGAGAATTCTGTTATACCAAAAGGTCGAGGCAAAGGGTGCCCGGTTCGGCCTGTCGGAATAGAGGCGTTATAGGAAGACGCCCTGTAGTCACACAGATGGCTTGGGCCGGTTATATTATAGAGGCGACAATAGATTCGCTTAGATTCAAATGTTCAGCGTATTATGTCACACATGCGACATGTTTCTCGAAGTGTCATAACGAGAATTCAAAGTTGTATTCATGGGTATCATATCCTTAGAGCGCCAGCCCCCATTGTTCATTCATTGCCACGAGCATAATGTCCTCCAAAATTAAAATCACAGCCGTAATTGAAAATGAGTTACTGAACGTGCACCTCGATAGTATCATGCTCTTCGATCTCGGCCTGTTCCATCTCGATGTGCTCTTCAAGGCGATCGCCATCCCACCAAAGGGACACCTCCTTATCGGGACCGATTTGGCGTTGTTTGCGGAAGACGGCGATCAGGGTGTCAACAGTTGTTTCTGGCATGACCTTACACTCAAGCGGCTGGATATCTCGAGCCTTGAGCGTGATTATAAATCTCTCCCTTTCCTCCTGCTGGGGCTCTTCCTCGTCAGAGAGTTCACCTGCATCCCGTCTGCGTTGCAGCTCCTCGTTCTGCTCCATTTCCTGGAAAAGCTCAGGGGTCCAGGCCTCGATATGTACCACAGACCGGTTGTTGCTGAATCCCGCAGAGCCAAGACCGTCAGCTTCCACCCGTCCATTACCACAAGGTCGAATTCCCAAACCATTCAGGGTTGAAGTATTGTAAATTTTGGTTCTACGCCACGTGAGGATAATGTCATCGGCATTGAGTTGCAGACCCTTTTTTCGCTGGTGCGATACCCATGCGTTGCGTGCAACACGGAGTTGTTTGTCGAACAAAAATCTGGCCACCAAGGTGCCAGAATTGGGTATACTACTGGTAATCATGACGCTGATAGACTCCTTCTTTGGCGATGCATTCGTGTCGGGGGACTGTAAAGCTTGCTGGCGGGCACGATTCTCCTGAGCTTTTCGAATGTATTCCGCAAATTCATCATCCTCTTCTGCAACCACTGGTGGTGTAGTCTCCTTGAGGAACTTTGTAGAGGCCTCGATGCTGCTACTCCGTCGCTTTATCGGTTGGGTTGGTCTCACCTCGTCATCCGAGTCTGAATCGATTGTGATGGACTGCACGACTTGGTTTTGTGCCGACGTGGGCTCTGGCCTTCGGCTTCTGATCGGGCTTGGGGAACTAGGCTGTGGGCGCGCTCTTGGGGTTGGCGATGCATCGGGGAAAGGGTCGTGTTCATCGTCGTCGTCGAGTTGCGCACTTAGCATCGGCTTCTGAGTCGAGTTTGAGTCGAGTCTTGATCGCTTGGAGGGAGGAGGAGTTACGAGTTCACTGGCTTGGTCAGAGGGTGGTCCTAAGTTGTGAAGTAGAGATGCGAACCTGGTCTGATCATGTCCATCTTGTGTCGAAGCCGGCTCAGCAATGGGAGTCTCGTTATTTAGTTGAGCAGATGAAGGGCCTTCGTGGGCGTTGCTGGGTTCACCTTGACTGGGGATTTCGGAGTCTTTAGCATCTTCAGAATCATCGCGCGTTCGTTTCTCTCCCGTAATCTGGAGTCGTCGACGCTCTTCCTCCTCCTCAGCGGCGCGACGTTTCTTCAAGCGTCGCTCCAGGTCAGCGGCCATAATAGGAGCCATCTCTTTTCGACGGCGAAAGAGAGCTAGACCGTCATCGTCACTTTCCTTTGCCTCTTCTGGCTGCGACGGCTTCGGGGCAGCCTTGCGCAGCGCAGTAGGCTTGAAAGGAAGTTTCTTCATGTTTGCGTCAAATCCCTGGTTAGCTTGCACGAGATGCGAAAAGTAGCAAGTCTGAAATCTTGTTTTATGGTTGATGAATCACTGAAGGATGCACTTTGTGCGACACAAGGTAGTTGCGTTGGTGGTTAGGTTTAAGTAAGAACAAAGTGAACCGCAGGCGCGATGCACTCAACGCGCTGTCAGGGTGTTGAGCAACCCGACTGTTAAAAGCAGGTAAGACAAAATAGTTCGGTCGCTTTATGTGAGGTTAAGCGGCACTTAAACTCATTTATTTCTTGCAGGGGATATGAGTGGGTTTGTGGAGGTTACTAGGAGAGGAAATAGCAACTCCGGGCAGGTTGAATCGCTAAAATACCCCTCGCTACGTGCCGCTGTAACGGGTTGTTAGGCGACCTCACAGCGGACGAAGGATTCCACAGTGCGACTAAGCGCGCTTGTGGTCCAGCCTTAACAGCGCAACGAGGCATCAATCTTTCTGACTACACCACCAAACAACCAACCCCACAAGCTTGAGCTCCATTATCATCAACCACCAAACGACCCAACCTCTCCCACCACTCAAACCTTACTGAACCAACCTCCACTGCCACCATGGAGAACGGCAACAACATTTCCCAGGGCGAGGGCAAGGACCCTTCAAGCTTCCTCAGCGACATCATCGGCAACCCTGTCACTGTCAAGCTCAACTCGGGCGTCGTCTACAAGGGTAAGTCTTTGGTCATGATGCAGCCCGACTTACGGCAGAGGATCGCGATAGACAAGGAGATCCTCACTGACATATATAGGCGAGCTTCAATCGGTGGATGGCTACATGAACATTGCGTTGGAAAAGACAGCAGAGTATGTCAACGGTCAGAAGCGCAGGGAATACGGTGACGCTTTTGTGAGAGGAAACAACGGTAAGTGACAACTGACACGTTTTCCTCCTGTTGTATCTCAAACTAACGAATTCTTACAGTCATGTATATCTCAGCAGACTCATGAAAGTTTGATGCATAATGAAAATTCATCTTTATCTTGCCTAAACTCATGGCAAAACTAATCACTTTAAACTATCTAATTCAAGGACCATCTAGTCGTGACACCCATACAATGAAAGTGCATCCATGAAGTTCAATCTCACCTTTATCGTTGAACTCGCCGCCACCCTCTTTCACGATCTTATCATACTTCTCTCTGAAGAGTCGACGCTCCTCGCCTTCCCGGAGTACATTCCAGCTGAGGGTGTTAAATCTATCCCACAAGGCCTCGGGTGTTAACCAAACCGACCACGGAACCTTGTCGGTTTCTATGGGTGTCGAGAAAAAGGGCTTTTCAGCCTTGGCCTGTCGTTCGAAAACCTGCATCCAGACCTGGTGTCGGAAACGGGGCTCGTTGTCCGCTTTTTCATTGAAGTTTAGATCCAGCAACTCTTTCTCCCAGCCCGTGGGGGAAGGCCAACCTTCAGGCTGGTTGTCTAGGGCCACAGTCAGATTGGGAAATGTCAACTAGGAGATGCCTGTTTCTGGGAGGCACTTACATGAGTCGACATTCCAGATCAATCCAAGTTTGGTACCAGGCTTGAGAACTCTATGGATTTCTTGGAGCGATTCTTCTTTGGCGAACCTTGGGCTTGGTTAGATCATATCCTTTATCTAGGAGCCAACGACTTACCAGTGAAATGCCTTATTGACGTCAGTTTCAGTTCTTGCTAATCGAGCTATCTCATCAGTCGAGATGTCAAGCCACATATATATCTTACCTGAGCTATGGTACATCCATCCGCCCACCCGTCACCCACGTGCTTCATATCAGTCGCTGTTCCAGGCCGAACGTCCACTTTAGGGAGCTGCTTGGCTGCAAGGTTGTTCCTCATAGAATCCAGTGGCTCTACAGCCACGATCTCGTAGCTCTCTGGTCTAGCAGCTAGGAGCTCGGTGAACTTGCCAGTGCCGGCTGCGAGATCTATAATTTTGCCGCCTGACTGGCCTTCGAGCCCAAGACGTCCAAGCATATTGGTGACAGCAGCAGGAGGGTAAGAGGGCCGATGCGTGTCATAGAATTGGGCATCATCGAACCCCCTAGTTGCGATATCATGTATAGCGTGGGAAGTCATTGTAGTGACGCAACCCCTCGAGTTATTTGGTTAAGTTGCTGTAGTTTTCGTTGGTTTAGCTGGCAACCAAGCGAACGCAGGGAATGAAAACGAAATAAATCCATATTAAAAGAGTCATCTATGTATTTATACATGAACAGCCATTTGCCTTCCCGCGGGAGACCCGTTTGAATGTTGCTTCTCCAATGTTTGTATCAACGAATGGCGTTTAGATCTGGCTGCCGACTTGGGGAAATACTCCAAATCGGGAACAGTCCGACGGATTTACGACGGAAACCCGATGGCTTGAATGCTGTCGCAATGTGTAATTCAGTCGAATTGTTGATCTTTAGCAGTTACATGACTTGACTTGTCGGGTGGTTTGTGGTCCGGTATGTTCGTTATTGAGGTAATGTCATCATCCTGTTGTGAAACGCCTAAGCATACTGAGCGAGTCGGCGAGTCCTCTGGTTTGAATGTCGAGGGCGCGCACTCTGAAGACATAAGTTCGATCATCTTTCCTTTCCCTTTTGATATTCTTATACGTCGGCCGACGAATGTAGATGAAGGTGTGATTTGGCAGGATTCGGGCGAGTTAGGCCGTGAGATCCAAATGCCTTCCACCTCAATACCACTCTGTAACGCACGAATGCCGAAGGGGATCTCAGGAGTTCGCATATTGGCGATACCGCAGTATGACATGAGAGATAGCCTTGCTCGCTTCTCTTCGTCTATGATTTCGTGGCGGCGCATCGAGCGATTGGACCACCACAGCTTGATAAGTCCCGCGATGAAGACAAGAACGATACAACAACCGAGAACCTTGGAGTATATAGTCAGCTAAAACTTCACATATGATTAAGGAGCGATGCAACATGATTAGGCATTGGTATTGGCGATGCACACTTACAAAAGTCATCTCCTGCCAAAGATCCCAGCTTATAAAGAAGACACCCATGACGGGCCAAAAGAGGTACGGACGGTAACAGCAAGGAAGTTCTAAAGAAAGGAAAAGAGAGGAAAGACGATGCTTCGACTTTTCAAAAAACATTCGGTTGAATCTGATGTTTAAGGCACCAAAATTGTAGCATGGCAATCCAGGTTCCAAAAATGAGCGGCCGATGAGAGAAGAATAGACGCAGGGGAAACAGAAACGAAACCAACAAACAGCAAGCCTCATGATTCAGTCTTGAGATCAAGGCACGTGGTATTCTTTCTTGCTCTTTAAAATACAGGTACGATGAATATGCTGGTAGTTTCTTCCCTCCTTGATTCGGTGGCTCGTTTGCTGGCAGGTGCGAGACGTCCATTGGCAGTGTCACTCGGGAAATAATATTGACAGATCGGTAGAGCAATTACTTCCTTGGCTTGGCGTACACTAAACGAGCGTTTCTATTCATATTATAAGTGAAATGAAACATGCCATCCGATAATAAGGTACTGCGGCTGCAAACGGGAAACGTCCTCCGCATGGAAGATGCATGTCGATACGAGATTAGAGACGCGAACCTGCATAAGACATGGAAGAGTTCCTTGGCTGGCGAACAGTGGCTTGAACTAATCGCAAGTTTATTACACAAGGACAAGACTATCTATCCAATCATGGCAATCGATGTTGTTTGCCTCCTATGGGTTGGATGTGGAAGCAAGGACATAGTATTCGGCAATGATCCAAACTCGCGACAACATTCCAAGAACTCAATAGAGTTAGAACTACATGAAGAGAACACCATCCAACAAAAGATGTGCATAATATAGATACATCGATTCTTGACAGTTCTCAAGTATATGGCTTTAGGTCAGTCGGTCGTTGCTTGACTTCAGGACGAGTGCTATTCCAGCCAATCAAACACAAAACTACCAGGGTTGAACCACCAAACAGAAATAACAGAAAGTCAAAGCAAACAGCTTGCTAAACTATACTCTAGTAATATGAACATGTCGAAACATGTTTCGGGTAGCGACACATCCCGACTTAGTAAATGGACGTGCTGTGATTTTGGTGCGACGAGACGAGCCGTTATGGTGTCTTTCTTGAGTCATGAAGACGTCTTCTACCAAATATGTCCTGGTGAAAGACAAATGAAAAAGAAAAAAAAAAGCTTGATAAAATTTAGCCATCCAATCGTAGATTCCCGAATCATGCTACTGCGCCCATCGGCGTCGGCATTTTGGAAAGCCGGGACTTGAATGTCGGCCGGTGGGTGTTAGTGGGACTCCGACACAAGACCGGATCGGCGGGTCGGACCCTTTCTGGGACAACTTTTTCTGAGAATCGATCCACTTTCTTCGGATATCCCGGACAGTAAGAAGAATAAGGGCATCTGTGGTTGACTTCTTACCGCCTACACTTAAATTACTGGCTGCATAGATAGATTAGGAGATAACCAATTGGAAGATAAAGGGAAAAAAGAGTCTTGACATCAAGACACTGGTTTAGCGACCATCCAACTTGGAATCAATGAACACTTGAAACCAAGTCTTGGCGGTCGATTGGGTTGGTTCTGAATCAGGGAACCACCAATAAGTCGTCATAGGAAGCCGAAAATCAATTTAACCTCATCAGCATCATAGCCAAGGTTAGATCAGAGACAGACGTTGCAATATCTGCGATAACCCTTGAACAGAACGGAACAAGATCCAAACTTAGTATCCCCAATCTGGGACTCTGCCTTGGTTGGTGAGATGTCGATCAGATCAGCTTCTAGGTCTTTTGTGCCGTTCCGCCCGTTGCATGTTGTCCATCTCACAGTGCAGCAGACTGGAGATTGGAGACTGTCAGGGCCGCGGAGGTAAAGGGACTCCCCGGATCTTTCTTGTCACGATGGCTACAGTAGAGCATTTAATTATGCGCCCGGTTTGAAGCTGTGGGTGTATTATCCTCAACCATGATTGCTGGACCGATGACGGTAAGCCTCTGACCCTTCCAGTCTTGGCAATACTAGGTGTCAATCCCAAGTCCCTGAACCCAACCTTGGGACCTGACTCTAGTGCTGTGCTTGTGCGGTGCTGATCTACAACTGGCGATGCTCGGCTGACATGCGTCTGAGAAGATGGCTGTGTATACTATTGGAGATGTACTGCCACGCAGACAACGAAGCATTGCTTGGCCATGTTTAGTGTAGATATACTTGACGCTTATTTTCTTAATCCAAATCACAGTTGATGAGAAGACCCTTGAGATGCGGTGAGACATATCTACTCTATCAGAACAGAACCCCTAAAGTGGGAAACTTGTTCGACCCAGTCAGCCCAGTCTTGACTCTCTCAATGCTTGTTTCACACCATCTCAACAGTAAAGGATTTGACCCGACTCGATGGTGCCACGCACACACGTATTCGGTTTATTTACCCACTTCCAGCTGTACTGCATATCGCCTGGTGCTAAGGTACAGTACAGTATTGTAGCCAATTCTCACTCGAGTCAATTACTGTAAAGAGTTAATTGCCAAGTCTCACTCTCACTCTCCTCCTGTTCCCCATCGATCCACAACAAAGAGTCCCAATTCTCTTGCTCGATCCCACCCAATCCTAGACGTCCCGTCCTTGAATTCCAAGATCCCGCCTTCCCCGGGCTCCAAAAGTCAATTAACTTAAACATCGCGCCTGCCCCCGAACTCCCGTCCGTTCTGTTCCTTCCTTCCCTTCTTCGATTTCAGATTTTACCTTCCTTTCATACTTTCGAGGAATCCACCTTACAGAAAATTCAATAACTACCTCTACCTCTCACCTCGACTATATTTCTCGACGACATCATCTTCTCTTACAACAACCACTAAGTTACGCCCACCGCTTTATCTATCATCATGCCTATCCGCAACCCTTTTGCTCGTCGCCCTGGTAGCGTCGTTGTGCAAGATGAGAATCAACGTCCTGATACTGCCCCGGGTTTTGAGAAAGTCGACACTGTTGGCTCAAAGTCCAAACCTGTTTTAAGCATCCGAAGTCAGGGTCGCGACAATGGCGAATACAAGATGAGTGGTACGTCTTAGGATCCTTGTCGCTTGCCGTCCCTCATGGCCTTCCATCCCGCTCTCATGGCGGGGAACAAGTCATGAAGCGGCGCATTCGGCATATCGTCACAAGACCTCTAGAATTTGGCTAATTCTTGACTTTGCGCAACAGTTGTCAATGACAGTGGCGTCTATCTTCCTGTAAGTCCATTCAGCCAGTGCGCAAACCATCAAAGTCCACAACTAACGGTCGCAAAGCCATCCCCCACCGAAGAGAAGGGCCAGTGGCCCCGAAAGTACCTCTCGACCCGAAACTCGACAGATACGAGAAGCAGCTTTGGCGACATTGAACATTTCTCCATCTCACGAGAGTCTTTTGATTCTTACCGTCGCTCATTTGTATGAAATCCACTATTAGCCGCCGCATGCGCATAGCTACCTACTCGGCATTTAATGCAGACAACTAACACAATTGCCAGGACATCTCTGCACGGTCGCCTATGCCTAACGGCGATTTCCCAGCTCGTCAAAGCCTTGATTCTGCTCGCCTTCCTCGTCTTCCCAGATCTGCGGTCGAGCGATCATTTGAGCAGCCCCCAACAGCCGAGGAAGGCTTTGAAGATGTCGGACTAGACGATCAAAAGTACCAGCAGCAACAACAGCCGGCGCCCCAGGCACAGCCTCAGAAGCGTGGCTTTTTCTCCAAGTTCTCCGACTCTCGCGACAGGGACGCCTCAAGCAACCCTTCTGTTTCTCGGTTCCTCATGCATGGTCGCAAGAGAGCTCAGAGCGGCCAAGGTTCAGAGCTTACACCCATGGACAATGGCCCGCCCAAGGTCACTGTTTCATCCGAGGGTCAGGAAATGCACTGAAATTCATAACGGGCTGAAATTTTACCCTTCTACGTTGTATTAGAGATACCTGGAGTTTTCGTTTTATGTTTCCGGCGTTGACGGTTAAAGAGGTTGCGATAATGCTAGAAATGCATTCGCTACGAGACTATGCTGGGTACACCTTGGTCGCAGAATCGACTTTGGATTGAATGAATTGTACGAAGAGCCGCCTATGGATTAGGAAATTGGTTGAGACGCTCGAGATGAACCAACAAACATGTGCTAGAGATACATGTCTGTCGAAGGAAGACTAATATGGGCTTACATAATGGTAATGAAAAGACATATGTTGCCGTGCACCTATCTATCTCTCGAAGTTGAAGTATGACATTCAAGAATCATCGTGATAGTTACTAATAGAAAGGGCGTGTTAAAAAGACAGGCCGATGACGGACTTATAGCGACGGTAACTGCACCCACTTAACAATTGCGTGCTGCCATTGCCAAATGGGAATAGACGCCCCGCCCTGTACCTCGGAGGGCGCCGGAGGAAGATGGCGATATTATTAAATCAAGCTGAACTCACATCTGTATCTTCTGTATTTGAGCTTCTTCATTCTCCGTGGTCGGCCAACGAGTTTGTATTTCAAAATTCATCACCAGCGGCACTGCGTCAATCAAGCGCTCACTAGTTCCAGGGTTCAAAATTGCCCCTCACCTCAGTCAATCAACTAAACATCACCACTTAAAGATCTCATATCATGGCCTCTGACGAAGTTCCAACAAACCTAAAGGACGTCGCCTCCGTTCCGGATGGTACTGCCGGAGTTCAAGCTGGACTTGATAATAAACTTGCCGGGCTCTCACTGGCTTCACGTGCCATTCACGCCGACAATGGTATTCAGTCGCATCGGGCTGTTGCACCAGCTATGCATGTCAGCACGACTTTCAGGTACAACGACGATCCTGATGCATTGAGGGCCTGGGATAATACCGATGTGAGTGCTGATCTCTTCTTGTGCTGGATCTGGGTTGCGACATGTCATAAAGTCCCCAACACCATCATGAGTTGGGTCTTCAGACATATCATGATACTGCAATGATGGCTTTCATCCGTATAAAGATGCATAAACCTATACTGACTCATACAGCCTAACAACCCTCTCGACTCTCATGTCTACTCTCGAGCAACTGGCCCAAACACCACCCGTCTCGAGGCTGTTCTCACATCCATCATTGGCGCCCCAACCATAACTTACTCATCTGGCCTCTCCGCCTTCCACGCTATGCTGGTTCACTTGAACCCCAAGCGTATCGCCATCGGGGATGGATACCACGGCTGCCACGGCGTCATCAGCATCATGACCCGTCTAACAGGCCTCAAGGTCCTGCCACTTGACTGTCCCGTCGAGGATCTCGAGCCAGGAGATGTAATCCATGTTGAGACGCCTCTCAACCCAACTGGCGAAGCGCGTGATCTGGCTGCGTATGCGGAGAAGGCGAAGAAGGTGGGCGCCTACTTGACCGTTGATGCGACCTTTGCACCACCACCTCTACAGGATCCTTTCCAGTACGATGTGGATGTGGTAATGCACAGTGGGACAAAGTACTTTGGCGGTCACTCCGATATGCTCTGCGGTACTCTCTCTATTAACCGCAAGTATAGTGACTGGGAAGCTTCTCTTCTTAATGACCGTATGCTCATTGGTTCCGTTATGGGTAGTCTCGAGGGCTGGTTAGGTATTCGTTCCTTGCGAACTTTGGAACTCCGGGTCCAGCGCCAGAGCGCTACGGCTACTGCCCTCGTGGCCTGGCTGGTCGAGCAACAGCGTGATTCCTCGTCTGTGGTCGGTTCCCTCGTCGAGCGTGTCCAACATGCCAGTCTACAGCCAGAAGCTTCTGTCGAAGGAAGCTGGCTGCAGAAGCAGATGCCCAACGGCTACGGACCTGTGTTTTCGATTTACCTGCGTGATGGAGAGCACGCTAAGCGTTTGCCTTCCAAGCTAGAGCTCTTTCACCATGCTACCAGTCTTGGAGGCGTTGAGAGTCTTATTGAGTGGCGTGCTATGACGGACCCTAAGATTGATAAGAAACTGCTACGAGTTAGCATTGGTGTCGAGGGTCTCGAAGATTTGAAGCAAGATTTTCTTCAGGGCCTGGAGGCGTTAAGAAAGGAATAAGAGACGCAGAACATAAGACGAGAAGGAAATATTAGATGGAGCATTCATGTCATGGCGTTAGAAAAGAAAGATAGAAATCAAGCTGTAGAGAAATAAAGAAATCACAGAATGGAAATAGAAATGAAACTTCCACAAGAAAGAAAAAAAAGTACAGCGAACATGAAATGAGGAAAATCTAAGAATATATAGATGACTGTGAGAAAGGGGCAGGGAATTGTATGAGAACACCGATGCAATGCATCGTCAAGGAGTGAGAATGTCCCGCCAGATACATGTAGGAAAAGCCCAAGGAAATCACATGACTGTCCATCTCGAAAGTTCAGGAGATCGTTCAATGAGGAAGGGGTGACAGAGATAGGTGAAGAAAAAGTTGAGAGGGAGAAAGAGAATGGGGGAGGTAAATGGAAAAGGAAATTGAGAGGAAGGAAAAAAGTGTCGTTGCCTTTGGTTTGAAAGTAGAAATATGCTGTTCGCTGTTGGTCGTGGATGTTTTCAGAAAAGGAATTTCCGTCAATTGTTGCTTAGAAAATGAATCAAATTGTCGTCGTAGAATCTCTAATCATGATATGGCCCCTTCACTCGGTAGGAGGTAACCAGAGACCGAACCAATTACCGAGTGGTTTATATTTAACTTCTCGACTGAGAAATGTTAGCGTTATTTGAACATTCTTACAACTTGAAACATACCGAGATCGGCCATTGTCTGCAAAGGACCCAACGCCTCGAAGGTCTTGGTCAGAAGATCGATAGTCCATGTGTCGATAATCCGCTGATTGGTTGTATGTCGTTGATCCCCGAGATGATGAAGCAGCTCCGTTGTGATATTGGTTATCGTGCTGACGATATTGCACCGAAGTTCTTGAAGGTGGTGCAAGAAAGTCATTAGCTATAGCGTGAGTTTGATACGCCGGCGCATCATGAGTCCGAGAAGGGAATGTAGGAGAGTCGCTAAAAGCTGGTGAAGTAGTAGGAGTTGTGAAATCGGATACAGCATCTGCTGCGGCCGAAGGGTCATGGTTGTACTGGTGCTGATACTGTTGTCCGAGCCATTGGTTCACCATCGTTTGTCGTCTATCATAAGCCTGAGGACTTGGTCTGGTCCATTGTTGAGACTGATCTCTTGGGGATGTGTTGGCTGATGTTGTTCTTTGGTAGTTGGAGTCCCAGCTACCTCGAACAGCCTCCTCGCTCCAGTTTCTAGAGCTGTCTGTGTAGTAGTTCTGGCTGTATTGCCGTTGATCGGGATCCTGTCGGCGGCTCATGATTGTTGGTTGAGTCGAGGTCGATGATTGGTTGGTTGCGTGTAAGTGAGAGTCGATCAGTATCAAATGCTGTTTTAATAGCAAGAAACACAAAGAATCAGATGAATTGTGAAATACTGTGAACTGAGTCGATGTGTTGATATTCGAAACATTCTTTCATCCAGATTGATTTGTGTATATATATTCATCATGACTGCTATACTCAACCTCTATCATGGGATGCCTCTATCTAATCCAAGAGTTGCGGTTGTGGCTGAAGTTCCTATTCGCGGGCATGCCGGGAGGCCGCTACTTTCTAGCCAATCATAAATAAGCGCGCTTCGGGAACCAAGGGTCCTGTGTACTGGGGTTGGTTAGGGTGGCCGTGCAGAAGGAAAACCCCCTGGAAGAGTCAGCAAGCTTACCTACAAACGGCCTAGAGTTATAGGGTCTCTACAGGGGACAGAACAAGACGTCACTTCTCGCTGTTCGCCGAAGGGCTCTTGTCTTGTTTCGGTATCATCTTTGGACAGAGGGTAATTGACATTTCGGGCATCATCTTTATGCGCAGCCAATGACGGGGTTCAATTGGGCGTGATGGCTAGGGATTCATGGATTAGGACGTCACACGAGCATACATGAGGCTGTTTTGCCGCAACGCCAGAGGGAGCCTGGATTGTTCCTCCATACACCATCGTGAGATGTTTCGAGCTTCTGGTCCGTCGTCAGGCAGACTCGTAAACCTCTGACGTAGATCTACGACATAACTATTGATTGAGAATCATTACGACCAGACCTTTAGCTAGTTTGAGGCATAATTCACTCAAAATGGACAAGTTCTCAGTCACATACACCTTCGCTCAATCCATAACTGCATGCACATTCAGCCGTTGTTGTGTCGCGTTATCACTGTTGGAGGTTTAAAGACCGACAAAGTTCAGTCATCTTTAAGTCTCGGTCGAAACAAAGTCAAAACACAAACAAATCTTACGGATAAGGCGCCTCCCGACGGATCTCAAACAACCGACCAAATAGTTTAGCCATCCCGAAGAACCAATGCAGCCACTGAGCTTCGATGCTCGGGGACCTCGAACCGAGGATGCGGCTCAACTGCTCAAGATCCACAAGGCTGGATCGCGCTTGCACAGCAACTCAAATTAGGATGAGGAACAAGGTTACGCGCTTGTAAAGTCTCGCCAATCTCGAAAATGTGCAAAAGACGTCATGGAATGCTATTATTTGGTGTGCTGCGCTTCTTGATTCTGGGATGTTGGGACTGTGCCACCGGGCAGTGCTGGATCTCAGCCCTGTGTCCACCTTTAGAACCTTCAAAGTGGGTCACTGCCCTGAAAAACGTTTGGCTAAGCCGCGCCAAAAGCACGGCTCTTCAGTTACCGCGCCTCTCTGAATGGCTCAAACAGACGCGGGAAGCGCAGCTAGACTGCGGGTCCTTGCCGTAGCGAACATGAGGCGCCATGATCCATCCCTTCCATGGTCCCCTTTTCGCACCCTTGCTTGATCCAAGTCTCAACACCAACACCATCATCGCCAACCTCCTCTTTTCCTCTTTTTACTCCGGAGGGAGCATGTGCAGGCTTCGGAATCTCGTCGTCTCGGACTTGCGGCCGTAGCTGAGCACTACCCACCAGTAGATGCCCCTCAATGGTCCGACTCTCCCTTTTCCGTCTGCCCACCAAGCTACGGCGTAGGGTTAGGCGAAATCGCATGGCGACCCTAATTGCCCTCATCGCCCTCGTAGGCCTCTTGATCATCCCTTTCTACTCAGCCTATTGCGTCTACAAGCCTCCAAGATACCTTATCAATTGGCTTCGAAGGAAGTACCCCGATGTTCTTTTCGAGATACCGACCGACCAAAAGATCATCGCCCTATCAATCGATGATGCACCGTCCGCTTATACCGACGAAATCATGCAGATTCTGGCGGAGAACGAAGCTCATGCCACGTTCTTTGTAATAGGGTCTCAAGTCGAGGGGCGCAAGAGTACTCTTGTCAAATTGGTCGAGAAAGGTCATGAGCTGGGCAACCATGCTATGCACGATGAGCCATCCAAGTCACTCAGCAACGAGAAGCTGCTCGAGGAAGTCCATACTGTCAAAGATATGTTGACAGAAGCATATGCGGCCAACGATTTGATTCTGCCCAACAACTACTTCCGCCCTGGATCCGGAATATTCAACAGGCGAATGCGCGATGTGCTAGGAAACCAGGGCTTCCGTATCACCCTAGGAAGCGTCTACCCTCATGATCCTCAAATACCATATCCTGACACCAATGCAAAGCATATCTTGAGCATGGCCCATCCAGGAGCCATCATTATCTGCCACGATCGACGATCATGGACTGCACCAATGCTGCGTACTGTTCTCCCCGAACTCAAGCGGCAAGGGTACAAGATTGTTACCATCACAGATCTTGTGAAGACTGTGGGGGAACAGAAGCATGAACAATAACCTCTTTCACGCCTATACATTAACCCCAAAATCCCTATAGTTAGTTGGATATGGTATAAACATCGACGAATACTGTCTACCAAATAGAATCAGAGAGTAATTTTTAATGATCCGTCGTCTTGGATGAGCTTCGATATGTTGTATCTTGGTGACGTTAGCCTGTAGGGAGTCAGTATGCTAAAAAGAGGCTTTGGGTGTTTTACCCACGTAAACTCAAGAGTGCCCGTGACGATATAACGGCATCCGTTGATGTATCTCTCAGCATAGGGACTCGAGTTCGCCTTCTGGATCAGTTCGCTTGCAGCATCGTCGAATTCCTTAACTGCCACTCTCATTCTTGCTTCCAACTCAGCAACCACTGTATCCAACGGCATGCCTGGCTCCATCATAGCAGCAACAGCATTGATAACACAACCTGTCTGCAGTTCCTTCTTCAACGATAGTAGATCGTTCAACAAGCTCAGCAGAACGCACACTTGCGTCCATAGTCGATCGATTTCAGAGCTGGTTCTTAGTGCGGGTGGTATCGTGTCATGCGTAGCATACGGAACAAGACTGCAAAGCATCCTGCCACCTACTGTGCCGATCCTGAGCTTCATATACGACTCGTAGTCAGGCACGCGACCAGTCAGGCGCAGTTGCTGCTCAGCCGCACAGCTGTCAGCAAAGAGCTGTATCTCATCACGTAAGACTTGTCGATAACCTCTTGTCGTCGTCAAAGCGATACGCAATCCGAACTCGCGAAATACGTCGTTGATCGGATCACCGTCTATTCCAGACACGCGCTTCTCGTCAAGACCTAAAGCATCATTCACTATGCTCATGGTCTGATGTCTCCAATGCTTCGCATGCGCAAAGTCAGCCGCCAGATCGCCCTCGTTAGCATCAACAGCATCATCCCAGCACACCAGCCACGCCGAGTAGAGCGCCAGGGCTTCGATATCCAGCTTACAGGCCTGAGGATACCATAAGCAGGCGAAGCTGGCGATGTCATCTGTTTTGCGACGGGCGATCAGAGGGTATTTAATGGCCATGCGATCAAGCGCTTGGTCGACGATTGGCTTCACGTGGGCATGGTGGCGGTTCAATTTAGGCTTGTGGTCTGGCCATGATCGGAAGAGGCTGTTGAGATCCGGTAACCGCAATGTTTGGCCGCGAAGAGCGTTTACTATCGCTTTCTGACTTAGAGGTGCGTATTTCATTGAGATGGAAATAAGGTAGGAAGTAGTCGTTCTTGGCGTGGTGTTTCATGATTGTAAATGGACATAAGGCTGGAATAATGTTTGATTTCAGAGCTCTAGGTTAAGCCAAGCATTCCAGACATCACCAAAATAGGCCGATAACGAGTCAAGCCACCGGAAAATAAGAGTATGGCTGAGACTTAAATGAATTCGAGAATATTTCCGTCGATAAACTTATCAAGACAGTAGACTGTTTCTCTGTTTTCAGGTGGTTGTTCTATATTTCCATGAAGTCTTCACCAACAAGATCTGGGCGCTACTCTTCTCTACGCCAACCTCACAATTGAGTTTATAACTCAAACACTATTCCCATTCAAAATCACGCAATTGCACATGCAAAGCATCGATGGATTTAACTGTGGATTAATTTCCACCTCCTTACCTTGGAAGCAAAGTTTGAAGCCAGACGCGTCACAGCAAAACCCAAACGCCACATTCAACCGTCTGCAAAGTAAAAGTCTCAACAGATGTGAGTGATATGAATCAAAACGAGATGAGAAAACTCAAAGAAAGAAAAAATCAAGGCGAAAAAGTTTGTACGTGAACTCGTAACCTAAAACTTAAAGTGACAAGCTTTCTGTCCTCGCCAGGTTCCGCCCCCTTGTTAATATCGATTATTGTTTGACATAAATTGAGGCGTGTTTCCGATCCTGCAGCGGCCCTGGTTGCATCGCCAGGGGTCAAGAGGCAGGAATAATTTATACGCATATGCGAAAGACTCGCATGAAAATAAACGTTGGGGTAGGGAAATGATGGGCAGTTTCATCAGGTTTCATTGTATGCTATGCTTGGAGGTGAACCCATTGCATCGGCGCAGGACTGTAGCATGTAAATACCATGATCAGCAGTTTCATCTTGACTTAAAAATAACATCCCATCTTCATGCCGGCACATAGGTTTTATCAAGAAAGGGACGAAAGCTATGATAAAGAAAATATGCCGTTCGAGGCTCGTGTGTATGATTCAATATGGTATGAATCTAGATACAACAAATCGTTAGATAGAATCAATTAATCATCCATCAAGAAGAAAAAAGGTATCCTCTGTCCTTCCATCCGTAAACAGACCCAGATCCAGTCCTATTCCTTTCCTGGCCCTGCCAAACGCCCCAACTGCCAGTGTCTGAGCCAAATAGGTATATGGGGTCACCTAGAAATCAGACATGTAGCCCTTTGTCCTCAAACAAACCAATCCAAACCGAGACAGACGTGAGTGCTAAAATAAAAAAGTGGTAATGAGAGAATAGATGCTGCTGCATGGAGCAACTGGTATGTATGTGCCTTTTAGTCATGTCCGCCATTGTCCTGCCAAGGACTTCCCTTCATGGTCGTAAAATGTCTATCAATTATGTACTGTTGAATAATGAGGCCGATATCTCGGCAGTGGTGCGCACTTAGATCCATTGTGGTGTAATTGGCTTGGCGTGCGACACCTCGGGGAAGAAGCCGAGGAGCAAGTTCTGAACGTCACTGAGATAGTCCTCGGTACTGTGCTTGTTCAGACCCCTGGACTTCATGTATCGGTTGTCTTCCTCTTCCTCCTTGCTTAGTGGCCTGGCGCTGTACTCCTCGGCGAGCTCGGTGACCTGTGCTAGTTCGTGACCAAAGGGGTGAGAGTCCTTGAGAGCTCGCTGCTGGAAAGAAGGTGGAGGAGCTGGGACAGAGGTTGGAACTGCAGGAACAGGCATGGGAGGGGCCTTTTGGTTAAGACCGGCAGAGGCGTATGATGCTGATGAAGCTCTGGTGGAAGTTGACGATGACCGGGAGAATGTGTAGCTAGCCTTTGTGGAGACGGAGTTCTCTGAGTCCCTGGACCTTTGCGAGACGGATCGTTGGCGGGCGATAGCATCGTACGAGTTCTGCTTGGTGTGGGAAGGTGAGCGCTTAGGAATCGCGGGAGCCTCAACAATCTTGGGCATGGCAGGTGGCATGGCAGGCGGCATGACATGAGGCTTGTCGGAAACCGAGAAGTAAGTTGATAGATGGTTTGGCATAGGTCCTGAGAAGTCTTCCACAGGAGAAACATCCGGGCTCGTAGGCGGAGTTGACTCGGTAGTTGAAGGAGCCTCGGAATCTTCACCAACAGATCGTAGTGAAGACTTGTTGCGGAGAGAAGCATGCGGCGACGGGATATCGGGAGCGTTATAGGACAGCATGTTGGTTGTGTGAACAAGCTGAATAGGACCGGAAATCTGGTGTCGCAAGACAGGACCGTGATGTCTATCGCGGGCTGAGTTGCTGCGATGTGGTACCGGAGAATCCCCCATCTCGGCGTTCTTGGCCTTTCGAGTAGTGAAAGCGCGTGAGAGTGACATTGTTAGATATTTTTTTCTTTCTTTCGATCAAGCAATTCTTTGACTAGGTCTGTTTGGTGTGTCGGGTTTTGGTGGCTTATAAGTGAATCCAAGAGAGCAGTGATGATGAGTTGCTGCAGGTGGGACGTCTTGTGATAAGTGAGATTGTCAAAAGCGTCGTGCCACTGACTCAACAACAATTTACTTTTTGAGGCAAGTCTTTGCTAAAAGTCTGTTCCAGCAAGCAAGGTTTGCGAGCAAGAATAAAAAAGAAACAGTACGAGGGTTGTCGAGTTTGCAGTGAGACAAAGGAATCCAGTCCTTTCTTTTTGGTTCAAAGAATCCGGCTTCTAGAGCGGAACTTGATACGTCTGGGCGTGATTGGATTTGTCGATTCTTCGAGAAAGACAGTAATGTACGTTGACCAACTTTGCAGTGACAACGAGTGATGATTGGAAAAAGGAACGGTCAACGTCGAAAATAGCTGTATCGGTAGGTAGGTATCCGCGTAGGTTTTGTTTCTATGAATCGATCCTGCGACGGGGTGGGATACAAGAGCAAAGAGTGAATGAATGAAATTTGATAGATGCAGAGTCAATGCACACTGATCAAGTAAAGTAGACACGACCAAGAGAGCGGTAATCGTGATACTTCTTTTTTGTGAGAAGTGAAGACACAGGCCTTTTTTTTTTCGACGTGTGAAGGTCAAAGGAGAAAGAAAGAGATATGGAAATCGACGAATCTTGAAGGAGCGCGCCGTGGGGATTGAGGATGGGGGGGACGAAACAAAAGATATGGGACCCCAGCACTAGACTCAACTGCCTGACGGGACAGGCTCCCCTGCGCTGCAGTGGATTAGGTGCACTGTACTTGCCTAGCTTAGGCACTGGAGGCAACTAAACTTTCAGGCCGAGTTGCAACGGCCCGGCCATCCATCACCTTTTCGGTGGCTGTTTGGCCAACATCCCTGTCCTTGCTAGTGTTTTCCAATTGGCCGACGCCCCTGGCTAGAACGACACTTGAAGCAAAGATCCTGGACTCGCGTCAATCAAGGGAACCAATCGCGTGGAGATTCTTGCTCGCCCTGCCCCTTGTATATAAACTAGCCAAGGTTTTTCTTCCTCTTTTGTGCATGCAGAGAAGCGAAAAATCCGCGTCGAGCGCCAAAAGGAACCAGCTGATGCTACGATTCACTTAGTTGAGGATATGGATGGCAAGATTCGTGGCTCCTGTCGACTGAGATGCTGTGCAACTCTATCTCGGGTATCACATTAATATGCACATTTCATTTAGTTATCCTCTGAACATACACATGACACGTCCCAGGTTATACACGATACGCTTTCTTTCTTTTTGCTATTTCAGCTTGTTACAGCTTGACTATCTACTACGTAGCACTATGTATGATGATTGCTTTGTTTCTTCTTTCTTCTTCTTCATCTGCCCTGCTTTCGACTGGAGCCAATCCAATGTGACGACTCTGTTCTGGTGAGGCCTTTGTTTCCAAGCACCAACATCGGAACCAAATGGAGCTCGACTCCGTCTGCCCGGCCATTCACCTTTGTTAATCACCCTCCATCTTCAACATCCACTCACCCCATTCATCAACTTTTCTTTGACCCGCGCGCTACTGTAAGTGAAAAATCCACTGTCACTAACACTGCACTGGCTCAACGAACTGAGAACTGCGTGATGAACGGACCTTTAAAAAATTTCAATTTCTATTGCCGTTATCGGGTTACACCGATCACTAGGGACGAGAAAGTTCAAGGATATGGATGCATGCAGGCACTCAATTGAACGCCCAATTCGTCTTTGACAACTCGACTCGGCTCGACCAGGTCAGCTTTGGCCTCAGTTCACCGGATGCAGGCGTCACATCCCCAAGTCAAGATGAGCTGTACTGCATGGCCAGCTCAGAATATGAGCTCTCACCACTACCGTTGCAGTATCTGGATGCCGAGAAGCAATAAGTTTAGTCTATTGCTAGTTACCTACTACGATGGGCCGTCTTCATTAAACTAACATAGGGATAAATTCAGCTGTTGACTCGTACAAAGCAATAATGATGCGCCCCTCGGAATGACCAGGCACAACCACATTTAACTATAGCCGTCTAACAGCGTCTACCATTCTCTCATGAACTATGTCAGCTTCCACAGAACTCTCATGATTGGTCTTGACGCCATTACCGTTCTCCCCTGTTTCAGGTTCTTGTGCCTGCGCGAGCGGAGCCTTCACTGCGAACGTGATGGCAAGGCAGCGTCGTTCTCGCCTCTCACTCGTCCATCGCTTGTCTTGTCAAGCTCAGGTCAACCCAGCTTCCAGGGGTGATGCCGCTCGGAGGAGAACAGACCCTGTGCCTGTTGCATTACGTCGCGTGGACCGGTCGATCCTCCGCTTTCGATTAACGAGCGGCGTCCAACTCGAAGAGGACATGGTCACAGCTTTCTGCTGATATGGGGCATCTAGGAGCCTGCGCACAGAAGGCTCATTTACACAGCAAATTAATTGTCCACCTTCTTCTTTCACTACGTACAGCTGTCTGAGACTGATACTGTAGTGCCACTGCCCTATTTTGAGTAACACTGACGTGCCTACTGCAGATCCGTTCTCAGCCCAAAAGCTGACTCCATTAAAATGTTGTGTCTGTGAGGCATCTAAAATGGACCCTTAATATGAACGTCTTACTATAGGTAGCAATTATTGTTTATATGCTTGCCGTTTCTTCACCAATGAGATAACAGATAATCTTGAAGAACCAATTCCAACTTTTCCATTCCTGTGAAAACCTCGTCTATCTAGTAGGTATAGTCAAATGCAAACTCATCTCCTTCCTCTCACCAGATGTCCCGCTGTGGAACGATTTCCCGTACGCCGCCAGTGTGCTTTAATCATGCAGTCTGCTCTTGAAAACCATCCATCAGGGCGGGCGAGACATTAGCTGCTGGCTGTTTTTGCCTTCGTTGACAACTGTCAATGCTCAATGGGGATCGCCGCGCCATCGTCTTACAGGACCCATGTCTTATTCAGCCTCAAACAGGCCTTTTCGGGTTGGTTTTCCACTTCTCGTCTCGAATGTATTGCCATCCCATCGACAAGGAATCATTTAGTCTTCGTCCATAGAGTCATCATCCTCCTTATCGTCCTCATCATCATCATCATCGTCATCGCTGGACTCGTCGTTGTTGACGCCAACGAGACGGTCCTCGCCCTTTCCACGCTGCTCTGGTACCCGCTGCGCAAAGGCCTTGCGCACCGACGCGTTGGTGCTGGTGTCCCACACGTGCATAGTTCCCTTGCTTCCAGCAACAGCAAGACGGAAGGCGACCTCCGGGTCGGGCGCAAACGTGGTTGAGAAGACCTTTCCGACGTCAAGGTTGCGCGAAGCCACCACCGAGGGTCCTGTAGGCTGAATGTTCCACAGCTTGACTGTCTTGTCGGTCGAGCCGGTCACCATGTAACCGGGAACCACGGAGTTGATGTCGAACGAAGACACGGACTCATCGTGGGCCTGTAGCGTCCAGACGGCCTTGGTGCCCGTGGGGTTTGACGGGGCATTGCGGACGTCGTGGTAGTGAATGACACCGTTCTCTGTAGAGACAAAGAAAAAGTTGGGGTCATGAGGATCCCACCGCACATTCTCAACGTCGCTCTCAACTCCCCATCGAGGAGCCTTTGCGTCAGGCGCACGCATATCGGCCGCCACCACAGTTCGGTCGTAAGAACCACTCAGCAGGACGGTAGGCTCGTTCGCGTGCCACGCCAGTGAGCACACCTTGTCGGTATGGTAAGTATACGACTTGGCGCACTTTGTTGTGTTGAGATCCCACAGCTTGACAGTCTTGTCGGCGGAAGCTGAGGCCAGGAGGTTGCGGTGCTTGCGGTTCGCGGCCAATGACAGAACAGCGTCAACGTGGTACTCGTCGTTGGCCTTCTTAGCCTTCTTCTTCTTCTTTTTCGACTTCTTCTCCTCTTCGTTACCTCCTTGACCGAGGATCGCGTTGGGGTACATGCAGTCGATGGTATCCAAGTCCCAGACCTCAATATCAGGATCCATTGTGCCAACAGCGACAAAGTTGCCTGCCGCATCCTTCTCTACACCGGCCTTGTTGACGGGCATATCGATCCACTCGACGCAGAGAGGAATGGCGGGCAGCATGATATCGTGGTGCACGTAAAGGTTGTCGGCCTCGTCTTCGTAAACGTATACCTCGAGATGCGCCATCTCGTCCTCGACCTTGGCAGACACAATCAAGTTGTCTGTCGCAAGGACTTGAAGCTCTTCGCGATCTTCCTCCTCCTGCTCCTTGTCGGCGTCGATTGTGATGTAAGGATCGTCCTTATTCGACTCGTAGTATGCCAGCGACTTGATGTTTCCGAACATGCCCATACCCTCGCCTTGTCCAGGAGCATCCTCGTCGTCATCATTGTCATAGTTTTCCAAGTCATATTCTTTTAGGTCGTCATCGTTAAGGTTAATCCTGAATAGTCTTATTAGTTTCTGGGAAAAGTTATGAAGAGCTGTCGGATCGCATACTCGTTCTTATCGGCAGGCTTGTCGTCATCGATCTTCATTTCAGAGTCATCCTCCTTCTCCTCGATCTTCTCTGCCTTTGCGCCGTTCTTGGCAGCCTCTTCGGCTTCCTCAAGGTCTTCCTGAGCGTCGTCGAGCTGGAGCTTGGCGAGCTCTGCTATCCGCTCAAACTCGGCCTCGTCAAGGGTGTATTTCTGAGGGAATGGCGCAGCAAAGCCCCTAGGGACCCATTGCGCGGCTGTAATCATAGAAGACATGGTGAGTGTCTGGGTATCTTTAAAAATGGTGTTGTTCAAGCCCAGTTTGCATCCAAAGGTGGGCGCCCAGATAAATTTCTCCCAAAATTTCTAGTGGGGTTTATCGATAAGAATTTGACCCGCCAGGGATCAGTGACGTTCACCTTCAATCAGACTATACTTCATGTTGGATAGACGCAGACATCTATATTCAACAGTTCACTCAAAATAGCTGAAAAACTTCATGCTTAATTTCACATGTTATGTATGGATCGGTTTACTCGTCTATATAGAAATCGATCCCGTCTCATACGAATAGAAGGCACATCTGCATGTCCTTGATACACCGGCTACGCACATCCTGCATCTTTATTATCCTAAAATTATAAATACTTAGATTTCTCAGTAAATTTTTAGTAACCTAAGTACTTACTTTTATCTATTAGGCTTCCGATTTAGTAGGTAAGTAGTTAGAATTGGAGGTGCGCAGTGCACAGTTGGGCCAATTCTTCTGACACCCTGAGGATATATCCATGCAATCAAAGTCTGCACCGTCATTATTATTACCGATTCTAACCATAACGCCTGCCAAATGTGCTTCTAAAACCCTCTGCCACGCCGCTTCAAGACCGGCTTCTTGACTGCACCTTGTGTGACAAATTTCTTTCCGTCTGCTCCAATCTTCTTGGTCTTCTTTTGTCCTCGTTCCTCTTCCATTTGTTTCCTCTCCTCGTCTTTACGTTTGTCATCGGCCATCTTGGCCTCAATCTCCATCTTTCGATTGAATTCTGTTTCTGTGATACGCTTGTCACGGGCTGAGTAACCCTTCTCCTTGACCGAGTAGAAAACACCACCAAGGTCGGCAAGCCAATGGGGGTCCACAGCCGTTACCGTTGAGACGTAAACCTTGGAGGTGAGGATCAACTCGTGGTAGACGATGTAGTCTGGAGGGTGTCCCGCATACAGTGCACTCGTTGGGTGCAGCTGGACGCCCAAGTTGGTACGCAGGTTGATGTACTCGCCTGAGCCCTTGTATTTGGCTGCTTGATGGTAGTATCCAGAGCAAATACACTTGCGCACAATATCCCAGTCCATTCCACAACTCTTGAGCTCCATCTTTTGCATACGAATGATATCCAAAAGCTGCTCGCGAATCTCTTTGGCTCGCCTCAAAGATTTGGGGTGTAGAAAGTGCTTCACACACCATCCATCAGAATAGCCGTTGGCCTTCCAGTTGGTATAGACTTGGAGATATGTCAAATGGTCCGACTCATGTACCCAAAACTTCTCGCGCGCAGCGTCGGCTTCTTCCTGTCGCTCCTTGGGGCGGTAGAACACGTTGGGGACAGACAGCATAGAAACGATGGTGATCATCTCCTCACTGCAGCCGTACTCCTCTGCAGTGATGAGTAGCTTGGATAGCGATGGGTCCATTGGGAAAGCGCTCATCTTCCTTCCCAGATCTGTGAGCTCCCCAAGGTTATCCAGAGCTCCGAGAGCCCACAGGTCGAACATCGAGGTTGTGATAGTGTCCTGCGGAGGAGGATCCATAAAATCGAAATCCAAAAGGTCCTTGACACCGAGTGACTTCAGCATCAGAACAGTGTTGGCGAGGTTTGTACGCTGGATTTCAGGAATCGTTTGCAAGTACAAGTCGTCCTTAAACTCCTTTTCTGAATATAGTCGAAAGGCCTTTCCTGGACCTGTTCGGCCAGCACGACCCGATCGTTGTGAGGCGTTGGCTTGTGAAATAGGCGTGATTTGGAGGGTATCCATACCAATCTTGGGGTTGTACACTTTCATCTTGGAGTAACCAGCATCCACAACGTACTTGATACCATCGACTGTCAAACTAGTCTCGGCAATGTTGGTTGCGACAATGCATTTTCGTACACCAGGAGCAGCCTTGTCGAAAATCTTGGCTTGCAGATCTGCGGGCATCTGACTGTAAATCGGCAGAATACTCAACTTGGGAGGGTCGTTCAGGGCGTCGAGTCGTTTTTGAACCAGCTCGCATGTGATTTCGATATCCTCCTGACCGGTCATGAACACTAGGATATCTCCAGGGCCCATTGAGACGTGGATTGACAAGACTTGGTGCACTGCCTGATCGACATAATCCTCAACAGGGGATCGATGGAACATGACGTCGACCGGGAAGGTTCGTCCAGGAATGATGAATTCGGGTGCACCTCCAAAGAAATCAGAGAACCGTTTCGAGTTCATTGTGGCCGATGTAACAATGAGCTTCAGATCGCGTCGTCTTTGCAAGATCTTCTTGAACAAGCCCATGAGGATATCTGTATTTAGAGCACGCTCGTGCGCCTCGTCCATGATGACACACGAGTAGCGATCCAGATCGGGTTCGTTAAGTGACTCTCGTAGCAAAACACCATCAGTCATGTATTTAATGACCGTCTCCTTGCTAGTGCAATCTTCAAATCGGATTGCATAACCGACCGTGCTTCCTAGCTTCACTTCCATCTCTTCAGCCACACGTTTGGCCACACTCATTGCTGCAACTCGTCGCGGCTGTGTGCATCCAATCATGCCCGTATTTCCATATCCATCCTCTTGAAGAAACTGCGTCAACTGTGTTGTTTTACCAGAACCTGTCTCACCAACACAGATTACGACTTGATTCTCCCTAATCACCCGGAGAAGATCCTCACGAACTGCGAACGCTGGCAGGTACTCTCGTTGTTCTCGTAGCGTCTTGCTTTGACTGAAGTTACTTGCGCCGTCCGCCTTCTTCATATGTTCACTGAATTTGTTGCCTTTCCGCTCGGTAGGTTCAGCGTCGTCCTCAGCAGGCACCGGTAGCGCAGAATCGCCGTCTTCCTCCTTTGCGCCCATGATATTTCCAAGTGTCGTTCCGGTCATGCTCGTGGCTTCTTTGGCTTGTCTTTGGCGTTCTCGCTGCTGTCGTGCTTCTTTTACCACCTTACTACCTTTTCGACTGAAAACCGCCATGTGACTCTGGGGGTCCTTTACAGCAGGTACTGGCTCTAGCTGTTTCGTGAAAATAGTGCGTCCGTCCAGGAAGGGGGGTCGGAGGTCATGAACCAAAAGATGAACTCGGGTGGAATCATCGTCGTCGATAAAATCAGAGGCCATGTCCCGTCTTTGCGCAACACCTGATTGCAGCATTCGATTTGTCTCCCAAGCGTCATTTTCTTTATTCCTTTGCTCGCGTCGTGCATCGAACCGACTGGACATCTTTTCATGTCGTGCTGTTTCCTGCTGCTGGCCTTCCCAGGTATCGTATGAGGCGAAAGGATTGTGGGCATCATCTCCAAAGCTATGTCCACCAAATTCATCACCACCGTACCAGTCGCGATCCAAAGCCTTCGAGTCTTCGTCAGTCGGTTCTATTCCATCAATCTGTCGAGGAGGAGGCGTAGGCGCGTAACGCGACTGCGCTCGAGGGGTTGAGGCGCGCGCAGATTCAAGCCGCCTTCTCTTGTTTGGATTATATCCATCGTATTCTCGATCCTCCACCATTTTTGCTGACCTGTGGTTATGATGATTGAAGATGTTGACGCTGCCTAGGTGGGTAACAGAAGAAATGTCCTCTAAGACTGGCTACCAAAATAAAGTAGCCTAAACGCTTATCTGAACTGGCATAAGATGACTAAGCTATTTTGTCTGTTATGCTTATGACGGCCAATTCTTAGGAAACTTAAAGTTCCGATAAGACGCTGCTGATAAGGGCCACGTGATCAATAGCGCATTGCCAGGTAGGCTGGAGTGCAGAGGTAGCAGTTAGGACAAAGACTGAATACCTATCTTTACATTGAAAAGTCATGAGATATATATAAGCCATGTGGAAGATCATTGGACTTATTGCTTCCAAAGAAATTGGCAGATTTATGAAGCTACCGTCAATCGTTCGGCACCTAATACGATATGCGCAAAGTTAAAGCTTCAGCAGATTATGGCATAATCGATGGTAACTCTTTACAAGCTCATAGGTAACCGGAGACCATTGGAGTTTATTTCGTCCCAGGGTCTTGATACACCGAGGGAAGGTAAACTCACAATTACCCTTCTCCTTGATGCCCCGGCTATCCACTCCGCACCTCTAATTCCACTTACCTACCCAATCAGAAGCTTAATGGATAAAAGTAAGTGCTTAATCTCTTAAGGATTTAAATAAGAAATCTAAGTACTTATAACTATATAACAAAGAAGGTGAAGGATGTGTGTAGCTGGGGCATTAAGGTGTTAAGAATTGGGCCCTAGAGGCATATGAGACGAAATAATTTGATCACTTTATGCTAGCTTAGAGTAGCAGTTAGGCTACTTTATTATGAAGCCTAAGCCTTGGATAATTCTTTTGTTATCCACCTGCCTGTCAATACGAATGGCTTCATAACCGCGTGTGTGTTTTATAGGATCTGCATATCTTAATCTTCTGTTGCCGTTCTTATGATCTAACGTGTGACGGAGAAATCACTCTCCCCGTCGATAGTTTGCCTGTCTTCTTGCGACACCTTTGTCACTCGAGCAGATCTTGGGCCATCATCCACATCCTTGAAGAACTTGGACAGAACCTCCTCACTGGCTTGAGCCTCTCCCTCGACCTTCAGAACTGTTTAGTACTGCGTTAGGCTATCGGGTGCTTGTGTAGACTCACCCTCTCGTCTTTTGTGTTTCGGCACCAGCCAGTCACTCCGTACTCCTGTGCTTTTTTCTGAGTGAAGTATCTACTCATAGATCAGAATGGATGCTCCTCAGAATTGTCAATGGATTGAATCATACCGGAAGCCAACACCTAAATGACGTCAGTTCGAGAGTTACTTCAATGAATGGTAGAGAAACATACCTTGGACACGTCCTTCAACGGCAAAGTAGACCTGATGAATGTTACGATTTATTCAAGACTCCAATTGAAAGGTAGAGACATACTCGTTTTGACATTGTGATGAGGTTGTAGAATATATGTTGGATAGTAGGTAGGTTGTTGTTGTTATGTTGAAGTTATAGAGCTCAGAAGCTAGGACTCATGAGGGGCACCAAATATCAAGAGCTAAAACTTAAACAGAAACCAGTCAATGTAAACCCACGTTCTTGGCCACATATATTAGGGATGATACAACGTTTATGCAACCGATGGATTGTAGGTGGGCATCTCAGCTTACAAGAGTCGGGCAGGGGAGTGCTGATAAGATAAGCTCTTAAACTGATGTCACCTTGTGGCACCTCAGCTGGCCTAGACAGTCATCCCTACCTTACTTTAATTTAGTGCCAGATCAACATTTGTAATCCCTTCAACTTGCGACGAGAAAAACAGCAGCACTGCACAACCCGCGCGCAAACGCACAACAACTGATTTATGGAAGCCACTTCGTCTGAAGCGGCCTCAGAGCCAATTCGATTCCGCGCCGGCAAGAAACGAAAGGCTTATCGCCAGCGTGCCCAAGAAGATGACGACGCCGTCGCAGAAACAGTACAATCACCCCCTGCCACATCAGCAGCCGCATCAAGCGATAAGCCCAGTCAAAGAAATACGCCAGACGAGGAAGAGGATGGAGAAGGTTCAGTTGCTGCCGCACTGAGGCTGCGCAATGCGCGAAGGAGTCGTCTTGGCGGTGTCGCATTCCGAAATTCCAATCGTCCAGACGAAGACATGAATACCGAGCGCGCCCTTATCCCCCACGATGCGGAAGAAACCTCAAATAGCGAGATAAAGGGCGTCACAGACCGGTTTACGCATCAAACTGGAAAAATCGCCGATCTTAACGATAGGCACATGTACGTTGAAGCCCTCCCCCTTGGCAGCCTACGCTTCTAGCTACACAGTAACTAATCATTCAAGGATGGACTACATAGAATCCCGATTATCTAATCGCGCGGTCAGAGATAGCTCAAAAACTACCTCATCCGCGTCTGCGTCAGACCCCGCTCGGCAATCTTCTACAGCGGCGACGAAGCAGGAAAGTGGCCGGGCGGTGATGCAGGGCCAGCTGATGGAGATTGATCTCGGTGATCATGCGCAAGACGGCAACGCTACTCTTAATGGGCGCGCAGGTCAAGGAGACGGTGCGACAGACGGCGGACGAAGAGCCAAGAAGCCCCGGCTCAGAAGGGATGGTAAACCCTGGCGTCCGCGAAATCGCCGAGACAGTGATGCTGTCAAGCGCGATCAGATCGTAGATGAAATTCTTCGGGAAACAAGACGTACGTTCACAGAAACCTCATCCACCAAGCGTATACTAATATGGGCTCTTTTCAGTTGACTTATACGAGCCCGCCCCAGAACAAAGCGGTAGCACCGCCGGTGTTGATCAGGACGGCGCAGCAGACGAGCGACTAGCCGAAGAATTCCGACAGCAGTTCCTCGAAGATGTTGCCGAGCGGCAGTTAAGAAAGAAGAAAGCAACAAACCAGCCCGCACGTCCTGGGACTGAGGAAGTCCTCAAAGGACCCAAGCTTGGTGGCAGCCGCAATGCCAGAGCTCAGATGAGAGACCTTTTGCTGAAGAAGGAGAAGGAAGGGAAGAAATAATAAGTTTTAATGTTTCGGGTAGTGTTTTCTTCGGCGAATACGGCGTCTGACGGTTATTGCTCTTCCCTGGCCTATTAGAGTCTACAATACATCACAAGCTAGGTCTCGACCGAGACGATGGTTTGAAACAGTAATCTTCAACAAGTACCATCTTATATATATTGGATTATTTATCCATTCCGTACTCAGTCTGTAAATGATCGATGGTTGTGCTATACAGGTCTGTAGAATCAATGACTCAACCAAGACCAATCCTGAAAGCAACTCTAGACTTAGTCAGAGTCTCCAATGTTCGGTGTAATATCCGATCCTAAGAAGAGAAAGAAAATCAAAAACTCCTTTACCCAAATCCCATGTAGCAATTTTCCCATATATATGTAAAACAAACCCACTATAAGAAATGAACGAACCGTCGCTTGGCACAGTTGAGACCAGTCCCATATCATAATTCGCCATCTTGTTTACGAACAAGATTGTTTGACTTCTGTCATATGCCATAACGCCATACCAATGTAATGTTAACCGTCGTAGGGTATTCCTTCATGCGTAAATCTTGATAGAATGAAATGTGAGCCCTGAGGTGCTCTTTATCTGATGTCGAGCTGGAAAGGCTTGAACCGCCCGCCAATTGTAGCACAGCGGGGACACTTCCTTCTTGCTCCATGGTCTGTCATAAGAACCTCTACGCAAGTTGGGCAAAGGCCGCAAATGCATTCGGTGCATGCATAAGAATCTTTGAGTAGAGAAAATCCTTGACAGGCAGCGCAGTATATCTGAATGTTTTGAGCCGAGTATGTCGGTGACGAATCAGAAAGCCCCCGGGTCCCCATATGAAAGTTCTCGCCACTTTCACCACTTTCGACGGAAGGAAAGGGCTCCACAGCATCCTGGCCATAGGAAGGAGGTGTAAGTGCCTGCTGAAGAGGCGAGGCCTGGTAGCTTGCCGGCTGAAATTGAGGCTGTTGAGAGAAGGGCGGCAATGATGACCTATGCATTGAAACTGGAGATTGGGGAACCTGATCGTTTGTTAGTCAATGCAAAGCTCAAGACAAATGTGGTAGGACAAAAAACTTACAGGAGTGCGATCTTCGTCAATATCACCAGCAGCAGAAGCCGCTTGGTCAGCTGCGTCAATCAAATCCTCCCATCGTTTCCCAAAGTCCGCAGACGGCTCAGCTGAAAGAGCTTTCCGATCATTGCCCGGTCTATATCGCTCTTCGTTTTGTATTCGACGTAGCCAATCATTTGCTGTTCCCTTTGAATTCTTCTTCTTATGATGGGCTTCCCTTCCTCTCTTCGTTACTGATTGTTTACGAGGACGATTAGGGCCTATGGGGCGTTGAAGAGGCGGGAGTGTAGATGATCTTCCAGGAGGCGAGTTTGCAAGAATGGAAGGGAGAAAGTCGCGCTGTCTGTTAGATTTTGTAGAGGAATAAGGATCACTCGTAATGTCGTGATTTGGAAGATTGAGTGGCGGTAGTTCAATAGAAGTTCGTGGTCTACGTCGAACGTCCATATCTGAATAATATTCCTACACATCATTAGCCTTGGTCGGCAGAATTTGGCATTGACTGAATGGGAAAATCACTTACACCGTCCATGTCCATGTCACGCTCACTTTTGACGCCATGGAGTTCGGCCAGTGCTGCCGCTGCGTTGGCAGTACCCAACATCGGGCCAGACACCGGCCCACCGTTAGTGAAGTCATCTATGAGGCGCGGAGTGCCTGGATTACTCGACTCGTCGCGATGGTAGTTGTGTCGCTCATGAAAAACTTGAAGGTGGTCAATGGGCGGGGGCACATTTGAATGAGAGTGAGACAAACCCTGAGCATTTGGGGCTGAGGTCTGATCAAGAGGACGGCGCTCCGATGGTGGAGTGTTGATCATCAACAAGAAACTCTCCTCGGTAGCTGGCAGCTTCGAAATGTAATGCTCGGGATGCGCGCGGCGGATATGCTCCTGCATGGAGCGATATCGTTTTTCCTGCAAGTGGGCATTTAGAATCAAATCGGTACCGTTGCATTGGTGCTACGGGAATGTGCCTCCCCAACTTGGGGAATATGTGAGGTAAGTGGTGAGACATGACGATACATGGCGGGTAGGCGCAGCTTTGGTATTCAAGAACAGATGCAGGGCAGAATAAAGTAGAGTAGGTAGCTAGCGAGAGTGATCCATTCAAAGACTTACACCAATGCACCTCTTGCGACAGCTGGAGCCATCTTGGTTGCGAAGAGGGCAGACTACCTCATTGTTGGAGTCTGTAATAGAGAAAGAGGACGTCAAAGAAGATCGAGGCGGCATCTTGACCCCACCATATGCGATAGCTTGCTGGCGGGGGGTGTTGTAGCGATAAGAGAATAAAAGGCGAGATAAGAGATAATAGCGATTAAGCTGGGTTGGCTTGTAAGGACTAGATCAATTGGCGACGATGAAGCTTTACAAAAACTGTAACATTCCAAAGTTCAGCTCATTAATAGCGAGATGAGATGCCTTTGAACATTGACAAGCTTTGCTACAAGAATCGTTTCGAGAATTGGGCCAATTATGCGACAGTGGTTGCGTATACGATTGCGGCGTCGATGTAGACTTATGGTTGGTTTCCAATTTTGAAGCTATAAGGATATCGATGGTCGAAAGTTGTAAGATCCAAGTTGAGAGAGGCGAACAAAGATATTCAATCCTGAAGGTCGCTCGCTCGTTTGAAGAGTATGGTAAAGGTGGGTTGCAAGGAAGGAGATATGGAAAGAAGGAGGGCGGGTTGGTGGGAAAGAAGAAGGTAAAGGTCAGGTTAGGTAAGGTAAGGTCGGCAATACCTCTCAGGTGTGGGAAGGAAAAGAAGAAACGGAGGAAGGTGGGAGGCAAGAATGCCTTTTGGGGAAAGCGTGTCAGCGCAAGTACGGTAGGTATGGTACAGTACAGTACTTAGAGAGATGGTGAGTAATAAGGGAAGAGCAACGGCGCAATGGCGAAGAAAAGCAACAGCCAGAGAGAGGCAAGAGGAGGGTGTGAGTCGACAAGTGTGTGGTGTGCGGTGCTGCCGAGGGACGCTGAGCTCGATGACCTGGATAAGAGCTTGCTTGTATCTTGAACTCTACTCAGTTGATGCTGTAAGTTCACCAGCAGCACCAGACCAAACACTTTCGCACAACTGAGCGAATCCTCACTCGAATTTGGAAATGTGAAAGCGCAAGTTCACAAAAAGAGAAGTGCAGAAAAAAGAGAGAGGGTCGGCAAATCACAAATACCTAATAAGTGAGAGAAAAAAAAACTCTTGCGGAGGGCGTGTGGGCATTGGAATCAAGGCCAGTAGCGAAAGCTTCCGCACAAACGAGACTCTGGTTCAACGTCTATCAATTGCTCACTTATTTGACAGGGACCACAGCCCGAGCTACAGGCTCTATGCCTCCAACTGACATTGTGCCATGCCTGCTGCTTCGCCTCCACTTCCAGAGATCTCAGCTGCCTCGAAAGACTTATCGCCCGGGGCCAATGGCGTTGACGTGCAGCTCCGGGGGTGCGGGTACAGAAGCTCTATAGGTACAGTACCTAGTAGTCTTCTAGGCCCATTAAAGAAGCAGAGAAAAAAAAAGCCCTCTTTAGCTGCCATTCCATCTTTTTCCGAACTGTGTTTGGCTACAGCATGGTTTAGGGGTCGGAATACCCTGGGCCCATTCTGCCGGAGCTCCAATCGTGCAGCCGTCAAATTCTGCAGCAGCACAACGACGATGCCAAAATTCTCGAGACCTTCTGCACCTCCAGTAGCGAAGCACAGCATTCAAGCAAAGAAGCATCAGCAGCTCTAAAAGGGTATGGCCCAAGCGCTGCGCGAGCAAATCAACTGGCTACCATTGCAATGACTCGAGAGGGGCTACAGGGGTGATGGCAGTGAGTGAAGAGGGGCGTGGCTGCTGGTGGAGTCTTCTTGGACGGATGGAGGTTTAGAGCATGTTCTTACACCCAAGAATGCACCTCTTATTAGAGGTGAGGTGCTTTGAACCTAAGAAGCTCCCTGGAAGAAGCAGGGGAAGCTCCAATGGTGGAGCTGGTCCCTTGCTCAGGTTTGTTGAAGATCCTTTCTTTTTACTGCTGCAACCGATAAAGAACAATGCAAAGAATGTCCCACACTCGAGTCGCATGCATGTTTCTACTCATTCAGTCATCAGGAAAATATTGCAAATTCTAGGCTAATTTCGCAGCTTCAGTGCTAGACCGGCTTCAGCGAAAGATTCGCCTGTGACAGATTCTGATGGATGTCGCAAAAAAAGGCCCGGCGTCTCAAGGGTTGGCCATGTTTGGCGACAGCCAGGGTCGGCGGGGCCGACACCAAAGGTCAACTGCCACTCATGAATACCGTTCCTACCTAAGCCAACTCCGGACGTGGTATCACATGTACATGACAGGTACCTCTGCATGACTCTCGCCACGGACTGGTTCACGGGACCAGAGCATAGCTACACAGAATGTTCTTTCCTGCAAGCTGGAGCTCGAGCCCCCAACGACTTGGGCGACCTGGCTGCTAAACCAGAGCATTATTAACACCGACTGTTGTGGTGGCGTTTAAGATTCAGCGATACGCAACTGTGGACGTCAACAGAGTCAGCGTCTGGGTCCTTGTCGCCTACCAGAATTTCAAATATGTCTTGGTCCAGGGCATAGTCTCGTTTAGGCCCTAAAGAGGGAGCTTCTTTTCCTGTTCCGAGTCCATGTTGATTGATGGAGGCAAGTACAAACAACATGAACTTGTGATAGTATCAAGCAATAGAGTGAATGAAAACTAATATGCACAGCCAGCTTCGCTCCTACACCGAAACGCTCAGGAATAAACGCCTGCAACAAGCCCTGCGACCGTGGTCCCGGGTCTATCGAGACGGTGACATCACCAGCAAAAATAGCACTTATTGCCGTAGACTACGGAACCGGAGGGCGTGTGCAGAGTCAGTCCGTCGAAGGGTCTTCCTTCCAGCTCGCTTCGATTGTTCGACTCAGCAGCCACATTTACTAGGAAGGCGGTGAGTGCGCTGCCGAAACGGCAAAGCTTTCTAGTACGGGAGCAAGATAGAGCAGCTAAGCAGGAAGCTCGGGTCGCATGTATCATAACATGACCCCTTGAACAACAAGGCACCGCCCTGCAGGATCGTCTGAAAGCGCGTGAATAGGCCTAAACAAAGCCAGGCAACATCGCAACACTTGAGACGATAACCTATCTAGCTGGCCATGATGGTGGAACCGAGGTCAATAAGTCCGGCTTTATTTTCCAGACTTTTTGAAGGCGGTGACCCCGCGTCATAATAACGACCTCGAATCTTTACCCCAGCGGCAATTGACGGGGATCTCAGAGTATTAAACAACCTTGCTAGGTTCGGTGTCCATGACAGGCAACGGTATCAACTCTGATAACAACTTACAACTTTCTTAGGGAGGAATCTCACGCATGCAACAAGTTGAAAAGCTCAAAGCTCCAGCAGCTCTTTGGGCCATGGAAGAAGGTGTGAGGATATCCAGCCAGAGAATGCTACAGTACTGCATGTGGGGGCTACATCTGAACGACTGAATACGGATGTGAATCAGCCTATCACTTCTGCAATCGCTTTATCTACCTCCACAACTTCAGAGCAATTGCTGCAAAGGTGCACCATATCCGATACGAGCAGTAACCGGCATATGAAAGAACACCGCATACGCTGATGAAAGAGTCGTTCTTAGAATCTCTCACTCAGACTTCATTTCAAAACTCGGGTTGTAGCGGCCAAGAGCTAAAACCAGACATGTCCTTGTCAGGTCGCAATTCATGGGGCGGAGCTTGGGTCAACTTGGAGCTGGTCCCATGACTCTCAAAAAATAAAAACCTTGGAAAGTCATGCATCCGTTTTAAGACACAATCAGCATGCGGTTGAGGAAAAGGCTACGGATACGCTCCGTAGTAACAAGTCTGCACCTGACGGTTATATTCACAACCATGCCAGCCGCTTTAACCATGATATGCTCCTGGTTCTGAGGAAGACATGACCTACCCTGGCTATGTCTCCCACAGTTCGGCATGATTGGGCTATCGATCATACAAATGTCAACATATTCATTGGGGGTTTTGCCAGGCTTCTTGTCTCGACCAGAGCAATGGACCTTGCACTGTTCATCCATATCAATTGAAACCATACTATGGTTTATCCATTGCGTCCAAAGGCATTTCCACCAAAGAGTCGATAGATCACAAATCGCTAGGCATGACTTCACGAACGATCAGCCATTGCTTAACAGCAACAGAACACTAACTATAGCAATTGGGAGCTCACTTATCAATTCGAGTTGTTGTTACCCTCGTCGGCCCTGCTCAGCTCGTATTGTCGTGAGGACAGACCGGCTCTGTGCACCACGTCACTTCTCTACTGGCATGCTCACATCGATAGCCAAAGCATGTTGACAAAAGATAGAAAGAATATTGTGTACCTTCTCGAATCAAAGCGTCAGGTGTGTTTTCTACGTCATTTTTTCTTTCACTTACTGTATACGAAGCTTTAAGTTTCCGCCAGACGGTTGAATGAAACGATCAGTGGCTTTCACTTCATGACCGCTACGGGAACCTTCTCATCGAAGCCTCTCAAATGACATTGGGATCACTGCAACCTTGGCAAGACACAGCTCATCAGTGACGCATCTCCACCAATGCAGTTCAGTACCAGCTTACTGATAACATCTCGCTCTTCCGGCGTTCCATTTTCGGATCCCAATCACAGTAAATTGAAGGCATTGGCTTGTGTAACATAATTCATGTCTGATGTTCAAGGTAAGTTTCGGTCTCTAGGCCAGGATCCGGAGACTCGACCTAGGGTATCTTTGGTACATGCTATTCCATCTCATCACCTTAGAACCACCCGTCTCGGGCTACTTCTATCGTAAAATCCGCCTCGTATGCATGCATATCCTTGTCCTCAGGATGCAGGAAAAAATAAATAATGTTTCGGGATATCAATGCCTTGCCTAGCTCTGAGAATGCAGTCTCTCTGTGTCCAAACGCTCAGCCTTATCGCCTTCTCGTTACTATTTGAGCTGTTTCAGAATTTCTGTCAAAAAGTCCTCGAAACTCAAGGTGATGTAGCCGTCGCGGTCATCGTCGTACTTTTTGAAGACATCGGTCATGCGCTTCAAAGAGATACAGCTCTGAACGAACAGATCGAAGCTCATGACACCCTCATTTCGCTTGTCGTAAGTGTTGAAGAGCAACTCGACAAATTGGGGACTTAATCGGTATCGGAAAGCGACGAGAGCATTGTTGAACTCGGAGAGTGAGATGTTGCCACTGCGATCGGCGTCGAATCGGTCGAAGAGAGTCCTCCACGAAGCCAAAAATGACCAAAGACCGCAAAACTCCTCGAATCCAATAGTGCCGCTTCGGTCGGAGTCGAACATTCGGATCATCATGCGAACGGTATGGGGGTCGAAGGCAGTCCAGTCACCATTGACGAGTGCTGCAGATAGTTCCCTCTCAGAAAGATGACCGGTACCTACAGTGGATGGTCAGTATCTTATTGCTGATTAGAGCATGTTTGCAACAAGTAAGTCTTACCATCTTTGTCTACGGCACGAAATAGAGGCAGGAGCGAGGGATCGGAGCCACTGCCGTCGAGAGCAGGCGAAGGAGGGGGTCGTGAGTTGGTAGCAGGGCGGTTGTGAGCTTGAGGTCTCGCGCCGCCAGGGTTTGGAGGCGGGGACATATAACCGTGGGAAGCTGGACTCTGGCCTAGTGAATGGGATCGCGCATCTCTCTGGGTGGGTAGAGGCTTGTCGTATCGAGGCTGCTGCTGCTGATACTGCTGTTGAGGGGCGTATTGCTGGTGCTGCTGCTTGGGCGGAGCATAGTGTTGCTGCTGCTGGACAGGAGTCCTAGACTGTCCTGGCTTCTGAGGGTGCTATGTTAGTTCGTGGTTCTCGAGGCGGTAATGTCGATTTTCATGAGTAACGTACGGGCTCAGGCTCAGCAAATCTGTGTGAGTAATATTATTAGCCTTGTGTTGCATCGTGACGCCCTTCCTAAACTGTCACTTATTAAACGCAAACGCAGAGCCGCAGGGGACAATGCGTAGGCGCTTTAGAGGAGGGGCAGCCTGGTTGGAGATAACAGAAAACCATACCTGGGGAGGGCATCCTCGTCGTAGGGACGGTTGTAAGCCATGGCGAGTATGAAGCTTTGGATTTGTGATGTTTCTTATAGGAAGTGTTTCTGGATGGAGAGAAGTTGTAGAGCTGAAAGATGACGAGGTTTTGAGGTAGGTCGAGTTGGTGCGCGGCTGAAGAAGAAGTAGCTGGAAGCGCGGCCACCGTCACTGCCCTATGAAGGTCCCAGCTCTCTCCTTAGGTTAAGTATTACCTACTGCTACCCCAGGCTCAGGGGACGGGGATGGGAATTTCTCAGCGCGGGGCAGTGTCGTTTGGTTGGTGGAGCGTAATTGACGATAGAGCGTGGCTGAGTGGGTTTGATAGTGGGAATTTAGGTCTGACAAGTAGGACTCGGGCTTTTTCTTTCTCTTGCCTTTTTCTTTTGATGAGTCAACAAGGCGGATTGAGCTGACGTTAATATTGGATAAGTGATGCTAGCGTGTAGCAGTTCAAGTAGGAGAGTAAGATGAAAGAATGAGCCCTTGAATCAAGGTTGAGAAGAAGATGACATGATGGAAATACAATATCCAGTTCCCCGTTATCGGGTATTAAACTGGGTTCTCAACCTCCACTGAGGCCTTATCTGCAACGGCCTAGACAAGGTAGACAGCTACAAACCTTACTTGGCTCCTTGCCCTTCTTCCGTGCCAAGACAAGGTCCCTTGAATTTTCCTCAGGAATTTTTTCGTTCCGCGGATTCAAGTTTCATCATCGTCTCGATGGACTAAAGATTGAGCGGATTGGGAGCTGAGAGCTTAAATTAGATACGCCCGTTAAGAGAGAGAAATTGTAGCCATCGAATAAAAGCATGGAAGTCTATCATGGGGCCTCAGTTTTCGCTTTCGGAAACTGATCTGGAAAGAAAGACCCTTGAATCGGTCCCGTCCGTTCACTTGAGTGGGGTCTTTCACTTAAAACAGCAATTGGTGACGTCGGTGCTGAAAGGAAGGAAGCCGCCCAGACAGAGAACAGAGGGAAAGTGCGCCACTGCCCTCAGCCACTAGAGATCCATCGAGTCCAAGCACCCGACCCGACCTCACCTCGGTGGAAGGTTGGAAGATGGAAGGAAAATTGTTCCATTTCTGTTCTACAGGCTTCTCTGACCCCTGTCACTTGCTTGTTAGTGGCTCATCACCTCATCGGCTCGACAAGACACGATCTACTTACTGTACCTCCACTATCTCCATCTCGGTATTTGCATTGAACACTCATTGAGGCTCACAACTACCGATCCGAAACTCAGCCTCATAGAAGGAATAGACGGCGTTTCATAATATCACAAACTAAAGCCTGAGAGTCCCTTGATCACTAGTAAGCCACCATTTACCAATGACTATCATTCACCCTTCAGAGAAGAACATTACTAATATAATATACTCAGTCAACCTCAATATGGCTGACCAAAACTCGTCGCAATCCTCAGAATTCTGGTTATACGGATACGGGTATGCCTAGCTCTTCCTGACATCAGATTTCAAAGCACAGCTATTGACGCACATCTCCGTGTTACATAGGAGCTTGATATGGAAGCCTCCGCCACACTTTGGTAAGCACCTATCGCTTGCATTGTTCCTTCAACGTTCATGCCGCTGACATACAATCTCACCTTTCAGATCGGAGAATCCCTGGATGGGTTGACGGTTATGTCCGTCGTTTCTGGCAGGTCTGTTTCCCATGGGACTAAACACAATTGTCCTCAGCTAACACATTTTACAGGCCAGGTACCTTCAACGACCCGAGAGTCAATTCCTTTCTCAACTAACAAACATCCAGCGAGGACCACCGTGGCACCCCGGAAGCTCCAGGCCGTGTTGTCACTCTGATTGAGAGATCTTACTGGGAACAACTTACTGATCATCACGACTCTGCCCCGGAGCGAGTATGGGGTGTGGCTTACCGCATCATCCCTGAGAAAGTCGCTGAGGTCAAGGAATATCTTGACATCCGTGAAATTAATGGATATACAATCCACTACGCTCCATTCCAACCTGCCGATGGGTCGCCTCCCATCCGTACTCTGGTCTACATCGGAACCCCGGATAACGAGCAGTTCGTTGGTCCTCAAGACCCTCAGGAGCTTGCTGAGCATATCTTCCGCAGTCAAGGTCCCAGTGGTCTGAACAAGGACTACCTTCTGAGTCTCGATACGGCTCTCAGCGAGCTTGCGCCTGATAGCGGTGACAACCACATCCATGATCTTGCCCGTCGTGTTAGAGAACTCGAGAAGAACTGCACAGACGAGCACAAGGTTCTCAACCCAACACCGTCCGCCCATATGCAGAAGCATAGTACCGAGGAGGCAGAGGAGATCGAAGAACCGCAACATTGAATCTAATCGGCTTCTCATGCAATCTGAATAGACGATCTCGAACACTATAATGTGAAGGGATTAGTGAACTCAGAAACAGCTTGTCAATAGATCGAGACTTCACGTCCAAACCATTACCCATAACGAGTACCGATGCTATGTTGCTCGAGTATATAAGCACACTTCGACTTGTCACGCAAAACCTCACATACCACGAGGATAAAAGAGAAATAGAAGAAACCGGCTGCATACAGCGCCATTTCATAGTTTCAGGTCTGCCTCCCAAGGCACCCTCTTTGTCTTTCGCACTAGGTTCATTCATAAAACGGCCGTGTCAAAATGGCGATCCAACCCAAGATGCCATGCCCTTAAACCATGCTTCAACCAAAGTATCCGGGTATAGTTGTGCGTTCCAATATGCTCACCAATGCCTAATGATCCAATCACAAAAAGGATCCGCAAGCCCAAGTACCAAAAGCTGTCGGAGTCGCTGGCCATCAAAACTTCATGCTTTGAGGCCCATAAACAAAGCTCGGGGCGCAATACGATGCCTCCATGCCCAACTCCCAGTCAAACTAATATCCTCTTCCACCCTGGGGATGCTGCTGCTGGGGAGCAAACTGCTGAGAGGGATCAGGGTATCCGTACTGCTGCTGAGGAGGCATGAACCCTATAAAATGTTAACTTGAGCGCAAACGACCTGAGAGTTCCAGTGCAGCCATACCTTGAGGAGGGGCACCATAGCCTTGCTGAGGGGGTGGATATCCGCGGCCGTACGGCATAGGCGCGTACATGTTAGGGGCGGGCATCTGGTAGCCGGGTCCAGGAGGGCCCATTCCATACGGCATGGGGCCGCCGAAGTTACGTCCGTAGCCACCTCCTCCTCTACCGAAACCGCCTCGGGGGCCGTTGTCGGATGCCTTGTCAACTCGGATGGTACGTCCATCAAACCTATATACGGTCAGATCCAATACCATAACGTCATAGCAGTACTCATGTCATGAGGAACTGAAGTTATTCGTACTCGACATTGTTCATGGCTGCGATGGCATTCTGGGCGTCACCCTCCTGAGTGTATCGCACAAACCCGAAGCCGCGGCTGCGGCCAGTATCACGGTCCTTGACCACCACCTTCCAAGTCCATCGTTAGAAACGGTTTCTCCATCCAACAAACACCCGCATCAGAGCCACATATTTGTAGAACTAGAAGCGCCTTGCCTGAAGGATATTCATAAGGAATGGATTAACCTACAGCTTCCTCGACGGGACCAAACTCCTCAAACTTTTGACGAAGAGTGGCCTCCTCTGTATGCCATGCTAGGCCACTGCGACTGAATTAGCAGCTGATGGTGAGATGAAATGCATGGAACCAACCCGATGAAAAGTTTCGACATTGCGAATTGTGAGATCTGTTCTCGATTAGCTATTAGCTTTATTCGTGGCAGAACATGGAATGAATGTCGGCCGTCCGGGATCGCAGGCGTTCCTTAGAAGATCAAGCTCATAGAGTCAAGCTTTGGCATCCAGGATAACCTCTCCAACCTCAGCTCCACGACTGTTGCTTGACAAGATGCCGCGCGTCGTTTGCTTGAGGCACGCGCTTACATGCAACTCTGGCCAAGAGAACGGCAGAAAAGGGTGTTGGGAGACAGAAAGAGCGCACCTTGGTTGTCTCGAATATGTAATTCCGGGATTCCGTTTTATAGACAACTTCGATTTGTTATCCAAAACCAAGACTTATCGCTGATTATCAGGACAGATTTACAGCCAGTTGATAGATGAGCAAGTTTGGCAGAGAAATGTGAGGTGTAAGGTGTAGAAAGGAAGAAAGAAGATGAAGGTGGAGCTTCAACACAGTAGGAGGTTGCAGAAGCAGTATAGTAGCTAAGGCAAGGCAGCGTACAGTATAGCTCTAGCTTAGCTTCTGTTCACTAGACGGCGCAGTGCAATCCAGTGCAGTCCAAGAATGAGAGTGACGATGTAGTAAGAGGGGTCTTGGTGAATTAAATGAAATGCGGGCGGAGCGTGACTGTCGAGATTATGTATGTACCCTGCAGCGTAATGCAAAGCAGCGTAGCGCAGTGAGCGAACTCGAGGCACGACAGGCGGGCAGGCAGGCAAGCAAGCAAGCAGGCACGTTGTTTCTGTAACCCAGAGCGGAATGACGATGCTGGCCAGGGGTAAGTGCAGTGCTGAAGGTGATAAGTTTAAAATATCTCGTTTGTTTGATGACAAGTTGATTAGGTGACCACGTTTCGCGAATCACGCTTCTGATCTTGACATTAAAGTGTACCAGACTCACTTCCACATCACCTATTCACAACCCAAGCCAAGCCAGGCTACCTCCTCGCGTCGATCCCAGACCTGATGGGCTCATCAATGGAGGCAGTGCTGGTGAACTGCACCGCTCCGCACCGTAACTAGACTACCCGTCACCGCGACAAGCCGACCAGGGGTGTCTGTTTCGGTGCTTGGTCTGGCAAGGAGCTTTCTCCAAACAAGCTTTATGTGGCAGAATCAGTAACAGGGGAAGCACTAACACTAACCCACCACCCACACCGTGGTCATGAATGCTAGGTTTGGTACCAATTAGCCAGCCATTGACCAAAGACTCCTGCAGCTTCAAACGACACAAGTGAATGGAAGCTTATGCTGGCCCTGTGATGACGACGGGCCTCCACATCCTGGTCACAACTATCCCCCCACATTCACCCAAAGCCAAGCACTGTAGCTAGGCTCAAATCGCTCCTTGCCCCTAGGTCAAGCATAACTATTCGATGATCTTCCCCCTTCTCATCATACTGCTAGTTTTCAATTCGCCGTTGGCATAGCCCCCTTCAACCCACTTGCTCCCAATATCCCGGTCCTGCTCCCTGAGCTTCGGGCCCTTGAGTTGATGGGGAAGCTTTAATATCCAGAATGGGCGCCTATCAACCAACATGTGCTTTGCCTGTGCCGCACATAATGTTGTCAAAATATGTGCTACGACGCCCTGCATCGTCAAGATACACAACGCCGTCCCGTTTCCCTTGGCGATTTATGTGTTCCTTTTCGGGGTATTATTTGAGCCCCGCCTCATCCAGAAGCCTGTCGTTAACACGTGCTGCCCCTCCTCCCCTGGGTGGAGCAGATCCAGGGGCCAAGCAAGTATCTTGAAGCTTGGAGGTGATCAAGAATTGAGAAAGCTCGACACTGATTTGTTCCTATTTCTGATGTTTTCAAGAAGAAGGAACAGGTGGATATCTTCCAGGGTCTGTGCAGAACGTTTCCTGGCTTGCAGCTAAGGTCATGATCTCTCCAAGCTTCGTCAGGACTTAGACGCGCGGATTGTATAATTTCCCCGAGCGGAACTGCCAGGGGCACGTAAGGATTGAGGCGTGTAAGACAAGAGCTAAACCATGCAGTGAAACGTGCAGAGTGTCAAAGCTTTTCCCGCTTCGTAAAGCATGAAACGAGTTCCAAGTAAAGACATTCTCCGGTTGTAATGCTTTACCCGTCGAGTTGGATCCGAGAGATGTGTCTGCAATACGACGTTTATTGTTAACTTGATTTCAGAGAGGTACACAGGAAGCCTTACTTCACCAAACTCTGAAGCCAGTAACAACAATGAGTGCCCTGAAAGATGTGCAGTAGCGTGGTGAAACACCAAATTAAGCATTGCTGCGATGTCACCTTGGCAGCGGCTTAGTAGATTGAATCGTCCATGCCAAGAAATGGCTGCTGGATCCAGATATCAGGGACCAACACTTTGTTGACGAGTTCCTAAAGCGGACAGCCGAATCGACGCTGTCGCCATTTCCGACGTTATCGTTGGCGAGATTGCGACTGTAGTATGCGAGTTACTGGGCTCTTAAACTCAAGTAAGTCTTCAGTGGTATTGATATTCCTGTCGCTTCTAGCATCTGGAGGAAACAAGAATAAGAACCTGAAGTCTCTGTCATTGCCAACAGAGAGAACGACGCACTAAGTGCCTACCTAGGTAGGTAGGTAGGTAGGTAGATATGGAAGATTCTGTTAGTGGAAGGAGCAAAGAACGTGATTATATTTGATGCACCTTCCTCGGTTTAGACTTGGGTGAGCACCTTCCTGCCTCACATGTTGTTGTAACTACCTGCCTTGCCTCTTTATCTTGGGTTGGGCAGGACCTGCCTACCTACCTAGGTGGTGGGTAAGAAGAACCGTTGGGCTCTAGCAAGACTTCTCTTTTGATTCAGCTGTCAAAAAACCGAAGACAATGCCTCACCAATGCTGATCCCTTGAGAAAATCCTTCGTCCGCCAACAAGGAGATCCTCTCTCTATCCTCTAGATCTGAATGAGGTCAAGGTGCGATCGCCGTCCAACGAATGGCCAGGCACAGGCCAACTACAGGACCATACGAATCTCGAGTCGATCAGGCAGCAACGCTCCTCGTGATGGCTTTGACATTGTTCAATCTTGGTTGAATGCAACACCGGGTCCCAGTGGACTGGCTGGCTCGGAGGAACATGATTCACAGACTAATGACCGGCTTCGAGAAATAAATTGGCGACCTAACAATCTTCCTGTTGAGCCCATATCACCGATCCGACATCGAAATGATCCTCAAAGAAATAGGCAGCTCCCTAGAGAACCCGCTTACACCACGTCTCCGGAACTCTATCTTGATGATCTTGATACAGCATCGCAACTCGAACCTGTTGTTGAGACTGGCTCTAACAAGGAGAATAAGAAAAGGTCTCGTTCACTTTCACGTCAAAAGTTGTCTGATGATACATCCGAAAAAAGCTCGTTTGGACGACGGCCAAGGAGAAAGACACGCCTAGATCGATATACTTCCAAAAACAAGGGGACAGGGAGGTCCTCGGTAAAGGCCAAGAAAAAGTCGAGAAAAAATTCCCGATCAAAAAAGCATCTTCTTCGATCAAGCCAAGACGTCGTGACCAATTTTGTGTCTGGTGCTATCCCAAATACGAGGGTAACGGCGAGTCAACTAACTACAACCTATCGGGAAGATGCCCAGAATTTCTAACGTTATTTGCATAGATGAAACCAAACCTCACTGCTGGACTTTTTCTGAATGGCCGGTCATCTACTGCTGTACCAGGTAGGTCAGATTTCAGGACCATACCATATTGGCCGCTTCTGAACAGATTACAGTTACCGACCTCATGCTGAATGACACAGCATTCTTGGAATTAGGCACAGGTGTGAGAGAGAATCATAAAGATTCTCAGCTTAGCACCAGCGAAGAAACAGACCATGAAGAAGACAGGATTACGGACAACCTCGACCCATCCTCTCGGCCATGTACGAATTTCTTGACCACGCCAGGAAACAACAAAGATACAAATACAAGCGAAGCCGTTGACAATGACTTCCAGGAAGGCTCCAACTCACCCAGTAGAACTAGTTCGGAATCATGTTATGAAAGCCCAGGGACGATGCTCAAGAAGCTCATCAAGACTGGTGTCTTTGATGGCACAGGCATTCTAGATAAGGAAACACAGCCAAGTCGCGTTCATGGTGATGGAAACAACATGTTTGAGAAATCGGAGCCGGCTGAGATCCATACAAGCCGAAGAGGGGGACTGAAGGCAAGCTGCACTAGAAAGAACCAGACTCTACTAGTAACAACGCAGCCTCCTTCGAACAACGCAAGGTCCAACCAGACTTGCAGCGAGAATCACCTTAACAAAGCGAACGATTCATTGTGCTTTGGACAGCGAGATGAGAGCTTGCCCCTCTACATTGACAGCACCACGCAAGTATACTCACCCGATTTGGCAAATCCAGTCGATGCGGAAAACGGAAAGGGGCACGTCATAAGTCAAGGTTCTAGGCACGACGACAAGACAGAAGACTCTACCACTAACATCAGACGGCAGTCTGTATCCAGAACTTCGGAAGGAGGTCACCATTATATTCAATGCGTTCATACAGACAGTGCCCCAAGACCCGTGCCTACAAATTTTGAAAGAGATCATGGGGATTTTGATTACCTTGTTGGCTCAAAAAACATACTGAATCCCGAACTTCAAAACGTGGAGCAGAACGTACATGATGCATGGCAACGCTACGGTATGGACATTCCGATACAGCAGTCGTCAGCTTATCAGCAACCTTTTTGCTTTATTCATGGGCTCGACATGCCAGCACCTTCTACGTCCTCCCATGTACAATTTCCAGAGGTAAACTACTCTATCCATGATGGACAAGAGCACGAGGAGCCACAGCTCCAGGAGCAGCACTCAAGTCATGGCAACGAAACATTGCAAGATTTCCTTGAAAGAATTGACGGTAAGGTAAGTTTGAGATAGGATGAGACATACCAGACTCTGCAAGATGGTGATGTTGGCGATATGGCAGGGTATGCTCAAGATGGGCTCGGGTTTGTGCAGTCAGACTTGGGTGAATTACAAAATCAGGGATATAGCCGAGGAAGTGGCCTTTCTCAACCTGGCGCATATCCGGACTATGAGTCAGAGATACATCAACACATGTTAGAAAACCGGGAGAGACTAGACGATCAAGCTGGTTGTTCTGCGGGCAGGATGTGTGACAGCTACGGTGCGCCAGATGCCGAAATGCTTGCATTCTGGAGGCCCAATCGTTTCTAGGATTATGTAGTTATGTATCGCCTACTGAAATTTATGTATGTAGGTCTAGTCAATGCTCATTACTCTGGTTCTTGGTCCTTCCATTTGTTTCTCAAGCTCTGAATATCGATGCCGCATTGCTCTGCCTTTGCGATTACAGCACTAGCCTTGCCAACAACAGGAGCATCGATCATCTTGCCATCAAGCGTCCAGGCACCTCGTCCCGAGGCCGAAGCCTTCTCATCGGCAATAGATATTCTTATGGCCCATTCTACCTCTTGCTGATCTGGCGCAAACATGCGTTGTACCACTTCAACCTGGCTAGGGTGAATGCATTGCTTTCCATTGAAGCCCATTGATTTACCTCCGGCGCATTCCTCTTCAAGAGTCTTGAGCCCCTGTTCTCCTTTGTAAGATGTACAAACAAGATCAATGGCACTGGGTAGTCCGGCAGCTCGGGCAGCGGTAACGATGGCTGACCTGGCGTACAGAAATTCCGTCAATGATGGAGTCCTCGTTAGAGATAGGTCGAGGGCAAAATCTTCGGCGGCGAAAATGAAGCCGCTCAGATATGGAGACGCTTTGCATATTTGCGAAAGATCCATGACAGCACGAGCCGACTCTATGAGACCGATAATCTTGATTGGGTTCTCTGCGTCCGTTGCATGTCGTTCTGGAGCAACATGTCGAAGAACATCAGTGACAAAGGTCAGATCAGCTGCCGAGTTAACCTTGGGGACAACGACCGCATCGACATGGCGCAATGGAGCTAGTGTGGTCAAATCTGAAAGCGCAAAGGGAGTCGAAACAGCATTGATGCGGACAGCCAGCTCAGAGATCCCAGATGGGCGGCCCTTAAGGTTTGATATGTGCTCGCGGAGTTGGTTCCGAGCTGTTTCCTTGAGAGAAGGCGTGACAGAGTCTTCAAGATCGTATGTGACATTGTCTGAGCTGAGACCAAGAGACTTTGTGAGCATCTTCTGTGATGAGCCCGGAACTGAAGAGGGGTGTTAGTCCTGTAAAGCAATTGGTAAGGAGCAGTTGGACTTACCATAGAGTAATGAGCGCCTAATGATGGATGACGATCTGGCAGCCATTGTGAAAGATTTCTGCGTGTATAGCACAAAGTTTCAAGCACGTATTCATTCACGAAACAACAATTGAGTGAGTGTCTTAGGAAGACCGAGGTTGACTGTTGCGACTTATACGCCAGTACCCGCCTCCACAAAAGCTCATGACGTCCCAGCTAACGGTTCCAGGGTCGGGTATCAGAAAAATTGGCCGCAGAGGGCATAGAGAACGGAATAAATTGATCATTTCATGTCATTTTAAGCAGTCAATTAGACTACTTTATTTTGACACCCTAGGCCCTCTATAAAGCTGCTACCCAGTAGCAAGGTCGAACATCCATTCTGCCACCTCTTACCGCTTGCCAATTCCATCAACCAGGGGTTCCTAACTGTCGCGGATCAATGCTCCATCCCTTGCGCGGCTTGATGAGAAGGCCAGCTTACACAGTAGCTTCAAAGCTCTCTCGACTTAAGAACCACCCACGTATTCTTCGTCTTTTTTTCTCACATACGGCCGGCCTTTACGAGATCGAATCGACACAATCGTTTTTCGACTTCCCTCTACGAATACGAGTCCCTTTCAAGCGATAATATCGAGATACTGACGTATTCCTGAATATCTGTAACTTCGTCTATCATGGATGCCACGCAACCGCAGCCCGCCGCGCCGGGATCTCTCAGCTGGCGCCTCAGCGCGCATCCCATTACGCTCCTCACCTTTCTCGGATTCAGAATATGTGCGTCTCCTACGATTTTCTGAGACCGTCGACGAGGCAAAGCACAATTGGCTAACTTGGGCGTAGCAAGTGTCCTCATCTACTTTCTCGGCCTGTGGATCATACAAAGCATGTGCGTAATCAACTCTCTCTCGCGATGAGAGTGCAGAGATATTGACTTATTTTTCTTTTCAGGATCATGATTTTCATCATCACCATTCTCCTCCTCGCCGCCGACTTCTACTACATCAAGAACATCGCCGGACGTCGTCTTGTTGGTCTGCGATGGTGGAACGAGGTTGATCCTCAGTCAGGAGAGTCACAGTGGGTGTTTGAGAGCAGCGAGCCTGGAACTAAAACCATCAACCCTACCGATAGCCGCTTCTTCTGGCTCGCTTTGTATATCCAGCCCATGCTGTGGGTTCTGATGGCCATTCTTGCTCTCGTGCGACTGCAGTTCCTATGGCTGCCCCTCGTTAGTATGTTGATAATACCTACCCGTGACAGACACCCCAACGGCAGAAAGCTAACACTTTGCGTCAGTCATCGCTCTTGTCCTTACAATCATGAATACCCTGGCCTTCTCTCGGTGCGACAAGTTCAGCAACGCCTCTAGCATTGCTGGAACCGCTTTTGGCACTGGTAACCTGGCCGGTAACATCGCGAGCAACATGGTCAGCAGCTGGTTCTCCCGCAGTTAACAGGCAGTTCCTTTTTACAAGGTATCCTTGTGCTTATGATGTCGGTGGGCGAAAAGGGTGAGCATGTTTGATCTGATACTGCAAGGGCAGACTTTCGTGCTGTATCGGCACGGAAGGGTGTAGACTAAAATCAAAAGAGTTCTTTCAGTATTAAGTGTGGATTTGCTGTAGAGATCTGCTTCAAGGCGTCTATGGATAGGAAATGTACAACTATCAGAGTTTCACTTCGAATTATATGGACCCGCGCTACTGTGTAGCAGAAAGATGACCCTCTAAGGCTTTGGGCATCAAATAAGTAGCCTCAATCCTCGTCTTAACTGCCATATTTTGTCTGTTGTTTTCGTCTCTTGAGCTCTCCGTGGCCAGTTCTCCTGATGTCCTGACGCCCCTGTCAATTGTTTCTCGTTTCGTTTGAAACGATACTTACGCACGATCATTTCGTGGTAGGAGAGTAACAAGACCTATCATGAGAAAAATGTGTATTAAAACTACATCTTCAAGCTTCATAAACGCTACATTTTGGCAAAATATCGTAGAAATTTGGCCCTTCATCAATCCCGCAATAAAAAGAGTCTGGTATTTTCCCAAGCATGGATACATACGGTCAATCAACCATGGACCATACACTCCGTCGTAGGCGAAGTATTCACAACGCTGCTACGATGAACAAATCAACCAGCTACCTAAGTAAGCGGCCAGCCTAAAGCGACCGTGAGAGAACTAGATTTGACATACGCAAAAACTCCAAACCCCAGGATGCACGAAACGACAGAATCTCTCGCCTTTTCAGGTCGACAGATAGCTTTTGCCCATACGAGGCGGCACTATCGTCTCGCCGCGCGCTCAATCTCATCGTCCAGCTGCCGTTCCTCTTCCTCCAGTCTTCGGATTTCTTCGGCTGTCATGCCATCTTCAACAAGGTGCGCAACGTTGGAAGACATGCCCTGGGGCGTCTGAACACCACTGTTGGCTCCACGATCGTGAGACCCCATAGATGAACGACCAGGTGGGGGAGTTGAACCAATACCACGATCAACATTGCCGACGGCGATAGGCTGCATGTGGTGTTCATCTGAGTAGGGTGAGTTGGGTGAGTCACTGCTACGGCCATGGGTTTCCTTGTCCACCGCATAGGTTTGTTGTGTGATGTACTCTTCGCTGGGCTGCTTGCTGCGACGACGTCGGCGGAGGAGGAACCATACCAGTGCACCTATCAGCAGAAGACCGCCAATAACAGCGCCAACAGCAATACCAGCGGTTGCGCCAGTCGAAAGCCCTCCGCCGCCGCCGCTGCTATCACTAGAACCGACACTTGATGTGGAGCTTGTACTCCCTGAGGTTGAGGATGGACCTGGTGGAAAGGTGGTTTCTGGGTCTTCTTGTCCTTTCTGTTCCTCTGTCAGGCGATTCTGAAGTTCGGTTACGTTGCCTGTGTTGTCGGTGACAGTGAAGAGTATCGATTCGGTCTGGCCCTGATTTCCATCATCTTTCTTCCAATCGACCTTGATTTGCATGGTATTGTTATAGTACTTGCTGGTTTCACCCGTGAAGTCAAGTATTATCGAGGACTTCGTGGCTGTGTCGCAATGTATCAGCAAGAAGCGTGCAACTGGGAGCATGAATCATGTTTTAGAGCAGATCTTACCATTGTGAAATTGGTTCATCTCCCTCTTGGAAGAACCGGAAGTGATGTTGCTGCCCAGCGTTTTGATATTGTTATCCACGGTAACCTGCCATACCACTTTTCGGAGGGTGGTCGTCTCTTCATCGTAGTCAAAATTCACCATTCTCTCCCGCTGGTTATCGGCAACCACAAATACTTGTCCTTCTTTGAAAAGGTTCGGATCGAAACTAACGACCTTATCGCTGTTATCTTTACCAGACTCGCCTATGCCTCCACCGCTCTTGTTGTCGTTATTTGACCCAGGACTCCCAGAACTATCCGATTCTTGAGGCGTGTCACTGGCTGCAGGCGACGGCGATGCTGATGCCTCTTGCACGACTTTCGCAAGATCGCCTGGACTGTCGTCATTTTGGACTTGGTTGGCCAATTGATCCATTCTGCTGCAGCAAGAGTCAGGTTGAGTAGTTTCAAAAATTCTCAAGTCGCTCGTTTACTCGTCCAAAGCCCGTCCGTCGTATTCGAAGTTTAATTAGAGGCCAATCCAGTCGTTCGTCTTTCGTGATGCTCGTTCGTTGAGGTGTAGTCACAGACCCAGGTTATTTCCAACCACCAACGTATATCGTTCGGAGACAAGTCCCCAAGGACTGATAATGGAAGACAGCACAGCGCAAGTGAAGCAAAAGGGAAGTTGTGTATTGGAGGTTTGGATACGAGGAGCAGTAAGACGAAAAGAAAGGTGAGCGAACAGATGGGGAAGGGAACAAAGAAAACAGACAGGAAGAAGCCAACGGTTAGGTCACTCGTTCCTTCCCTGTCACATCTCTTCACTCTCCGTCTCCTCTCCTCCTCGCTACTGCGGAAAAGCCTGGCCTGGCTTGACCTGGATGGTTGCAAGTGCAGCCCCAGGGCGTACTCAGCCTGGCCAACTACTGTACTAGGACTCACGTACGAAGTGTACACAGCAAGTACAGCACAGTGCTTGCCTAAAGGGGTAAGCTTAACGACTTGGGCCACTCCGCTCTCATGCTTTCCTTCCTGCACGGTTAGAAGGAAGGCGCACCCTGGCCTAGCGGTTTTGTTTCTGCTTGGCTGGGCTGAGCCGCTGAACGAGGATCACTGCAACAAACGGCTTTCCTCCCACACGCTGACATTCAATCTGAAACGTTTTTTATGCCAGTTTCCATCTTCTGCATGCATTGCCTCTCCGCTGGTTTCTTATCACAATGAATTTGAGCAACATTGGGCGGCAAAGTTGTTGGCAGTACAAAGATTCTGTTGTTTGATGGCTTGACCATCACGCCAACTCAAGCATTCTCAGCTGAGATGAACGAGAACAAAAGGAATGCTCTATGCCAGTTACGGTTTGGGCCGAACTGGGGTGGTGTCCAGACCCCTGAAACCACTTGTACCCTGGACTCCCGTCTTTAAAGGGATGGGATGGGATGGAGTCCTGCTGTCAGCACTAAGGTACCGATGCTGGAGATACCGAACCATGAGTGAGAAGAAGACTTTTTTTATGGATTGCTGACAGGATTGGACTTTGCACTGCCTTGTGGTCAATTTCGGTGTTTACTTCTTATACTCCGTACGATTCTTCGGATGCAGGTCTCCTCTCCCACATACTTACTCCATGTCTCTCTTTGACTCAACAAGACACAAAGAAGGCGGCTACTGAAGAGAGATGCATTCTCATGAGCGTCAAACTGTGGAGATGGCAGTGCAAGCCCTGTCAAATGCTATTCGAGCACTCTGCCCTATGAAACCCCGGCATTGAAGCACCCAGGTTTTCCAGCCTTCCTCCAATAGGGAAAGCCACCTGCGGCTGACAGGTGGCACTGTGAAGTACAAGCTCTAGACTTTCATTAGCGCTAACATATTCCTGTCTTAGGGGAATTGGCGCTGAGCCCCGTCAGCCCCAAGATTACCATTTCAACTATCGCTCACTCATGTGTAACTGAGAAAGATCTGGAAGAGAAGAGATGAATGTCTTTTATCTTGATCAAGAAGATTGAATATATATCAGGATCCAACAGAGTCCACATTCATTCATATTCGTACACTTGCTGCTATAGCTGTGTGAATGACTGCCCCCTTCGCTGATCACTCAAGCTCAAACACCACTATGGTGCCACATATGGCAGGATTCAAGTGCTGCTCATCTTGTCTTCGCCCCCAGCAGCCTCTTGTACACCAACAGGACGACGATCTCGTCTGCCCTCGCAAGATTTGCTCCGGCGTTGAGACATGCAAAAAGCAGTTGTGCTCTGACTGTGAGCCACCAAACAACCACTTCTTCATAGGTGTATGAGTGAATTCTGCTTACACGACGGATCGTCCGCTTGGTTACTTTCTGACCCAATAAGCATACCACTGGAGACATACTCGGCTTTCAGCCGCTTCTAAGCAAACCTTCAACTTGATGCTTTACGATGTTAGAGTAGCAGTCAGTCTTAACCACGCATCTTACCCTAAAGTTGACGACAAAGTCAAGCTTCTTCAATGTCTCGCCAGTTGCACAGCCAAGAGGCGTATTCCAATTCTCGCTGATGGTCGGATAGAACCATCCAGATCCAGTTTTGTGAACCACGTGTGTTGTACTCCTTGTTGTCGAGCGCACCAACGTATAGCGTGAGGTTACGTTAACAAAGATCGTCCAACAGTCACACGCATCACTGTGCTTTTTATAGAACTGGTGATCGGGCCAACAGTAAACAGCACCAGCCAACACATAGACCAATCATTTAGTTGATGCAACAATCCAAATGCATTAATATGTTGATTAATAAGGCTTCTCTTTCTCCTTCTCTACTCCATCTCATCTTCGTCATTGCTCGTACTTACCACGCCAGGTATTCTAGATAGGTACTAACTACTATGTGTGTTGATGCTCCAACCGTTTTTGATTACTCCTTCAGGAATGCAACATCCAAAATCTCAAGCCATGCGCCGCCATGAAACTCAAAGGGTAGAGTCGAGGTCAGAGACCTAGAGTCTGAACCCAGAGGCTGATCTCCTCTAACCGCCGACCTGTAAAACACCAACAACTCAAAAAGAACTCCTAGTATTGCCAATTCAAGCGAATGTCATTGAAATCTCCTTCTCCTTGCCAAAATCATCGTCGTCTGAATCGCCCCACGGCTCGTGCAGTGTCATCGTGGGCAGCGTTTGCGCCGTCTTCACCTGTGGTCGAGTTGGTGTAGTTTCTGTAGCTGGGGTTGTCGTACTTGCCGACCTGGGATGATCACCAAACGACGTATCAAATGTCATCTGGATATCGTCCTCGTCGTGCCGGTCCGAGCTGTATGCATTGCCGTTCCCTGAACCAAACCCCCCGCCGTACGGTGAGCTGTAACCAGGTGGTGATGCCTGTCGGGTATAACTGGGTGTGTAACTGTGAGACCGTTCCTGGGATCCTTTAATCTCGTGCGAGTCCCGTGCTGTACCCAAATTGGTCTGAGACGCAGCTTTGGAGCCGTTGGCAGTCGCCGAAGGAGAACCTGGGAGTGACGATACATCCAACTTCATGGGAGGTAGCGTTGACTTGATCTCCTTGACCTGGAGATCTTCATGACTGGCATAACGATCACGAGCTTCCTTGGCAATTTCTGCCCGAATAGCGTCGATGTCGAATAATACGCCAGTATTGCTGTCGCCTTGCCCTCCTTCCTTTGCTTTGTCTTTACCTTCTCCGTTCTTCTTTTGATCTTCGTAAATCTCCCAATCCTGCTTTCCAACGTTCTTCTTTCGCCCAAAGAAGCTGAACCGTCCAGATTTCTTAGCCTTACCCTCCTTTTCAAGATTCTTACGGGCTTCTTCGATCTCGTTGATAAGCTCTCGTTGCCGCTCATTGTGATTGTCAGGGTCTGGGTCCTCAATTTCGACAAACTCCTCGCTCTCAACAGACCACCCACATCTCATCAGCAACACAGGCATCTTCTGACGATAGTCCATGTGACCATTAACGAGATCAGTGACATCCATGTTCTCGATAAAGGGGCATTCCTCGATCGGAGCTAGACCAGCTACCCGACGAATACCTCCACTTGTGAGTCGGAACAGATAACCGAGAATCCAGTCATTTCGGTTGTAAGCATTGACAAATCGGCCAGAAACAACAGTCTTGGCCTTGATATACTCCTCCTTGCTCACGACGATAGGTGAGCCAAACATATAGACATTCTGGACAATACCAATACCACCCTTCCTACTGAGCTCCTGAAGACAAGAGAAGACCACTCGCGCTCCGATAGAGAATCCTACCAATGTAATTGGTCGGGTTCCCAAGTTGCGCTCAATTAGAGAATCCGCAAGGATCTTTCCGGCAGCGGTAGCACGGTCCAAAGAGACAGCCCAGGGATTATCAATAAGATAGGCTAGTTTGGTCAGGATGATTGGTAGTTGAATAGCCGACATAAGAGTGGCCAAGATGGTTGTACCAAGAATTTGTTGAATACTTGATGTAAGAGCCTTGGGAAATTAGCCTCGCATACCACATGGTGAGCAAACGAAATACTTACTTCTGTAGCCAGGATGTTGATGGTGTCACCCATACTTCGAAGCATCTCAGGCTCGAAAAGCACCGAGTAGATATCACCCATTACAGGATCGACTGTACTGAAAGGCAAGCGGACGTCATCGACCTTACCAGTAAGCCATCCAGAGATAGTCACAATTAGATTGACTCGCTTGTTATTGTGGAGAGGTCGGTATTCGAATGTTCTGACGGCACCAGTTCTTCGGCCTGCAGCGCGGCCTCCGATAAGGCTTCCTGATGCTGCTGCGCCTGACGTGATGATAGCCGCACCTCCAACACCGCCGAGAAAACTGCCTGTTCCTGTCACTCCAACGGCGGTCAAACCAGTAGCCAGGCCAGCACCGATAACAGGAGCGAGAAGTCCAGCTGAGAGGCCGATGACCAAGCCACCACCTACTGTGGCTAGGCCCATCATGACATATCGACGAGTCAATGCCTTCTTCCTTCGAGCTTCTGTATGCTCTTCCTCATTCCAATTCTCCTTTTCAGCCGCTTGTTGCATTTCCAGAGCCTCGGTGATCTTCTTCTCGAAACGGCAGATGTCAATCCACGTGATATCGAGACTTTGGCCGACTCGCTCCAGCAAAACTCTTGAACGTGAATCATAGATAGAATCAGCAATCAAAAGGAGAAAGAGATCACAAAGGACCGTCCATCGTAGATCGATATCAATCTTTGAAGTAGTGGGAAGCTGCGATGGCGTCTTGACCTCAGATAGTTCCTCGCCGTCAAGTGCCTGGTATGGTGGTGGTGCTTCGGCGGGCTTCTCTTCCAGAGATGGGGTACCTGGCATAGATGTCTCGCCGTCTGCCATAGGGTTTGCCACTCGGGCGTTGGTAACAAGCGCCGGCGATAAATCTTGGGGCATCACTCCATGCTCGGCCAGCTGCTCAATCATGATTTGCTCTGCTTCATTAATCTCCATGTGGGAGTAAAGCCTCAGCATCATCTTCTGACCCCACATCAACATGGATTCGACTGCAATGCCGACGTCCTTCTTAGTCTTCTTAAACGACTTCAGCTTTTCCTCTTCCTTCACAAGTCTGACAATTTCCAGGCGAACCAGGCCAACGTACGCCACTCTTTGGCCTTCTGTTAAAAGATCTTTAGTAGCCTGCATCTGACCGACAGCGTCCCGCCCATCATCGTCATCCACCATGCTGGTTCCAGCTGCACTCTTGAAAAGGTATTTCGTGTTTTCGTCCATGCTTGTCGCAGACTCGGCGTCGTCATCCAGGAACACACGAGTATAGCCCTTTCCGGCACCACCCAGACCTCCATACTGGTACGATTCAACTTCCTCGGGGTCATATTCCTTAGCAATCAGCTTATCGTCATCATTATACATGTCATATCTGGCGTATGAAGGCATCTCCTGCCATTCTAGATCTTCCTCCTCCTTCTTCTCTTCCGGCTTAACAGTGATCTTTTGATGAGAGAATTCAGAGATCTGCTCCCGTTTGGGCAGCGTTTGAGAAGCAGGAACAAGCGTTTCTTCATTGGACTTGGCAACCTCTTTCTCGTCAACGTCAACCTCGGTATTTGTGGGCTTCTTGGGAACATCGTCTGCTCCTGCTTGTGCTTCTTCAGGGCCTTTCGGTTTGGAGTCACTAGAGGGCGGGGTTTCGGTTTCAAGAGCTTTGCTGTCTTGTTCTGGCTTCTCAGGGAGGTTGTGTGCTTCGGATTGAGCCTCTTCAGGGACTTTCGGCTTCGAATCCTCGGGAGCGCTTTCGGTCTCGAGCGGTTCGTTCTTCACATGCTTGGTCTCGGTCTCAGTCGGTGTGGGAGTTTCCTGCGCGACAACAGGGGTTTCGCGAGCAGTCTCCTTTCTAGGGCTGGACTGCTCAGATCGGGCATCTTCGAAGGTATCGCTCTGGTCGTCTGCTTTGACAGCTTCGCCGGTAGGAGGTGTTGGCTCATCTTTAGTCTTATCGTCGTTTCCCTCAGGGGCTTTCTGTTGCTCGTCGCTCGTAGCCCCGGTAACCGAAGCAGAGACGGGCTTTTCTTCTGTAGCCGCATCGGTGGGCGCATCGGCAGGTTCATCGATCTTTGGAGTCGGATACCGCCTGATGGGCAGGCCGAAGTCGTCTACATCAGCCTGGGTAGTCATGATGTCTCAATGATTGAGGATTGTGATTATGTTTGGTACCCCCGCTCAACGGGTTTGTCGGTAAGAAGAACTGCGTCCTTGAAGAAGAAGAAGAAGAAGAAGAAGAAAAAAAGATTGAGAGGAGAAAGATGACTCGGGTGATTCGAATGCGCTTCAGATAATGGATCGAAAGGGCCGAAGGCCTGGTAACGACATTCGACCCCAGATCAAAAGTTCTGCGGGCAATTAATAAGTCCTCCAGTGCTTCTTTAAGTTTGAAGCCGGTCAAAGAGTGAGGTAAGATGATGTAAGTGGTGATTCGACGACGCGAGAATCACCCCCGTAACAAGAGCTCGATCGAATTGTTGTAAAAGAACGAGCTACGGGCGTTGCTATTGCCCTCGTCCTTCTACTATTCCAGAAACGAACTCCTATATCGAAGTGGATAAAATCCGTCTTGAATTGCGTTGAGTGGGGGTCGACCCATCCCCATCTGAGAAGATGGCTGAGTCGGAAGCGGTTGATGGCCCTGGCAGACAGCGGATAGCGGGTTTCTTAGTGGACGTCAGCACCTTGGTGTAAGGGATCCATGCAATGGATGTTCCACTGCATGGGTCTTGTCATTCACTGCAGGCCCATAACCTATGGGATATTGGATCTAAGGCATCTCAATTTCTTCTTCATACCTCACGCGACCCCTAATACTTTTTGGCCAAAGGGGACGTGATGCTCCTCGATCTGAATCCCTTTAGTCAATTGATCGTGACACTGTTGCCCAACAAGGATCAGAACCAATGCAATTTGAATGCATCATTTACCAATTAAATTGACACCGTCCACTCTAAACGCTTTAAACACTATATCCTATTTTACCACGCCCCTTGTTCTCTGTTCTCCTCGCAACCTATGCTATGTTCTCGGGTATCGCTAACGGCGCACACTCCTTTTGATAAACTACCTTGGCGCATCTTCTGGGATTGGCACGTGGTCCCTATTAGCATTCCTCCCATAAAATGCCCGCTTCTTTCCAAGACTTAAGCGTCTGTCATGACCACCTCGGCGGCAGCAGTGTTATCCGCTTCGCCTTGGTCTGCCGTCTCAGTGGCAGTCTTGTTCCGTCTCCGTCTCTTTCGCTTGCCGGCGCCTTCTTGTGTGTCCTTGGCGTCGGAAGATTCCTGCTTCCGTGGCTGTTGTCCTTCGGTCTTGGATTTCTTCGATTTCTGAACTGCCAAAGGGTTAGGTCCTTTAGGACCATGGCCCTTCTTCTTCTTTTTCTTCTGGTCTTCGGTGGTACTGGCATCCTTCTTGTCGGTCTTTTCGTCATCGTCGTCTGCATCGTCTCGCTTTCGTTTGCCGGTGGCATTCTTGATCTCCGCTCGGAACTTGCTTCTTTCTTCTCTTGCTCGCACCTGGACGCTCTCGTCGGCCATTGGCTCAAGAATCATGACGCTCCTTTTGATATAAATGAGCGGAACGCCTCTAATTCCCCGTAGCATCTTTCGCACTTCCTGCTCTTGACTGGCGACCACATAGCGATGCTTGTTCTGGTTGGTATCCTTGGGGTCGACGACTGATCGCAGACACTCTTTGGTGCCCAGAGGCTCGGGGTAATCGTCGGGATGGTGTCCGCAACGCCTGCGCTCGAGCGTTTTTGCCAGCTCGATAGCTTCGTGATCTTTCCCTGTAGCGTAAAGTTTTCGAATCTCACATTGGGTCACCACTAGTCACATTAGCAACCGGTCGCGGACACAGCTTGTTGACGAGACATACTGGGCTTGACCTTGCCATGAACAGTCCTCGATAGAGCAGGCTCAAGATCCATTTTGAATCGGCAAGAATCTCTGATCATCTCGGCATCGACTAAATATTGTAAGCTTCGTTCGACTCCGGCGCAGTTTGCGACAACTTACCCAGAACCTGGTACGGTTCACGGAAGCCGAAAGTCTGAGAGAATTGCTCCATGAGCTTCCGGTATTGTTTTGATCTCTTTCCTCTCATTTTGGCGGATGTCTTGTTTGATTGTGAATTGAGCAAGTGGCTAAAGGACGTACCAAGCAAAACTAGATGCGACGACAGGTGAAGTCAAGGTCAACTATCCAAAAAATAAATTTCCTTATCGCGGCACGTGCGATAAGCTAGACGCGACCCGCTGTCCGTCATCATGCCCCGCCATCCATCCCACTTGTCATGAAGGAATACAAGAATCATAACCATTCATTAGAGGATAAAGCAAATGTCTTCTAGGTTTATGACTTGATTGTAAGTGATTCTGCCTAGAGAATACTGCTCAGATGTTAGCGGTGAGTTCTAGGACGTGCTGTGGCTCGCAATGTCTATGCGACATCAATCATGTTCTCATTTATTCTCCAAGCATGATAACTATCAAGAACTGTCAAGGGAAGTGAAAACACATTATTCATAATAATAGTATATTCGTTTTTTGGTTCGACAAATTCTTTCTATAATGCATGGTAGCCCTTATTCCAGGGCTATATGAATTCCATTCCATCATTAAATCGTGTAATTAAGTACCATAATGCTTCGCTCGTCCTGTCAAGTCTACTCTAAATCGTTCAAATGTCTCAATTGTCCAGCAAAGAGACCACAGTCAGCCCTCATTTTTCACGCAGAGAGCAGCGACAACACTGATGTCGTCAAGTTTTCCTACCCATATTAGCTTTTTGCACAGCAAAATAGAGAGCAGCTATTGCTTACCGCCTTCACTCGCTAGACCTTCCTCAATCGCACGTTCCATGAATGGACTCTCAGCAAAGGGATCTAGGGCGATTTCTTTTGCTGCTTCAATGAGGTCCTGAGCAGCTGCCCTCATTCCACCATTACGACCACCCGTCAGATCGCCCTTGTGAGCTTCTGGGTGCTTTCCAGATTCCCACTCTTTGATGCTTTTAAGGATGCTCGCAACGATCTCATGCTCCCAGAGGTTATCGATAACGCCGTCGCTCATTGCAAGCACAACATCGCCGACTTCCAAGTCAATCTTCTCCGTGACTGCATTGCCGTTGGGCGTGTCCGGGCTATTCGTTCCAAGCTGTCGTGGGCAGTCAAACCAATGCCATTGCTCCACAGTTTTGTAAATGACCTTTTGTGTGCTGGGTCGGAGAACCATGACCTGGCAGTCTCCCAGATTAGTTACATACAAGACTGGCGAAGCTTGCGCTTCGTTCTCGGCGCAGTTCTTATAGTATAATTGCGCACCGCAGACTGTTGTTGTGCCTAAACAGTCATGTTCGGTCGTCGCAGCAAGAGTTCGTTCGTATGCGCTCTGTAAACTGGCAATCGGATTGGGTTCCTGTGATTTTTCTAATGCAACCAGTTCTTCTTCGATCGCGGAGGACCAGAAATGCGAAACAAGTCTCGACCAGAGCCTGGGATGAATGTCAGCGGCTAATGTGAGAAAGCTCGGAAGTTGTCCGTGAACCTACCCAGCGTGCCCTCTGGGCCTCGTAGCCCACGCTCCCACGCCGTCGTTGGCACAAATGAAATAATCACTTGCGTAAACAGCATCGTCGCCATTTGTTTTCCCTCTGATCAGTTGTCCATGGACAAAAGCACGACGATCGCGGCTCTGGTGATGTGTACTTAGAGGATCGGTAAAGGACGTAGATGGAGGGGACAAAAAAGGCGGCGGAAACGGGCGGGGTGGTCGCTTCGCAAAAAGGCCTATGCCCGTCTCGAATCGAAATGGCAAGATTGGAATATCATGTGGGAAGTGGTGAGTTGTCTCTGGAGCTGAAGCTGAAGCGAACCATCTCTTGCGACACGGGCGCCATGTCGTGCGTGCCAGGCGTCGCACCGGGAGCGATGGTAATGATGATATTGGGACGGGCGCCAGAATCGAATATGGTTGAATGGGCATTCCAGCTGTACAAGCCTAATGCTGCCTGCCCCGTCTGAGTTGCCTGGCCGCAACCTGTAGTGAGATTGCTGCTGTGCTCTCCGGTGAGAGATGGCCAAAGACTTGGATTCCTGAAGGAGTAATCAGGCTCCAGCTCGAGACAAGATCGGACCGTAGGTACCGTTGGGGGATTACAGACAGCTCCCCGACACGTGATAGCCTAAATCAACCCTCCGATACCTTACCGATAGTTGTCTATACCGCCTGGGAAAGGGCGACATCCAAAAATGGCAATTTCTGAGTCAAAGCGACCAATGATCACAAACGCTGTTCTTCTCCCGCAGGAACCCGAGCTCCTTGTTGACCCCAACGGCAAAAGAAAGGAGCTAACATTGGTAGGGGAAAAAAGGAGGAAGAGAAAAAAACCCTTCTTGATTCACTATAAAAATCTGCTCTTAACTTTGTGCGGCCCGTCTACTGCTTTTGTACAACCAGTCCGTAAAAAGAGTAAGTTGTGTAAAGAAGGCTCGATTGATGTAAGTCTAATCTAGCTAGAAGAAAGAAGACTATTTATAATAGTCCTGACATGATGCCTCTGAAGGCATCAGCAGTTTGTCCTTAGTGACTTATACAGCTGTGTGACTGTAAGTCAGTAAGGCAAACACAAACACAAGCACAAACATAGGTATAGGCAAGCCTAACCAACAAAAAGAGGTTGTGGTTCGGCAATCTTCCGTGAGGATGGTTACCTAAACACTCAATAGTAGCAGCGTGTTGTGATTGGGTAACTAATATCTTGATATCGTGAAAAAAAAAAGAGGTTATTTCCTATACCGATATCTTGGGAAATTGGACAATAGTACTCCGTAACAAGGAAGGAATTGATACCCTGTAGCACCTGGAATCAAGTTGCTGGTTGTTCAGTACCTCCAGGACTGGCCCAATAGACTAATGTGGTGGTCCATATGTAGCCCAGGCACAAGCGGCACGGGCAGATCAAGAAGCAAAGCAACCAATGATTCGATTATCTAAAGTATTAGTCAAGTTCTTAGCCAGGCTGAGCATTCTCGAACCCGATGGCTGAATTCCACTAGAGATTTGACATTCAGGTGCGATTATCGAAGCACCACGTGTTGGCGTCCGGAGATACACTGGCATCTACACGTCATGAGACGAAACAGCAGCCACATTGAACAAATTAAGGTGTGTCCAGTGTGAAGGTTGCCGCACCTTGTTCCAACCGATCTAGAGCATCAGTCCAATCATAGATGCCAAGATATATTGGTCGCCAAGTTTACTGCGCGCCATGACCTTCGTCTGCTGTCAACAGTCGTCTAGAGAAACATGCCGTTCGCGATAAAATGAGGAATGATTGATGCATGACGCACTTTATCGAGACACTATCCATGATGTGATCTGTGTATCTATGTCTCCAGTCTCCACGAGTGAATGGATGCAAAGATCAGCTGGACTAGTTGATACCTAGTCTGATAGTGTCCTCAAAGAACGACGTGCAGGAAAGCTATCACCGCAGTATCGGGACTCATGACGTAAGGGGTTGGGATGAAATGGTTCCTCAACTGAAGCCAGCAGAGCTGCTATTCCCCAATTGGGAAGTATCGGGAAACTCCTGCCCTTGCGGACGTGAATTCGCGTATTGAGGAATAGCGTGGTAGGTATTATTATGAGATAAGTTGCTGTAAGTGACTTACATGAAATCTGATAGTACGTAGCTGACATGACGATCTGCGGCTCTTGAGAGATGAGTTACCGGCTCTTCAAATGCCTGACGATCAAACAGAGTGGAGTGGACCTGGCCGATCGTACCGTAGGGGGGGGGGCCTTGTAGAAGCAGTTTTAGTAGGCTGTGTTGGACGGCCTGGAGGGATGGATGCCAAACAATCGGAACTTTGAAGTGAGACGCTAATGATAATCGTCAATCATGACTGGCACAATCTGCACCTCATTCCCCATTGTTTGACGCGCAAGCACTTTCGACAAAAACTTCAAAACGTAACTTATGCTGTCATGTCTATCAGATCAAAAGAAAAGAAAAAACTTAACCGCCTGCGCACGTAAACCCCCGTTCTGGTTGTAACATTCAAAGCGTATCCTTACCCAAGTACAATACAGCACAGCTGGCGGCTGAGTGCGCATGGATGATGCATGGCCAAGGAAGAGCCGGTGGTCCCGGTTGAGTAGAGCAAGGTACAGGACAGCAATGTAATTATTTGATCAGATTTTGCTCTGATGTACAGGGCGCCTCGATCATACGCTAGAACCAATGGAATTAGGATGCTGGAATAAACATAAAGACCAAGTGCTTGGCATCATGCTTGCATAGCCATCGTGATTCTGATCTTCTGTATCGGATTGTTTGCAGCAGTGACCAAAGTACTTTCTGGATATGGCAGTCTGGCAGTCTTCTCCGGACTTTTACGACCCCCAACTTCACTAACTGTAAACTGTACCCTGACCCATGTCCGGCTGAACACTGCAGATAGGGCTTGGATACCTCCATCATGGATCCATGAAGCCTCAACCCGGGAGTACCTTACCCAGCTCTAGCGCTAAAGGACACGCCGACGACGTCTACGTGTTGCTTCAATGGGCCTCTGGTAAGCCTCAAACCGATAGCCCTTATTTCCATCATTTACAACTCTTGGGCAAACTAACACCAACTGAGAATTCGTAGACCATCTGTTTGCTGAGGGGATAAACCTTGAGGCCCTTCATCACGCCAAGCTTTTCTTATCCCCAGAAAACTGTTGATACCCGCTTATATATAAAGCCCAGATACCAATGAGAAAAAGAGGCTGGACACTTACGTATATGTCGAGCGGTACAGTGGAGTCAAAATCGCCAAAAGCCCCAAAGGTTGAGTCTCGGCTCGATACTATTGAAGCAATAATACGAGTTGCTTGGCCCCCAACGAACTGGCTTGGTATGGTGTAATTTCGTTGGTACGACGGCACTTGCGTGAAGGACGACAGTGCTGTTCTCTATTCGTAACAGGGCGAAACAGAGTGATCCGTTGAAGGCAATCGGAGTGGCTGGCAGCCGGGGCGTCTGAGACGCATCGCGATGGAGCCATCTCAGGCATGGACGATGAACGGCCCGCCGAGCAGGTGAAGAATACAGTTCAAGTGTCCGTGGAGACAGCGGTAAGGGCAAAAAAAGACAAGAAGCCCCGAAGTAAGAAAGATGGCGTTTAAGAATGACGAGTCCCTTCTCGGCCGGGATATGCCACGATCCCGTCCCTCGTTGACGCCGTTCTACGGAGCCCGAAGCGGGAATATCCCAGCCACTGGCTATCAAATATTCATTTACAGGCTCCATGTTGTACCTAATTGAGTCGTGGATCAGCGGTAAAAACTGCAGACTGCAGGTCCCCAAGCTGCACTGTCCGCGCCATGTTACAGTACCATTTTTGTAAGTCAGGTAATGGTCGACAAGACTTTTTTTATCGTCATATTACCTCGCTCTTGTATGCTGTGCCGCGAATTCCAAGCCTGGTTGCTGGTACAGGTTGCTTGGAATACCAGATGCATCGTGCCAAAGACACGAAACTAGAGTATCGTACCAGTGATAGCTGGCGCCAAGCACACATACACCTGGTTGAAGCATATGCGTGCAGTATCTTGTCATGTTGCACTGCGTACGTGCGGATCTTGGCTCAGTCATAGACAGATGGAATAGCGTGATTATGATTGGACGACATGCCTCGTTCACATTGCTGTCAATACGCCCGAAGCGCCCATTCAACACCTGACAGTTCGTCAAAGACATGTTACGAAACAAAGGCCTGTCATCTAAGCATCCGATTGATTCTTTGTACTTCTTTGGGCTCTATTTTCGTCTTCCGTCTGGGTTGACGTGAGCCGTGAGCCCCTTTGGGAGGTAGTCAACTTGAAACTGGGCATCATGGCAAGTATACATAAAGAAAACATGATCCCCCTGCTGTCATGAGCGGATTGTAACCCTCCACGAACCCTTCACGGTGTTGCGAACCATCCTGTCTGTCTCTCCCGTTCCTTGATTCGAATTCATTTTTGTTGCGCTTTTCCTTTCTTCCTTAGTAAAGTCTTGGCTCACCGACTTTGCTTTCAGTACATTACTCGGTGTGCATGAGTTTGGAGGTGCCTGTGCTGTATCTAACAGACCTAGGAGGGTCCTCTTAGTGAATTCGAGGGTGTCCGTTCTAGGCTCTAGGCTCTCTAGCCCATGCCATAACCGCTGGCTAAACTAGTGACGTATGCCGGGCACTGATCTAGTCCGTCATCACTCAATTCGTTGATCGCAAGTCGCAAATCGAAAGTTGGGAAGGAGCCATTGGATACAATTTTTGTACAGTACCTTGCAGTACATACCCACGATATTGCAAGCATAACAGACAGAAACAGTTTGCTCCGTTGTACGCAGACAAATTAAACAAACGAGCTCATCTCGTCGGACCCTCTTCTCTAGGTTCTGTTACTCCGGAGCTATTCAAAGAGGGACTTTATCGAAAATAAGGGACCCCCCGCGCCGGTTCGAGATCCATACCTACCTAGATCGCAACACTGAACCTGACCGGACCTGGGCTGGCTTGGAGCTTGTTGGCGGTCCTCTTTTTTCCAAGAAAACCTGCTCTTGACGTTTCGATTTCTGGGTCCCCTACCAGCCTCATACAAATTTAAACAACGAAGCCCGCAAGCTGGGAAGCTGGCAAGGTTATCCCATCGAACGACATATCCCTCTTTTTTTACTAATACCAGACAGTATACTTCAGCAACGCAGGGCGAAGGACCGGTAGTATTTACTTAAGGGACCACCACCGCTACTCGCCGAAAGACAATCGTTACAACTCCGCCGACGCCGGCTTCCGCGTATCAAGAATTCACGGCCCCAGCCCGTATACCCAAGCAACTTAATTACCGGCAGTCCCAGAGCCAAGGCCAGCATTGCATTGCCTATTCACTACTGTCGTTTGCATAGACATTGTCTGCAGTTACTTTTCACGGTACATAGCTCACCACAAATCGACCAGTTGCACCTGGTCATCGACATCCTTGGCTGCTCAGTACTGACATGTCAGTCGCCCGAAGCATCCGTATCTGCATCCGCACCCGCCGCAGCACCACCTTTGAATGGATACGCTCCGGCCCCGGGTTCTAAAGGGAGTCTAGAGTCTTAGAGTCGACGTACAAGAACCGCCCACCTCACCTACATCTGAAATCGTATCGCACGCAGGGGCCAGCTTTCTTCCCTTCTTTATTTCTTATTCTTGGGTCGCAGATTCGCCCTGGTACTAAACGCCTAGAAACGACAAGCAAATTCGTCTGAAATTACGGTATCCGACGACGTCAGTATCGTGGCTGGCGCAGCTCTTCATCTCTCGAGATCATCCCTTGCGCACGCCGTTGAGCCGGTCAACTAACCTTTTCCTCCCTTTTCTTGCTGGGCGTGAATTGGCCTCATTGTTTATTTACTTTCTTGTCTCAGAAATTCCCTCGGGTCATACCGACCATTGTTGTCAAGATGGGCCGAAATCGAGGTGCGTACCTTCACATGCTGTACATTTGTGAATACCATTCCAGTCCCTGCGGTCGTTATTTCTGCGTTGCGTTGCGCTGAGGTGCTTTGCGTTGCTTTGCGCCCGGACGTGCACGCCGGGAAGACCTAGTGGAAGTGACGCTAGTGGCTTCTTTGGCCCTTACCCTGGCTCGTCCACGTTCAGTTAGGCGGGCTTGCCCAGGGCACCCGACCCAAACTCATGGACTGGACAGAGATGACTCTCCCGTATCTGCGCCTGCAACATTGCCCGCCGCAGGGGGGGCCGTTATGGGTAGCGGGGACAGAGAGTTCCACTGTGCGTTGACGTGTGGTGCCCAAGATCCCCTTGGCTAGTTCCTCTAGGGGTCTGGCTCTAATTGAAGGGACTGAGCGACGTGGACATATCGTCTACTTCCAGGGGCTGCATGCCATTCATAATATCTCACCTCATCCCGTCCCTGTCTCGTGCTAACTCTTTGGTGCCAATACTTAGTTCTTTCGTTTATGTCCCAGTTCTCTGCCGGCACAAAGACACCTCCGCCCTCAACCTCTCCTCCATCGAATTCGCCTTACAAGCAAGGTCATCGCAGAACCAACTCTGGCACTGAACCTTTTCCAGACCACCGAGTCAGTACCGATATTTCTCGGCCAAACACACCGCCTTCGCGACCAGATTATGGCACACCACTGAACGGCGGCTCCCCAATTGAACCATCCACACGTCGACGACGCAGTTCATCTGCTGCATCTTCACGACCCCCGTCTATGGTCCTGGCTCACCAACCACCCGTCATGGACATCACCGAGGATACAATCCCCGAACTCCAGCCTATCTTTTCGTTCCTCAACAGTCACTCCAATAAGCTGTACCAAGAGGGTTATTTCCTCAAGCTCGACGACCAGAACACACGTATGTTAAACCCAGATCCCACTGCCGTTTGTACCCTCTCCACAATACCTACCCCTGGCACCAAAGCGACTCCACATTCAACTGCTCTTACATGTGTTGCAAGGATGTATAGCTAACGGCTTCGTTAACAGAGGGTAAACCAAACCCTGACAGAACCTGGACTGAGTGCTTTGCCCAACTTGTCGGGACCGTTTTGTCACTATGGGACGCCGCGGAACTCGATGCTGCGGGCGAGGAGGGCGAGGTTTTGCCCAAGTTCATCAACTTGACTGATGCATCGATCAAGATGGTAATTGGCCCGGTCGCATGCTGATTGTAAAATCTCCGGGCTTGACTAATACGAACTCTGACAGATCGAATCCCTGCCTACTAGGTCTGCCGATGAACAACCCCTACAGAATATCTTGAGTATTTCCACCGCCGGAAGAAACCGATATCTCCTTCATTTCAACTCCCGTCACTCCCTGTTGCAATGGACTGCCGGTATCCGATTGGCTATCTTTGAGCACTCCTCGCTCCAAGAGGCCTACACCGGCGCTCTCATTGCCGGCAAGGGCAAGTCGCTCAATAACATTGGTGTCATCATGGAAAGGGCCAAATTCCCCACCGAAGAATGGGTTAGAGTCCGCTTCGGCGCCGGTGTACCTTGGAGACGATGCTGGTGTGTTATTACTCCTCCTGATGAGAAGCAATACGCAAAGCTCCAAAAGGAATTGAAGAAGAGGTCCCCTTATGACCGATCGCCTGTTCCTACCCTCAAGGGCGATATCAAGTTCTACGATGAGAGGAAGGATGGTAAAAAGCAGAAGAAAGCGCAACCGATCGCAACCATCACCGACGCCTATTCAGCATATGCCATTTACCCTCAGGCAAAGTCCTTGATTGATGCGTCAACCCTGCTCAAGGTCGAAGGCAACATCTCTATCCACACTGACCCCCCTTCCTCTACCGAAGGGTTTGTCTTCATCATGCCCGAGACTCGCCCTGCTGTCAGTGGTTTCGAGATGTTGCTGCGTTTCCTCTTCCCTACATGGGATACGTTTGGTCTTTATGGACGACCTGGAAGACTCGTTGCCAGCACACTGGACTCAAGGTCACTGATGTTTGCCATGCCCAAGAGTCGACGTTATGGTTACCTCGAGAATCTTGATGTTTCCAACTTGATTCTTGAAGACGGTAGCTCGAACTGGGGTGAGCGAGACTGGAGAAAGAAGCTCAAAGAGTCTACCGGCACCAGAATGAACGCTGTAGACGATGCGCCTGCGACGCGCTCTCGAAGCAACAGTAGAAAGAGTGTCAGGTTGAGCTTTGGCGATGGACCACCAAAAGCCAAGACTGGCCTTTCGGACCAGCAAGTTCCTACCAGGTCTTCACGATCTTTCTCACTCGGTGAGCGTGCTCGAACAGACTCAGCCCCTGCAGACCCTGCTCGGGTCGCTCTCGGCGGACATGGCCGTAACTCATCTGATCCTCACCAACTGGGTGGCCCCCCTTTCCGTCCCGATGCCAATGGCAACAGTCCTTACTCTGGCTCGCCCCAGCGCGGCCAAACTCCTGTTGGCGCCCCTTACCAGAACCAGGTTTCACGAGACCAGAGTCCTGCTTACCCGAACGAGCGTGGCTCACCTCCTCTAAAGGATCTTGATGGTATGCGGCAGATGCATACTCCTGAGCCTGTCTCACGCCCTCCTGCTTTCAGCCATGGCTCTCAAGCTCGGCCCGTTAGCAACGCGTATCACTCACCCGAGCTCAGACGAGCTAACAGTAGGCTTTCCGTTACTACTCTCGCCCAGCTTTCCTCAGCGGGAGGATTGGGCGGACCGAACGATTCGAAACCTTCTCCACGGGAAGATGAGGTGGACGCTGCAAGATCTGGACCATCGGTACTGCCACCACACGCCAACTCCGTAGGGATATCTGCTAACGACAACCGTTCGCGTGAAGTTTTAAGCCCACCAAATCAGGATCCCTCTTCCAACAGTCTTCCTCCTCCGGCCAACTTATCTCAACAGCGTTCCCGATCACCTCTGGGTCAGCCCCCACTTGGGCCACCTAGTCCCTACGGCCGCGGGCCAAACTCTCGCCCTGGAACTGCGGAAGGAAGACGATCTCCGATGCCTCCAGGCATGCCCCCCCAACAACGTCCTCCCCATCCCCAAAATGCCAATCGCCGACCTGATATAGGGCCAGATGGACGACGTCCGTCAGACCCTCGACGACCTGGTCCCGACGGAAGAAGGCCCTCTGATCCCCGAGGCCCCGGCTTCGATGGTCGTAGACCTTCCGATCCTCGTGCCCGTGGAAATGGTCCTCCCCCCGGACATGGCCCTCCACCTCCTGGACCTTATGGAAACTACCGACCCGGCCCAGGCCGCCCTCCTGGTCCCCCAGGACCCCCTGGCTCTCACGGACCACCAGGATCCCGTCCAAATGGACCTCCGAACGGCCCTCCTAATGGCCATCCAGGACAAATGACGCATCGCAAACCCGTACCTGGACCTGCGCCGGGGCCTGTGCCACCAGGACCTATGCCTTTCGAAAACACCAAGGGAAATACTATGTCCGGCAGCAGTGGCATTACTACGAATGAGATTATAGATCACTATGCGTTTGATCAAGGCCGCCAAACGCCTCGCCAAGGTACCCCCAACTCTGAAAGGCGACCGCCCCCGCCCGGCAGATTGGAGAGCCAGATGAGTAACCAAAGCAGCCACTATGACGACAATTCGCCTACAACTAGCCTCAGGAACTTTGTAGACACATACGAATACAGCGAACCTAAGCCTCGTGCTGGTGTTCTGAAGACCGTTGGTGGTGCGGAAGAACCAGATGGTTCCCGGGATAATTATGGTATTCCAGATATTAATTTTGGCCCAACTATCAACTATGGAGCCGCTAAGGGCAGGCCTCATACTCCTGGAGGCCATGGACCAACACCCCCTCCTCACAAAGCTTCCGCTTCTCAGGGATCTCTAGGTCACAACGAGTCCCCAGAGACGAAGCGTACTATGGCATGGTCACCAGGTGCGACAGCTCCTCCGGCGAGCTCTCATGGCCTTAGTGCTGAGGAGTTCGTGCAACAAAGAGCTGCTCATGCCCGCACCACATCTGGAAACAGCATGGGCGGCAATCGCTCAGGCACTCCTGGCCCCGGAATGAAGCGAAACAGTTCCTCCGATATGCTCCAAGCTGTTCAGAATGGCCGACACTCTCGCAGCACATCTGCCGATCTGCTCCAGCGACCTGGATCGCGAGGTGCGAACTCGACGCTCAATTTTGCAAGCTCTGGAGAAACCTCGAGTCATCTCAGTGCTCGAGAACAGGAACATGTTGCCCGCTTGACTGGTCAGCCCCTGATCAACATGCCTGGACACCAAAGGCAAGGATCTCAGGGTTTCATGCCCGGTCATCAGAGACAGGCTTCATCAGGATCGGGCTTAGTCGGTGCTATTGAAGCTCGAGAACGGGAGAAGCAGCAAATGAAGCAGGGGATGAACAGCCAAGCCGTTCAGCATGCGATCAATCAACGTCAGCATCAACAAGCTGCTATGGCTCATCAGCAGCAGATGGCTCAGCAACAAATGGCTCAGCAGCAAATGATGCAACATCAACTTGCCCAGCAACAGCAGATGGCATACCAGCAGCAGGCTCACCAACAAAACTACCAACAACCTTACCAGCAGCCAATGATGGGTGCTGGTAATATGCCCGCATACAGCCCTATGGGACAAGCCCCTGGCCAGTACACACCGGGTGGCTCATCGTATGGAGCAGCACCCCAGCAGGCGGGTGGTTATGGACAGGCGAACAGTTTCTCCCGTCCGATCCGGGCTGCGCAACAGGTTGATCCTCGTTTCGTGCCACCTCAAGGCCAATATGGCCCGTCGGATGGGACCCAGCAGGCTCGTAGCGTGCATCCCCAGTATCAAGGGCAAGCGTTCTAATCAGGATTTGTAAAGGGGATTTTGTGAAGGCACTGCATGATGACTATTTTATGGGTATTACATGTGGCGACTTAGATTACAAACGAAATGGACGCATCATATGGCGTTTTGGGCATGTAGGAACGGAGTGGTTTGGCGGTCATGGGTTGAAATCAATTTGCATAAACTCTTGGGCATACAAAGAAGAGCTGCATTATCTCGGGATGTTTCGCATTTCTATTATCATGGATACAGTTTTCAGTTAGCATTTTTTCTCCTTACAATACTTACCTGATTAAGAACATTGTATGCCATTTTCTGAGTGAGCTTTCCAAACGTTATGTCCAACCCATTTTCGTATATAAACCGTGATAGTTAAGTCCAGTTCAGCGCCAGGCCCAGATGTTTTATTTTGTGCAGAACGTTGTTGGGCTTATATCGATCTGAGGTAGCAACAATCGTAATCAAATCAAAAGCTATTAGGTTGGATCGTGGCGAAGCGTAGGCTAAGCTGAGACCTTTGGCAGGCGTCGCTGTCCAGTGACTTTGCTTGACCCGCTCAACTCTGAAGGAAAGTCTCGAGGGCAAGCACTGCTAGTTGGCGCCTGACAGGCTGACGTCGACGCCTGTAGTCGTTGGTTGTTTATTGTAAGAAAAGCGACAACCTGAAGCGCGTGACTTGAGCGCGCCTCGAGTATCATTTCCACGCGCCCGTGTTACGTGGATTCAACGTGATGTGACCTTGTTTTGTTAAATCATGAGCCCGACTTTTTTTTGGTTGCTGAGGCATCCATAACGTGTTGTATGGACCGTTTCCACTCTATTAAGCAAGGGGTCAAATAGCAGGGTCGTGACGGCACTCAAACGGCGTCTCCCCGCTGCGATGGGACGTGGGACGTGGATGCCCATGCCCATGCCCATGGGCGCCCGGGCTCGGGATTTAGCAGCCTGGAACTGATCACTAAAGGGTGCCTAATTCATAGGCAATTGGCCATGCGATAGGCCAGAGACCGCTATTAGACAAGGTTCCGATCGCTGTCAACCAACCAGAGGCAGTTGTTCCAGTTTCCTCGAGGGGAGGAATTGTTTGTCGTGACGTCCCTCGTCCCTGCCATCCAATCTAGTCCAAGCCATACCTACTACTTGAACCTCAATAGTCCCTTGTCGTTGCTTTTTCCATCTTGTCCCCCTCTCTCTGGAGTCTTGATTCTTGATTCTCCAACCTCCTCTTTTATTTACTTTTTGCATATTCACTAGATTCACGCTGTTAAGCCCGCTTTGCGATTCAACCGTACTGAGACATTCAAACATCCGTTCGGTTCTCCCACGATATCGAAAAGTTACCCCAACCCGTATTCAAAGTAGGACTTTCCAACTTGTAGCGTTTGCGCCCGCGATCGCCTCGAATTATTATAAGCCGAATACTCTCTCTGCCTGGCATTGGCTTTTGTTAAACTTCACGACGGCAGTCTTGTATTGCTTCTCGGCGTAGGCTGCTTAGGTCGCTCCCAATGGACGGCGACGAGCCAACGCAAGGTAGGCTTCCTCTGTCCCGTCCACCCTCTTCTCTGCCTGCGCTGACCTCCTCACGGAAGCGACGCAAAATGTCCTTGACCCGCGCCGTGTCGGCAAGCAAAATTCGGGCTTCTCAGACGACGACATCTCCGATATAATATGCGTCCTCTATCCACATTCAGAATCGGCCCGCATCGAACTTGAACGTCTGGTGGACGAAAACTCCCCTCATATCATTGGAAAAAACGAAGCGGACGGTGTCGAGCCTGATTATGCCCTCGAAGACCAGGCTGGCCGATTCCTCGCCAACCCAGAAGGCAACGGCAGTCATGCTATTATCCTCCGACTGTCGTCACAACTCAAGAACCCGACTGCTGGCTTCGTCTTTGGTCGCAACCCCATGCGATGCGATGTTGTATTTGTAAACGATCCTTTGAAACGAGTCAGCAACATCCATTTTCGAATATACGTCAACGAGTATGGCACTGTCATGATTGAGGATCAGTCAACAAATGGCACTATAGTTGATGGCAATCACTTGACTTCCAATCCTACAGCTAAAGGAAGGTCTGACCCGCCCACTCTGAGATGGGTTCTCAGTTCTGGCTCGATCATCCGGGTATACCTCCACCAAGAAGCTAGAGACTTGACTTTCAGGGTCCGAATACCACGGCGTGATAATGAGTACGATCAAGCATATACCGACAAAGTAGAAGCCTTCTTTACTCGTCACGGAATGAAGCGCACGAATGATACCATTACCCCTGGACCCGGTGGACATGTTGATCTCTTCAAACTTCCGGCCCAGAATCAATTTAAGAGAGAAGAGACGGACGAAGTCACCCCACCCCCTTCTCATAAATCAAACAAGAGACGAGAGGGCAACCGTGAATGGACAGGATCTGGTAAGTACAATCGAATCGGGTCCATCGGAAAGGGTGCGTTCGCAGTCGTCCACAGAGTCACTTCTAAATATGACGGACTGCCCTATGCTGCCAAGGAAATCGAGAAGCGTCGTTTTATAAAGAACGGCGTGCTTGACCAAAAAGTCGAGAATGAGATGAAAATCATGCAGAAGGTTCAACATGTAAGTCTTGCAACATATCAGACTCACTCCCATGGCTTCTAACGTTTATTTCATAGCCTCATATCGTTCGCTATATGGAGCATTTCGAATGGGATGACCGATTGCTTATCATTATCATGGAGTTCGTCCCTGGTGGCGACTTGGGTAAACTCATCTCAGACCACAAAGCCATCAGAGAAGACGTTGTCCGGACCATGTCAGGGCAGCTCCTAAGTGCCTTGGGATACCTCCACGCCAACAATATTACTCATCGCGATGTCAAGCCAGACAACATCCTCATCAACTCTCTCAATCCTATCGACCTCAAACTTACCGACTTTGGTCTGTCAAAAATGGTGGACAGTGAACAGACTTTCTTGCGAACATTCTGTGGTACTTTACTGTACTGTGCCCCTGAGGTGTACACAGAGTATGCCGAGTATGATGACAATGGAGTACGTAGCCGGGGTAAGAAGATGCGACGTCCTCCCGGTCAGAGGTACAACCACGCTGTTGACATCTGGTCTTTGGGCGGCGTGCTGTTCTATGCTCTGACCGCATCGCCCCCTTATCCAGTCAAGAGCGGCATCAGCTACTCTGAGCTGTTACACAAGATCATGACCACCCGATTGAACATCTCTCCTTTGCAAAGAAACGAAGTGTCAGACCAAGCTATCGACTTTCTCTGTAGAATGCTCGAGAGACGTCCGGAAAATCGAGCGACAGTGGAAGAACTCGAAAGTCACCCTTGGTATACCGGCCAGGAGTCAGTGATCAACGCATCTCAATCTTTCGACGAGATCTCGGACGACGATATGTTCGATAACTTTTCTCAGCTACAGGCCCGGCACTACGAGGAAGACAGAGTTAGCGACTCCATGGGTGAAGAATCTGAGAAGGAAACTACGGCAGTGCTGCCAGAAACAAACAGGCCCAAGCTTTTCGGGGAAGTTGGTGCCTCCGCTATTGGCAGTTCTGGTGTAATCCCAGACGAGTACCTCAACATTGAAGAGAGCAACGCTAGCACAGGTGAAACTGAGGTTCCGAATCAGGATGAAGATGAGGCTTACCAGTCAGACGAAGATGCTACACCCCGGAGTAGGAATCGCCGAACATACCGTCAGAATAATGCTTCTATGGATCAAAAGCAGTCGGAGGATCAACTTCAAAGCCTCGTCGAGAATGTGGCATCGCAAAGTCTGGGTGGCGATGAACCCAGTGTGCAATGTCTTGGAGCTTCCCAATTCTCGTTGCAATCTTCAGAATTCAACACCAGCAAACGCAAGCCCCCTTCTTACGACACTAGTGATGAGATCGAGGAGAGCACGCCGCGCGGAAAACCTACAATGAAAAGATTAAAGTCTGACAGTAACGCTGAAGACCTGGCAGATGAGGTCGTTGAAGAGTATCAACTATTGGTTCAGGTCCCTCCCGCTGGGAGGCCGTCAGGACGCCAAATTGACCAACCTTACAACAAGACGTGCTTCTGGGAGCAAGACAAGAAGACATGGCACTTCAACTACCCGGAGTTGACCCATCTTCAACACAAGGCTTTTCAGCAGGCAGCAAAAACCCGGGACGAGAAGTTTGCACCGGGCAGGAGTCCGTTATGGGATCTTGCAATGAAGTATTTCTCTCCAGTGTCAAAGGCTGGAACGCAAATTAGTGAGACGAGACGGAGCTCCCGAACACCTCAGGGCACGACAGACGGCGCCATTGAGTACCCCCCTACCGCCGCTCCTCCAGAGGACTCACAAATTCCTGACACAATGCCTACCACGTACACGCAGATCATCGTCCCTGTTCAAGAGCCAGACCCTAATAGGAGGCTCGTTGGCGTCGTTGACTCTCACCCCGATTCATGTGTTTCTGGCATTAGTATCCCTATCACCGACACTTTGGTCTCCTTTGGTCGTGGTCCAGCGAATACTGAGCAGTTTACCGACATTTACGAGTCTCGAGTACCTAAATATGCTTTCAAGCTATTACTATGGAAAGATGACGACAGCTTTGATCCTTCAAGAGACCCGTCGAAAGTGTCTCCTCCTTGGCTTCGGGATTCAGGGGACCCAAACGAGTATAGTTTCTATATCTCGACAAAGGCTTCCGTCGGTATCAACATCAATGGCTATCAGCTTCCCTCATCAGATCCCAAAAACCACAGCGGCCCTTCACATCATTGGACTCGTGTCCACACTGGTGATGTTTTAACGATCTGGGGGTCCGGGGATAGAAATGGCAAGCAAACACAGCTTAACTTTCAATGTTTCTGGGGTGCTTCTTCTCAGACGCGTGGCGAGAAAAAGGCCTTGGAACTCGCACCTAGACCACTGGCGCAGAAGCTAGATGCCGCTTGCCAAAAGGCAGAGAAACGAATCAAGGATGCCATAGAGAAGAAGAAGCGAGAAGAAGCAATCAGTGCTGATTTACAAGAACGCGCGGAGAACATCGACAGAGAACGAGCACGGAGTCAAGCTTTCGAGATGAAACGACAAGAAGCTCTCTCATATTTTAGCTCGAAGCAGATCCCTTTGTCACGTATGGCTTCAACCACAAGCGCGCCCCTAACGAGCCATTTCCTTGGAGTACCATTGCCTCGCATAAGCCCCGGCCAGGAAAACAGTTTTCAAATTCAGTAACGCGACATCAGCATACATACATGTGTACAATGCACTAGAAAGGCATTTTGTTTCTTTTAGAGCTTCAGGCGCTAAGTTGGTGCCCGGGAATTGGGAAGATGGAGCAATGATTCTATTTCTTTATATTGTCCTTGATGTTTGACAGGCATACGGGCGTTGGAGCCCAGGATTGCTGGTTCTGCAGGTCACTCAAGTGGTATTCTTTTCTCTTTCCTTTTAGCGACGTTCGTGATGGTTCAGGCGAAATGGAGGGCTTGTCTAGACGGGATGGTCCCTTTTATCACGGCATCCTGGGAACGTACACTCGGGGAAAACAGAAATTACATAAAAGGGCATTATAATGTTAAATGTTGACTACGATTCCACACGCTTGTGTTCGACTGTGATAAATGATACGCCTGTAAACCACTCGCACATATCAAGAGCATGGGCACCACGCTTCTGGATAGCGTTTTGTGAATCATTATTCCTATACACATTACTCATTCAATCATATCGCCTAATAATACAACGTAGCAATCATTCGTTCCAAGGGAGAAAAAAACCAGGCCGTACAAACATTCCCCTTCATATCGACTCATTATCATACCTCTGACAGTCCTTTTCTTGTCGACCGATTTGTCGTAATCCAGAGCTTTCCATCCAGAGGCTCGATCTTCATTCATTAAACGTTCGTACAATCGTAAAAGTATTCGTGGCCGCGGTCGTGTTTCAACAGAAAGCCTCGTGACAAGGCTTTCGCGTGGAAGTGTGGCGACGTAACAGTGAGCATGCTTGCGTAGAGAATGCCCCGGACATACTTGCTGATCAAAATAATTATTCTCGCATTTGATAATGCGTGTTGTCGGTCTAGTTGTCCGACGTGCTGGAGTGTGACTCCAATGATTCCAGATCAACATCACCACTATCTGGAGAAGCAAAATCGATGATAACATTAAACTCTGCCAAGAATGATGTCAGTGACATGATTTGTACAAACGGGGTTACATGTTACTTACCAAGCAGGTCTGTAGGGCTTTCAGGGGAAGAATCGCCGATAGTTCCTGGCTCTTCAACGGTTGGGATAGGGTTGAAGGCATTCTTCCAGATAAGTTTATCAGACGCTGTGGATGAAGACGATTCGTGGCCGCACTTGAACGACTTCTCAGATCTGATAGGAGAACCGCAGTAAGAAGTTTCTGGATGACTGCGCTTGCGGGGTGTGTAATAAGGATTGTTTGCAGCTACACCACTGCCTGTCTCGGTAGCTGACCCTTGGTCTGTGCAGCTATGCAACTCAGGTTCCGTAAACGAAGTATAGGTGTTGGAGGAACACTGTGATCGCTGAGGGCAAGGAGTGGTCTGGCTGTCGGTAAAACTGCGAGGGCCAAAACGTTCCTAGTTGTCTCTGGCAGTCTCGTTGAAGTCGTGACCAGAAGTGCGTGGGCTCGCTCGGTTACCTGGAGGAACTGAGGATGCCTTGTCCTTCTTGAAAAAGGAAGAAAACATGCTTCCAGGAGAAAGACGTGATGGGAGAGAGGTGCTCGATTCTCTGTGATGATCATAGTTGTAAGGTCGAGGTGTCGATGCCTCGAATTCTTCATCAGTGCCGTAATAGCTACGGAAAGAGTTCTCCGAATACTGGTCTGCATAAGAGTATCCAGGGCTTGAGAAAGTATCCCAATGCCCGTTGCCATCAAAGTCTTTACTAAAAGCCCCTTTAGAAAATCCCATTGAGGGTGACCCAGGATAGCTATCCGGCACGTGCAAGTGTTCACGGTGGAAACCAGGCGCTGCCATCGAGGGTTGGCCGTAGTGTGGGTGCAAATATTTGTCGTTAGTTTCCCGAGTATTGTGAGGTGCAGACTTCTTGCGAGAGATGAGAGGAGACCCTGGGGCACGAGGGTACCTAGGACTTTCAGACTCCGAGAAGTCATCCCCGTCGTGCGGCAAGGCTGTACGTATGTCGACAGACTGCTTGAATCTGACAGTCTTGCTGCCAGAGGACTTGGACGAACTTGGATCAGAACGCTCAGAGTCGAGAGAATTCTCACGAACTGTAGGCGACCCCTCTGATGTCTCAGCTCGGGCTTTCCTAGATCCATCCGAAGAAGATCGCTCACCACCCGCCAGTGCAGATTTGAGCACGAAGTCAGCTGGTGAATCTTTGCGGGACTCATGAGCTTTGGGCTCGACCTTTAAATCTCTCTTCTTGGAACGAAGGCTGGGAGTCGGGGTAGCTACCCTTGAATGATGGCTCGACGTGGAATCCTCGACGTAAGGAGACTGGTAGTTTCCATTTACCTTCACTTCCTCCGTGTTAGTACTAGAGTCTGAGCTGAATTGCCCAGACGACTTCCGCTCTGCTCGACGGTCAGAAGAACTAGTGCTTCGCGAGGGACAGTATGGCGATTCAGGAGACACTAAGTCATCATTGGATGCAACGATGGGGACTCTAGGAGTACGCGGCTCTCGTCGTCTTCCACGGGGTGTCTCGACGCTCGAATCGCGTTGTTTAGGCTTAGGCTTGGCTTCATGTCGCTTTTCGCGGCGGACCTTGTCTTTGTCGTTCTTGCAGTTCTGATGGCGGTTGACAATAAGAGAATCTAAGTCTTCTCCCGAATCAGAGGGAGTTGCCACTTCCATATATGCGTCGACTCTTTGTGCGGCCTTCAATGCATTAGTAAAGGACTAGAATAACTGTTATCGGAAACTCACGATGTTGATAACAGAAGTGTCAGGAAGGCTCTCATAGACTTTAAATTCTTCGGTGCATGAGCCACAATAGTTGACGAAGATAGGCTCGCCTGGCAGTACCGGATGCTCTCTATGGAATGCCAGGGATCTCGCACCTCCACAATTGAAGCAAAAGTGATACTTCTGGACAATACCTCGGTTGTACATGTCTTCCCGACAGCTCTCGCAGTAGCTGATCTTGGGAGATTTCTTCGTGTTGTCCAGGGGCCATCGTTTATGGAATTGCTGCGAGCGAACATTCCCACATCCTGAGCAGACATGGTGGCGTGGGATACGTTGAGGACTCTTGGCCTGTTGGGCATGGTATCGTCGCTGCTGATTGTCCGCAATTGTGCTCATGGGCACGACAGCACCATGAACAGGTGTGGTTTCAATACCGCCTGGAGTGTTCTTACCGAGGGTCGACTGCGAAAAGTTGCTAACCGACCCAAGCGAGGGCTTCTTAACGTGCACCTTGCTATGCTTAATAGCTTTGTTCAAGCTAGAGTTGAGTCGGTCCTGGAGGCGGCGAAGGTCGCGGCGCAGGACTCTGCTGTCAGGCTCCGAGGATAGATCAGCCATCTTGGCATCAATACGTTTCTGCAGTCGCTGTATATCTTTAGCCCAGGGGTTAGGTGCCCCTGTGGCTTGAGACTCTGGCTCAGGGGTGCTTGTGTTGCATCTCTCTGACGAGATCACATTGTTGTTAGGGGCTGTAGAAGTCACTGGGACTGTCGCCAGACCAGGAGGTGGTTGTGCCACGACATGCGGAGGCATGACTGGGTCGATAAACTGAGGTGTCTGAACTCGAGCCATATGGTTTGGCTGTAGTTGCCCGAAGTTGATCGGGCTGTGGTAGTACACCTGTTGATGAGGCACAGGCTGGCATACTGGAACTCCAAAAGGGTGGTTCAAAGTGGGAATAGGCAATGATTTAGACTGAACAATATTACAAGGCGGTTTCGACAAATGAACAGGAATTCGAGGCGGAATTGTTGCAGAACTTTGTACAGGGGGAATAGACGGATGAGTAGTCATGTTGCTAACGTTTGATCGACGAGAAGTTGAGCGAGAGGTTCGAGAACGAGTCGACTTCCGAGGGCTGGATCGAGATGAACCTCCCGAGTGACGTCGGCGATGTTGTTTCTTTCGTGCAGGGCTCTTCTTTGAAGAACTGGGAGACGCAGGAGTAATCCGGTGAGGCGTAGGAGCTCTTTTTGAGGGGTTGCGGCCACGATGCGGTTGTCGTCCGCGTTCGTCCTCAGAAGATGAAGAGTATGGTTCATCAGACTCGGATTCGTCGCTGGAATCAGTTTCAGATGCATAAACAATCTTCATACGAGCAGGACTCTTGTTGAACGAAGGCTTCATGCCGCGATGAAAAGGTAGACCAAAAGCGGCGCTCAAAAGGTCGACTTCTGGACCTGCTCGATGGCGACGGCGCCGCAGGGACTTGCTGAAGAGGCCCATTGTGCCGGTGCCAAAATACGGCGCGTGAATGAAGAGTTACAAGAGATTCAATGCCCAACCTCGATCACGAATCTGTGTTAGAAGAGGGAAACAATAAAGGAGTTGGTGATTATGGTATATAGAACAATAATCTGGAAGGAGTGTGGGTGGAGGTGTGAAAATGGGAAAAGCGTCAGGCCGGAGAAAAGGCGCGTAGATAAAGCGAGATTCTTACGCAAGAGGCGGAAATATTTCATTCGGTTTCTCTTCGCCTCTTTCCTTGATTTTTTGCGTGCGTGTGCGTGGAAGGTCGGATATTTTGCGAGTTGCGCAGCTGTTGGCAACTGGCGAGAACTGCCACTGCCGGACAGGTAAAGATTCAGGCAACCGTAAGGAGCAGATCCCCAGCCACTATAGATCCGATGATGTAGTGATTAATCTCCGTCTGTAGAAAAGTAATAGGTTCCTAAACAGTGTACGCTGCAACAAGATGTCAGTCAGCCTTGACATCACTGGTCCTGCACATGAAGTCAAGTAGACCTACCCCTGGATCTTTCTTCAAAAGTGCTCTATGAATTCTGCTGTTCTTCGAGAACGCTCAAGTCCCTTCCTGGATCTCTAGATTGATCCCTTGACGCGGTAGAGAATATCCCAAAAGTCAAAAAGACAAAGTCGACGATGAGGGTACTGACGATGGCAATGAAGAGAATGGAAAGGCGAAAGCGAGCCACTCCTATATATACGACTCTATAGTCTTTAGATATATGTCGTGAATGCCTAACGTCTTACCTACCTACCTAACGGAAATATATTCACAGCGTTCAGAGCTATGCTTCATATATTGCATGATCTTAACTCTTTTTTTCTAGAATGCAAACAGAAGTGTTCTTTTTCTCAGGCATGCAAACCCGCATAAGCGGTTTATGCGAGTCTTTGTTGCGTCGTCCTTACTTTTATCCTGTATCACGGCAAACACTCATGCAGCACGTACAGTGACGATAATTTCGTTGAGACAAAGAAGTCATTCCTGCTTCCGTACTTTCTTCTTCAAACGGGCAAATCTCTTACATTGATATACATCTTTAATTCACTTTTGTCTAAATGCGGGAAACATTGAAAGCCCTGTTTTCTTTCTTTCTGTCCTGCTTCCAGCAAATCAAACTCAAATTAGTCCAAGCGGGCGGCGGAAGCAGCTCGCTTCTTGAGTGCCTTCTTCTTCTTCTGTCCCCGGCTGAAGCCGCCAGCGGCGACGTGGTTACGGCCAACGTTATCCAGATCCTTGACCTTGTAGATACGGATAATCCAGTTCTCACTAGTGAAAGCCTCCTCCAGTGTATCAAGGGAAGGTCCCTCGGAAGGCATGGCGGTGTTTCGAACTCGATCAACAGCTCTTCCAGGAGGGAACATGCCTGCGTAGTTGTAGTAGGACATCTTGTACCTAAGGGGAGAAAGTCAGCTCAAAGGCACTTTTCAGAACGGACATGTATACACTTACATCAAACTGTTCTTCATGGTTGGGGTAGCTTCCTCGTTGATCTTGTACTCTCCGCGAGCTGTGAAGAAGTTACGTTCCTTGACCTCATCGGGCCAGATACCTTCAGCAATGCGAACCATCCAGAGGAACTTGTTAATGTCGTCTCCGGAGTAGCCGATAAGACCACCGAAGACAACCAAAACATAAGAAACCTCGTGTTGGCGCATAATAGGATAGCTGACCTCTTCGCTAGAACTCATGGCCTTGCCGACAGTCGCAATGTGTGTGTTGTTCCAAGTGTTGTTGTCGACAAGGGTAGGTCGGTCAGCCATGCCACCAATCTGGTAACCGTAATCCCACCAAGACATGACCTTGTCGTCCTTCTCGGTGTTCTGTCGAAGCCACTGGTACGCCTCTCGGTAGTCGTCGATGATATGCTGGCTGCCGTCAGGCATGCGGCTGGCCAGTACAACCGAAGGTGATGAGTAGGCGTTGGAGGTGACCCAGGTACAGTGTGTGACGAACATGACCAGGTAGATGACCATAGCGCCCACGACCATGACCTTGGACATGACAGTGTAAATACCGACGGATGGCTTTGAAAGTGAGCGGAGAGAGCCCTTGTTCTTCTTGGAGCTTTCGGCACTCTCGGTTTGACCCTCTGCCGAAGGCTCAGGCTGGTTGATTTGCATGTAGGTCTCAAGGAGCTGAGAAGCAGCAATAGCAGCGGCAACGCAAACAACAGGGGTCAGAGTAAGAATGAGACGGACCATGACACCGGCGAAGTAGCTTGCAAACATGGCGTAGACGACAACGAAGACATGCTCATCTCGCAGGTTCTGGAAACACATGTAAACACCGGCGGGGAAGAGCCAGATGAGAAAGTTCATATCAAAGAAGAATGAGGGCCAGGCGGTGGGCTGATGCTCTGAGACAGACGCAATGATGGGAATATGAACCTTGGCATAACCAGTGTCGAACAGGGAGTAGAATCGACCGCCCCAAGGTGCAATGTAACCAAGAGAGGTCAGCAGAATTAGGCCGGTCAAGCCAATCAAGCAGGTCAATACACCAGCACCAATAGCCATGGTGGTGATTTGGCGACCAGGAATGACACGCTTAATAAAGAGAATGAAGGCGATCACTTGAAGGAGACCAAAAACACCTGGAATCTTGTTAGTCATTGAGCTCATGGCAGACATTCATGTATACATACCAAGCGCAGGCATGTGCTCGTTGGTCTTAACAGCGAGGAAGCCAACAAAGGGAATTTGGAAACTGGCCAGTGTGCCAGCAGAGTACCACGCCGTGTAGCTGAGGTAGAGGCGATCACTGTAGCGGCCCATGCAGATGAGAGTAAAAGCATGGACGGGTAGGAGACATGTAATGAAGGCATATCCACCCCACGACGCAACCATGTAGCCGTAGGACAGGGCGCAAAGACCACCCCAAATCATGGAACCCCTCTTCAGAGCCTTGACCCAGAGGTAGAAGGTGAAGACGAGGAGGAAGATGGCGATGGCTTCGTTATCGTAACTACCGGCGACGGATCGGGAAATGTAGCCAGGGGCAATTCCCATGAAGGCCGCAGCAAGGAGACCAGCAGATGGCGTTGTGGTCATCTCGTTAGTGAGGAGATAGGCGGCATAAGCGGTCAAGCCAGAGAAGGCAGGGGCGAGAAGAACGCAGATGTTTCGAATATCGACGGGGACAGTGAGCGTACGGAGAGCGTGGTAGATGGCGCCGCTGGTCACCATCAAACCAGGATAGAGGGTACCTCCGGTAACTCGTCCAAGAGGATGCCATGTTCGGTCATCAAACCAATCCCAGAAATTGTAGAATCCATTGGCCACGAGGTACTTGGTCGCACGGAAGTTAAACCACGGATCGACTATCATGGTGTTAGCTCGCGATCATGGGCTGGTCGATTAGTATGCGGCGCGGGAGGAACTGACATTCGTGAATGATGCTTTCGAAGCCTGTTTCCAGCGAGTTAGCAAATATAATCTTTATAGTTAGAGATACCCTTAGGACTCTGGAGAGAAACGACGCGAAAGCGACAGCATAAAGCATCCATCATGAGGGGAGAAACACTTACGAATCACAGAAAAGAGACGACTGGAGATAGCTGCGCCAGCGATGAAGAAAAGAATGAGAACTCTTAAAAGAGTCCTTGTGTTGGTTCCTGTCAATAGAGCGAGCGTATCGCTGTGTTTTGACGTTACTGCCGTCATGATGGGCTGCAATTGTCGACAATGTTTGATGCAACTTGTCGAATCCAAAACCCGAGATGATGTTCAACTCCACCAGAAGGACAGCTTGGAGCTTTACGCTTTCCAATGCGGGAGCTACCTAGGTACAAGCACCAGGAGGTCGAGGTTCCATGAAGTGGGGCGTCATTTTCCCACAGAAAAGGTACGTATCTTTTTGTTACACTTCGTCAGGTCCAATTCGAAACGTTAGCTTCCTCAGTTGTCCTTCCTGAACCGTCGTTTTTCCGAAGAAATACTGCCCAAGGTAACTTATATCAACTTTATAACACTTAATCACTGGTCCTGTCATTGGGTACTTGCTGGGTCACGAGGTTTAAAGCTGTTGTTTTTTGTTCTTCTGCATCACAAGAGCCCTTTTGCAAACCGCCTACCTATCTGACATCAGCCATCATAAGCTTCACCAATTCAGAACTTCTACCCAGCCAGATACTTTGTATGAAGCTTGGATCTTTCCGTAAAGCTAGATGGCATAAGTGCCAATCCCAGCTTAACACGATAGCATTCCCATTGAAGTTTCATACGGAAAGCCTCTGTCTCTCTCAACAATTTGATGTCCAAATGAATGAAAGGGCATATTATGAAACAAACACAAGAGACCTGTGAAGTGCAGTGACACAGCAGAAATGTACAGTATAAGCAAAAGATATCATTTGGGTTGAGAAGAGAGATGAACGTCATGTGGTGGTTTTATATGGATGTCGGTGCCAATTCTTCGCCTATTGTTTGAGAGAATTGTTATGAGCTTCGATGAGCACTGTGAGGGGAAAGTTGCCATGTCGTAATACTTAGAGTTTAGAAATACCCAGTGTTGTCAGAGTCAAAATGCTGATACAACATCATCTTGCTAATCATCTTATCGTATATCGTGAGTTGGCTCAGGCATAGTGGGCTCGGTAGTGCATATGGAGCCTAACATGAGAAAGCTAGTCCCATGGTAACACATCATATCATCGATGGTCTATATCGATAATCATGTCTGTTCAGCCCAAGTAGAAGCACATGCCAAAGTGACACAATCCCTGGAGTATTCAAGACCATTGACGTTTTGCCGTCTAAAGTAGATATATTGTACACCTGTACACAGAGTTAAACAGGGACCTAAGGAAACATCTATGCAGGACCGCCACGTATATCCTCAATCATACATCGGGTCTGGTTCGAGGCTCGGATTATTGCCCCATCAGGACCTGTTTCACTAGCGGTAACCTTTTTCGCCGAAACCTCTTATCGTTCAATTCTCTCCCTTGTCATCCATATTTGCGTTCCCCCGCGCCATTATTACATATCTAAGGGCTCTCCTTCTGAACCTTCAACAGCAGCTTCTCAAGGTCGAACTTGGGGTCTGAGGGGTCGGTGATAACTTTTGTATCTGTTAGTCAGGTGTTGCCGGTTTGCATGTGCGCGATATGCCGCTGCCAATTGCCTGAGAAGCTTTGGAGCGATATTGGATATGACGTACCATCATCACCAGATGGAGGGTTCTTCTTCTTAGCAAACTCAGCCTTGGCCTGCTGGATAAGCTTCTCCTTCTTCTCGTACTCGTGCTGCGCGTGCTCAGCCCTTTGGGAAGCAGTAATCGCTCGCTGGTGGGTGAAACCGTAGAAGACGCCCAGGCCGAGGGCGGACCACCGCAAAACCTATAAATGACTCAATTAGTCCCCATGATCCATATACAATTCAGCCCAATTGTGCCGCTCGAAAGTTCGCATTCCATAATCCGATGTCGTCGAGAGCTCGGGCTTGGGAGACGGTCGAGCGGCCGAATCGGGGGAGGATAACACGCACGTTCACTCCGGTTGAAGCCATTGGGAATAGAGTCGCAAAAAAAGGGCGGACGGGACGAAAAGCGAAAGGATCGGTATTGACGATAGTCGGGGTCGACAATGGCTTGTCAATGGACCCAGTCGGAGTGGCTCGAGGGGATTAGATGCGTCGGCTTGAGGTGAAGAATTGAAAAGTCGTCGGGAAAAGTCGCAGTTTTTCCATTCGCTGCCAACCTAAAGAGCCAGCCAACCGCTGGCGGCTGGGGAGCTCGGCCAAGCTGGAGCCAGCGAGCCGGCCAAAGTGATCACGTGCTCTGCCTCGTAGTAAGTCTGAGTGTAGGTGGAGTTAGACTTTGCTACGTATCATCACCAACTCCACTAACATTTAAGAGCTCAGTCGGGCTTGTGCAGGGGGTTCTGGGGGGTGCAAGTACCTGGAGTGCCATTGAGTCCAGTCCCGTTGCGCATGGATGGATTCAATTGGACCCCATCGCAAGCTCATTACTGTTTAACTTCTATCGCGACAAACAACCACACAAGTACATACAACTACTCTACTTCAGCATTGTGACGTGACATTGGTTTTGTTTTTTGTCCATTGTCACTGCACACTCGTTTTGAAAAGTGAATCTTTTGTTACCGTGCTCAACCATCGACGATCTACAACCTCCAAATATCATAGCTTCCCCAATATCGAGCAGTCCCGCGATGCGACTGTGGAACATCCACAATGCAGCAACGTCGAGATGAAATCCTAGCGAAGAAGGCGAAGCTCGCTGAGCTCAAGCGCCAAAGGGAGCTTCGGGCAAACGCAGCGACTGCAGGTCGTGGGAGCGTAGGAAGTTCTAGCGACGTTGGTCCCCTGATACTCTACCGCCTTTGTGCCCCTCGTTGACGTTTCTCGGCCACAGTTGATATCGCCAACCCCTGGAAGAGCGGATAACCGCCGCGAGATCGAAACCCTCATTAACAGTCTTGTTGGTGACAGCAGGCCTGGCTCAGCAGTCACAGGAGGGCCTGGCTCTCCCGCTCCTCGCGGTAGCCGTCCGAACAGTGTCCTTAGCGCTGGCGAGATTAGCAACGAACCTTCCGAAGTTACTACGCCTAGCAACATTCATATCCCCGCCCAACCGCCCCCAAGTCTCAGTACCGCTCCTCTCCTGACCGTCTTCGAATGTCCACCATCTCCAGTGAAGGAGGTATTCTCGTACAGCAAAGGCGTTCAGACCACGGAGGAATGGACAACACCTACCAGAACCAGAGCACAATCTCTCATCTCGGAGGCCGAAGATGCTCCCGCCGTAACTTCAACGCCCAGCAAGAGGCTGAGCAGGAGAGAGCGGGATCGCGAGGAAGAACTCCGACAGAAGATCAGGGAAGAGGTTGAAGAAGAGCTACGGGCGACAAAAGAATTTTTGAGTGACGGTGTCGTTCCTTCCGGGGCGGCTGCAAACCAAACTTCGAGGAACTGGACTGCTGAAGAGCTCGATGCTATTGCGCAATCGGACGATTTCTTCGATTTCCTTGAGAAGTCTACAAAGGTTATCGAGAGGGCTCTTGACCAAGAGACATATGACATTCTTACAGACTACGCTCTACAAGGCCAAGACATAGACGACGACGATGAGGACAGTGGTAATACGGGCGGCAAGGGACGACACAGGATAAAAGAAGTAGCTCAGTTCTTCGATGAGCGGTGGTCTAAGAAGCGCATGATCAGTGGAATTGACTTCTCGCCCAAATTCAACGAGCTTCTTCTCGCCTCCTACACCAAGAACCCGACAGCTCCTCACGAACCGGATGGCTTGGTCCAGGTTTGGAATATGCACATGCAAGATCGTCCCGAATACGTTTTTACTGCGCAGTCGGATGTTCTCACTGCCAAGTTCTCGCCCTATCACAGCAATTTGATCATTGGTGGTTCATACAGTGGCCAGGTCTTGCTGTGGGATACGAGAGCCAAGGCTGCGCCGGTGCAGAAGACCCCCTTGACAGGTTACGGTCACGCTCACCCTATTTACTCTGTTGACATTGTCGGTACTCAAAACGCCAACAACATCATCTCTTGCTCTACTGATGGTGTGGTTTGTGGTTGGACCATGGATGTCTTCGCTCAGCCCCAGGAACTTCTCGAATTGAAGAACCCTAGTCAGGCCAAGGTGGCTGTCGAAGACGTGAGTCCCACGTGTCTTTCTTTCCCGGATACAGATCCTACCTTCTTCCTTGTGGGTAGCGAGGAGGGTACTATCTTCCCTTGTCATCGATACGACCGTGCTGGTGCCAAGGCTGGCGTCGATAAGAAGATCAGCTACAAGGGACATACCGCCCCCGTCATGTCGGTGGATTTCCATCCTGCTAGGGGCCCCGTGGATTTGGGTGATCTGGTTATATCATCATCTCTGGATTGGAGTGTCAAGCTCTGGAAGGTCCGAGCACCTGCAGCTACGTCTACGATCGGATCTGGCGATGGTACTATTTCGCCTCTGATTGAATTCGTCCGTGAAGATGTTGTGTATGACGCCAAGTGGTCGCCCGTCAAGCCCAACATTTTCGCCTTGGTTGACGGCGCTGGTTGGTTGGAGCTTTGGGATATTGCAGTTGAGACCGAGGAACCTGTGTCCAAGATCTCACCCAGCTCTCGAAAGGATGGCAGAACCATGCTCTCGAAGAGTCTGAACAAGGTTGCTTGGGAACCTAACGATGGAAAGCGTCTTGCTACTGGTGGCATTGACGGCTCATTGACGGTATTTGAGGTTGCCAGTGGCCTCGGTGGCAAGGAGAGCCTGAAGAACGAGGACTGGTCGAACGTGAAGAAACTTGTGAACCGATTGGAGGCAGTCGGCTCCAATGGTGCGTTGATAGTTTAAGGACCTTTATTGGATGGAGCATCAGCAGCATAATCTAGTAGGCGTACGTCTTGTCTTGTGAGATAGTTGTCGACTGAATTTACCGATATACCCCAGAATCTCTGCATTCGATGCTTTATTGTAATAATTGATTGTATTGGACACTTTGAGTATCCTGACAGCTGACCAATACGTGACCCACGATGCCTTCAGCAACTGGTTCAGGCTGAGCTATTATGATGTCACGTGTGAGCTCCACATCAATATCATCCTCAACTTTTCGCGACTGGAGCTCAAATTCAACTCAAACCTCGTACAACTCATGCGAGGAACCTCGACAGCTCAGCATGAGTGTGCTACAACCTATCTGAAAGGGTGCCGTCTTCCCCGCTTCAATCATCATGATTGTTGCTATAAAAGACGTGAAGCATAACTTGGTAGGTCGCACTCCTAAAACGCACATACAATCAACATTTTATGATGGCATTCATTTTTATGAATTCTGCAATTCCGAATGCCTTTTTTGTTTTGGGCAACACGTGGACAATTTACAGCTGAATATCAACGACATTCCTTATTCATTGCTTCACTAGAGTTCTATGAATATGTTCTAACTCGACATCAGATATTCATCAAGTTTGCATCGGCGCACCATCGGGGTATCGTCCACCGGAAATTTCGAAGGCATCAGCTATCTCACCTAGAGTGTCCATCTCTTCTTCCGAAAGCGGGATGTGTTGAGCGTTCTCGTCGACTCTGGCTGCTGTGGTCGCTCCAGGTGCTGGGATTATAGTGGGAAGTCCTTTGCGGCCGTTCAGACCTCTCACCCAGTTGATGGCGAGCTGTGCTGGAGTGATACCCCTCTTTTCAGCTACAGCCTTGACTTGTTCGACAAGCTTGAGATTGTGCTGGAAAGCCTCGGGTTGGAATCGAGGGAAGGAGCTAGCAATTCCCTGGCCTTGGAACTCGGAGCTGTTGGCGAAGCGGCCAGTAAGCATCTGCGATGATTGTTAGTTATGTGAAAGTTATAGATTCAAGTAGATACACTTACGCCACGCCCGAGAGGTGCGTAGGCCATGATGGGGATGTTATGTTTTACACAAGCGGCAGCAACGCCGTTGTGTAGGATGTCTGTGCTAAACAAGCTGAGCTCAACCTCAACGAGACCGACCTTGACAATCTTGACAGCCTCTTCGATGGTGGCAGCACTGCACTCTGAGAGAGCAACACCACCAATTTTGCCAGTCTCAACGTACTCCTTCTGGATGACGCCAAGGGTTTTTTCAAAGGGAACCTTGTGGTCTCGTCTTGATGGTGCGAATAGGTCAAGCTTCTTAGTCCCACCGAGCTGGTCAATCACATTATCAATGGATCTTCGAACATTCTCAGGGGATCCATCGAGCTTAAATGCCTCGGCTTTGTAGGTTCCCTTCATGGCTATGGTGACCTTGTCGGCATCCTCGGGATATTTTGTGAAGTAGGCCTTGAGAAGAGTCATGCTGTTGTATCTTGGGGGTCCATAGAACTCGGCACCGCTCCAGAGGGTGCAGCCGTTGTTGAAGGCGGCGCGCATAGCTTCAACAGCTTGATCTAGGGGAGTTGGGTCGGGACGCCAGGTGAAGCCTATGCTTTGTTAATTTCTTACATCTTTCCATGATGAGATATCACTTACCCATGAGGCCATAGGCAACAGGGCCGACTGGCTTTCCGAGAATTTCAGTCATGTTAGTAAGTATAGTAGAGGGTTACGAAGTTGGTGTTGAGGATATCAGTAAAGGGGGTCTTGAGGGGTGTTTTGAGAAGACCCAATGATATATTTATACTCAACGGAGGCAAGGCATTTTATCTGATTTTTATCGTTATCAATCAACTATATCCATTCACAACTACGGTGATGATGTTGCGCCACTCCGATCCATCGGCATTACAGCTTCAGTATGACATAAACCCGATGTCGTACCCCGTAAACCCGCAGCAGTAGATGAGAGGTTACATTTTGCATCCATAAGCCATGCTATCAACCAAAACGGAAACAGGACGTCAGCTCATTTGTTTTGGTTGGATTCTCGGGTCTTAGACGCATAACAAGTAGTTATCGTGTTGTGACGCTACCTACTTCTAGCTAACAGTTTGTTTTATGGGATAAGTGATGATTACTTGGTTGACAGAAACTATTTCTCATTGAATTCGATAATTGGGAATACAAAATTCCGAATGCCCGGTCAATGCAGGCTGTTGCGTCTCCATGATAGTGGTGATAGCCTCAAAGTTCAATCAAGATGCCCTCATTTTGCGTCTCCGGCTCTTTCACCACTTCATTCACCGTCGCCAGCTTCTTCTCAAACTCCTTCTCAAGATCGTCCTCCACATCAGCCTCCGACAAATTCTCATGCAGATCCGCCGGTTGCACGTCGATACGCTTAGCACGACCCCTGAACTTCGGCTTCTTCTTCATAGAACTGGCCAACTTCTTATCCATTCGGCGGGCACTCGTTATATCTGCGGCACGAAGCACTTCTGGAGGCATAGGTATGACACCCCGCGCCTGAAGCCACCAGTCAGGGAACTGGGCGAGGCCAACGTCTGCAAGACCGGCTGAGGAGGTGGGCATCGTGTGCTGGTGGTGGCAGTCTGCACCCCATTTGCAGACTCCCTGTTGACACCAGTGTCGACATGGCGAGGGTAGTTGTGAGGATGGAGATGTGGTGTTGGTTGAAATTGATGGTGGTTCTCTCTTCGGGGCAGACTTTGGCTGGGCCGGCTGTTGCTGTTGGTTTTCTGGGTTGTGGCGGCTCGATGAGATTCCTTGGGCTGGTTTGAGCTTCTTCTGGGGCGTGGGGGACTGAGATAATGCTGGGGTGAATGCCCTTGGGTTCTGGTCTTCTTGATGACCATCGTGAGAGCCCGGTGGACTCAAGTTGGTAGTATCTGGCAGTGTCATTGATGTACATTCAGTATCTTCGTCCACTTCATAGCTTGCAAAAATCTCCTCCTCAGTGACAGATGCAAATCGGAGTTTGTAGATATGCTGCTCTGCATGGACGACTCCCAAGTTTCCCATATCCTTGGTTTCGTCTGGCGATAAACTTCGCGGGACGCCGACGACATCTACCCAACCAGGCAAAAGGTCGACGGGAATGAGAGGCACAGCAGTTGCGGGCTGGGCTATGATCTGCCCTGTAGGCGTGATTTTCTCGGCCCCGGGTCTGATCAGGAAGAACTGAGGCTTTGGGACGAAAGTCATGATGGCGATGACTGATGTGGTTGTGATGAGGAAAGAATAACACCATGGTTTCTAGGCGGGAAAAGTCAGATAGACATAAGCCTGAGGTGGCCATTGCTTTATATCATTCGATTAAATGCTTGCCAGCTGTGAAGTGACCCATGGATGGTGTTTGCTGCAGTACAAACAAGCACAGGTATATGCAGCTTAAATAAGTTTGTGTCATCTATCGAGCCTCCACACGGATCTTGACATCCAAACCATCCACGCAGTAACCCAATTGTCTCGGTCCATCTTTAAGCTCAACTTCTCTCTTAACCCATCTTCCTGGTTTACCTGTGTTCTCTTCTTCCTCAGCAGCGTTTGCATCGACATCCTTGCGTTCCCTCTCTTCCTCGGCATCCTCCTCGTCACTACTTTCGCCCTCTTGATCATCAAAGCCAGCGACAGGATCCCATTCTCCTGTTTCCCAGATGAGGCCAAGTTTGAGCGGCGACAAGCCAAAGAGTTTTCCAGCAATCCCTTTGACGGCGTAGATGTCGTAGGACTTGGGAATCTTTGTTGATTTCTCTTCGCCTCCTTCTACAAGGAAGCCAACAGTGACCAAACGAGCCTCCAAAAACGCAGGATTGACCTCTGACCTACGTACAATGTTTGGTGCGCCGTAAATCTCGCATAGTTCTGTGTAACGGGGATGCAGCGCCAAGACTTCTGCTTCAGCCTCTTCCGGTGCAGCTGCAAGCTGCTTTCCGATCCGAGAAAGGTAAAACATTTCAGCATTTGTTCGATCAGCCGGTGTGACTTGACTGAAGTTGAGCGATTTAAGTGAAGCCAATCGAGCAATGGTAAACATGTGAGACTCTTCTGAAGAGGATGCTTTGGCATCGGCGTCAGCAGCATCATAAAATGGATTGTGGCCAATCCTCAATCCAACCAAACCAGGGAAATGTTTGGGAAGCTTGTCCACGAATGTCCATGACTGAATGTTGTTATATGAAACATCAAGGTACTGGACGCTTTCTGAGAAGATTGGGCCGTCAACGCCCTCTGGTGCGATTGCAGTGATGTTGTTTCCCTTGAGATGAATGTTGCGCAGAGAAGTAAGTGCAGTGAGGGTGCTGACATCGACAAACGTGCTAAACTCGTTGATTTCAAGATTGATAGATGTCAAAGTCGACGGAAGGGTGCCGTAGGTTAGTTCCGGGATAGATTGGAGTTGGTTTGATCCAGCATCAAGAGCGGCTAGCGACGGACACTTTGTTGCAATGTGACAAACTTCTTCCCAGCTCATCACGGTTTCCTCCAGGGATAGTTCCTTGACGTTACTGAGAACATTCTCAGTTTTGTTGTCCAAAATCTCCTGAAATCGATTGCCACTGTGGTCGGTCAGCAAACAGTTCGCCTTTCTTGGGTGATATCACAAACTTGAGGGTAAGATGCTGGAGGTTTGGTAGCTCACGGCAAATATCAAAGACAGGGTCAAGCCGCTCAAACAGGTTTCGACTAAGATCCAGTTGCGTGATTTTGGGACATGTTTTGGAAATGATTCCCTCACTTTCGTCCTCGGCTCTTGCGCTGGCGACTTGAAGGTCCTCCAGAATCACCACCGTAAGCTCGCCAATATTGGCTTGCTTCTTGCGGATCTTCTCGAACCCAACCTCCTCAGCACGCTTCCCAAAGAATATGATCTCCTCTGCTGCCCTTCTTCCGTCTGGAAGCGTGTACTCGCCGGCATATTTGTGATTGACAGCTGCCAGGAAGTGACGCGGCGGGTCAGCCGGTCGAGAAGGCCGCACAAATGAAGCAGCGGTGGGGAATTTAGATTTGCCTGTGAGAGCCCGTCAATTTTTGTCAAAGCAAACGCAGGCAGAATGAGCCTATTTGAAGTTGAATGTTTGATCTTACAAGTGAAATAACGAACGCCCTTGTGACACCCGTCATGTTTGCCTCGGGCTGAGTCGTCCCATTCTACACCCAGCCATGTCCCTGTTGTGCCTGCGACTTCACCAATGAATCTCACTGTGCAGAGAGCGCCATCATAAGAGATGCGCTGTCCGATACGGTGTGATGTTGACATTTTTGTCCTCTGTGAGATTTCGGTAGGAGTTATGAAGGTGTTGCTTCGCTGGACATAGTAGGCGTTATTAGGTGGGAGGTTGTGAGTGGAAATTCCCACTACGCCAGAATTTCATGGTTGTACTAGGTATCATAGGTGCAGCATCAATTGGCGTCAGATGGACACCGATAGTAACATTTTACGAATCATTAATTAGTTACTAATTAGGTACGAGTCGCATACGTAGTACTCTTTAGGCTCATGTATTTTCTCGCAGTATTGTTAGAAAGTTGATACAAGGTGCAAACTGAAGCCTGGAAGCAAATCTAGGTACGTTGGACTCATCGTGACGGTGCTTGAGTACCTACCTAATTAATTGCGGGAAAACTAGCCATCTCGAATACATAGAAGCATTAATTAAAACTTGCGACTAATAAGCAATTTGATTGTATCGTATCATAATGGTAAAATAGTCTGACATCTTCAGCATATCATGATATATCCAAAATGCAATCTTGCCACAGGGTAAGGTAACTTGATCAGTTCAACAGCATCCACTTTTACAGCTCCTCAACTTACCGCCAACATCATCGCTCTCACTATACACGAAGAGCTCACCATGTCGTCTTCTTCTATCGAATGTGAGCATCGCTGTGCTCAGATGCTGTCGATGGCAATATTTCTTCAGGATGTATCTACTCGCACCGACCTCTTGAATCCAAAACGCTCCAGTTCAAAGCCTCAACAACCCCTGGCTATCCCCTCATCAAATCAACCACGACCTGATGCATCGACTGAACAAATCAGCCAGTTACCCGATAGAACTATCTAATGATGAACAAATAGGGACTTTCCCTGTGCTCTATCAATGAATTTCGGGTAAGACTTCAGTAATACGATGGACATTACCATTCATCACGACAATCACACGTTCAGGTCTTCCAATCAACAGGCGGCTAACATGTACTCAAGGAAAATCAATTGGTAAAATGCTAGTTATGGTTCATACTAAATCTAGCTACTGTCATCAAGGGTAGAGAGTGTCGGTCGTTAAATGTACATGCTCAACAATTTTCATGTGGCATTCTGGTATCGTTTCGCTCAAAATCAATTCACTCGACCAACCTTTCCCTTGGCCTGGTCACATTCCTCAAGGAAGCGATAAATTCCCTCAAGGCCCTCGTAGCTTTCCGACTGTCCAGCTACTGAACTGGCCGGAGGTGACATTGACTCGTATCCGTCCGTCTCAGCCAACCACGGGTTGTCAGCCATTTCGTCCAAACACTCAGCGTGAACAAAATATTCCTCGTCAAGAGTCGAGATCTCATCGGTATCATAACCTTCCAAAGACCGAAGTGATACGCTTTGCGGTTTAGCACTGTCAGGGGCGAATGGAAACTTGAGGGCCACTGGTACACCGGCAACCTCGTCAAACTCGGGATCTTGACCCACCACACCGCGCTGAATCCCAAGATCATCACATAATCGCTCGATGGTTTCAGCGTCGACGCCGGGGAAGCGGACTCGAAGAGTGTTGTGCTTTTCTAATAAAACTGGAAGGTCACCTAAAATCGCAAGCTTCCGGAGGTCGGTATCGACCGCTCTGAGATCCTGTAATGCTCGACCAAAGTCAGAAGCCAAAACATCGAGGAAACCCTCGGTGTTGAGAGAAGCACCAGCGGCAGCAGCCTCGGCCTTGAAACCAGAGGTCTCAGAGGCAAAGGGAATAGCGGCGGCAAGAGGGCTAAGAGCTGTAACGGTGGGGCTGAGGTTGAAGTCAACGTAAGCGCCGGGGGTGTTGTTGGAGAAGGCGGAGAGCTTGTTCATGGCCTGGTCTTCAACAGGCGAGACCGCTCGGTACTGTCGATCACCTCGAGGGCTGAGGCCATCATAGCGGAGCTTCTGGCCAGAAAGGAAGAATGCTCTCATAGCTTGAGAGACATTCTGCACGACCTGGGCCGGAGCGGCCGGACCATGGGAGAAGTATCGAGCACTTCCTCCAAGGCTATATCCACCGGCACTTCGGGGGAAAGCTCCACCCGTCAAATTGGGACGGAGAGCGTTGGCAAAAGGAGCTCGACCAGAGAACTGCGCAACACGTCGTGAAGTGTTCGAGCTCGGGAGCTTAGATCGGTCGAAGCGAGCAGCCTTGGACTCGGAGCTAACGAACCTCCGAATGACCCGGTTGACGTTCTGGGCCGTGGAGCTCGAAAACCATCGACCGGTATGGCGTCTCTGCTGTCGAAGAGCAGCAACGGGGTGAATGGGCTGTCGAGCAACTCTGGCGGATCTGAGATGGTTTTGCAGGGGCCGTGCTATAACATCGAGTTTAGTCCGAACCACGTTTGTGGTTTTGGCCACAGCGACTCGCAGGAGCTGCCGGGTCGCTGGACCCCACAACGCCTGTAAGGACGCCATAGTGAATTCGTATCTCGTTTGAACTCCAACTCGGTTGGAAAATAGGTTGGAGAGTTCAAGTACAACGCATACATCGAGGGCGCTTATGAGACCCTTTATGGCGGTGATAATTCGCCACATCATGCGCCACACGGAAGGGGTCGGGTGGCGGATTGCGGGGTCTAACTAAAGCCAAAACGGACTAGGGCAGGTGTACAGTCAGCAATTCCAACCTCCACCAACAATAAATTTTCTTGACTTCGTGCTTTCTTCGCTGAAAACCTCTTCTCTTCATTCCTCAAGGTCTGGCTCGCGCACGCGATGCGAAAGCGTTGTCAATTCTGCGCAGCCATGACCTTTTCTTTTTTCTAGGTAAGACTCTACTCTTCTCCTGCTTTCTTGTCTGCTTTTTATGATGAACATCATACACGAACAATCCAAATCAGACCAACCAATGGTGATTTAGCAATCTCTAGAATTACACTGAGAAAGCTTTGGACTTCAGCATTTGCAGGACACCTCTGTCTTGAATCCTTTACTGACCAGTCACCAGTTGTTTTGTTTTGCTTGCTATCCATCTGCTGGACGCGCTTGCCGGTCGAGCGCGTCGATTTTTGCTACAAACTCAAAAGGTTGGTACACATTCTTTCTTTCTTCACATTCCCCCCCCTCTCCGTATGATGATCAAAACGACACCTTAGGGATTCCTCATTCTTAATATACTATGTGGATACTGTTGTATTAGTTTCAGCCTTGTCTGACTGGAGATCACAACGCACCTTTGCTTGCTTCACTATCATGACTGCAATTGCTAACTCGCGTTTGTCAATAGGTAATGCTACTTGCCCTCCTCATATCGAGCTCTCCCTGGCCACTGTATGATGAAGATTTGAACGAACGGGCGGACATAAACGAGTACTGCTGCCTCCCGCCCTAGAAAAGCAAGGACGTACAAATCCTTGTGGTGGGTGTGTAGTGGGACCTCTTGTTGATACTTCGTCACCTGATCGTGGCTATCTTGGAAATGGATTCTTGTCGATGTCTGGTTGAGGAACCGGTGGCTGACTGTTGAGGATCTAGGTACCTAGACAAAGAATTCTTTCTCTTGCATATCCATCTCTTTCGTGATGAGTTATTTCAAAATTGTATTCACACTGTTTGATTCGGGATCCTCGGATTCTGGGACATGAACACAACAGCAACTTCTGATTGATTGGTACGCGACTCACCACTTGTCGACATGCTTGGGACCTCATCACTAACCTGAACAGATTGCATCTTACGCTTTTTTGCTGCACTCAAAAATGATGCGGCCATGCTGACTCCGCCGTAGGTAAACAAGAGATACGCCAATGCCGTTATCCAGCACTTTATGGTAAGGAAAACCTTTTTCATTCATACACATCGACCCCTACCATATGATGACCACGCTATTATTAGCTCTATCCGAGTTCATCGTGACGAACAACCTATTCACCTTGGAGAACTGATCTGGTTCCCTTTATATTCTTTCTTATGAGATATTTTGGAGAACGTCGCAGCTAACAAGCTTTGATAGATTCACGATTATATGAAGTCACATGCATCCCTTATAGATGATGCAACAACCAATTAATAAATATCATTCTTTGATCATCGAGTCTTTTCCCATGCTGTATAATCTTGTGCTTGCTATTGTGAATAATTATATGTCTAAGTATCTGTCAAAGTAAAATTGATGTCTAAGCTTTTGTGTCATGGTATCTAAATGCCAAACGCCCATTCCTATCATTGCTGCGCTGACCTCATGAGCTGCAGTCTTGCATTCATTCCAACAATGCAACGGATCAGATCCCAGTCATCTCTATGACCTACCCAGTCAGTAACAACGATGCCAGTGGCTGCTGAGCCGATCTTGAGCTTGTTGGGTCCCTTGCCTTCCTCTCCATGGCACATGCAGAGGTATTCGATAACAGAGGGGTTGACCTTGGCGGCGATGCGCTCTGGCCAACAGGTAGCATTGAAGAAGTTGCTTGCTGTCAGAAAGTTGATGATGAACGGAGGCAGATTAACACCCTCTTTATGACCGTTCAAGCCAGTGTGGGCAAATGTCTGTTCAGCAGCGCGCTCGAGCTGTCGGCGACAGAACTCGATCTTCTTCTGGATGTTTTGGCTCTCGGTGACTGTGTAGAAATCCTGAACGTGGATATGCTCTCCTTCACCCACCTTTCCGTCTTCACAATTGTCAGGCCAGTCGCCTGCATCGATACCCCAGCCACAGCCATCCCAGCATGAGTTATGCATCTCCTCATCCAAGTAAAATCGTCGGACGATAATAATGCGGCCACGAGCACTGCCTAGAGTGGGAATTCTGGGCTCAGTCCACCAGCGGTCTTGCCTCTTGTCAACGTAGCTGTGCTTCAGGTATTTACCGAGCTGCTGGTCGCTACCTCTGCCAGTACCCTCGCGCTTGATACTCATGATGATGGTTTCGCTTGTGTTCTCGTCGAGGAACTTATAGATGTCTTCGACCATGTGTCTAAAGTACCTGGTTCCAGTCAAAGAGATGGGAAATACACTGTGAACAAGAGCAAGATCATCACTGCTGGGGCTTACAGAAACCCGAATGTCCAGGAAGCGGACGCCATTTCGGAGTTGCTCTGGAATGTCCACAGCTTGACATCGAACAGAAGGAAGGGCGGTAAAGCATGTTGGTGAGTTGTGCGTGCCAGGAATGGACAGCAAAGGGAGAGGCCAATCGTCGTGAAGTTCTTCCATCCATCTATGGAGCTGAGCAGATGAGAAGATGGCGAGGAAAGTGCCGTTGGGGGTGTAAACGACAGTCAAGTCGTGTTTTCCGCCATCGAGATTCTTCATAACAGACGACTTATTGGCGGGGCTTGGGATATCGACTTCATATTTGTAACCCTCATATTTGAAGGTGAGGCGAACAACCTCCTTGTTCTTATCGGCAGATCGAATCTCGGTATCTTTGACCTCGAAAGGAGCGATATTGACGGATGCTTCCTCCTTGAGAATCGCATCACCTTTTGCATGTGTTTTGTGTGAACTGCTCATGAAGCTTGTCATGCTGGAAAGAACACCGCCTGTTCTGACACGTTGACCTTCAAACCTCTCAACCTCGATGAGTTCGATGGGGTTTATGGTAAGATTGCGAATGGTGAGATTGGCCATGGCTGCGGTTGTCGTAGAATGAGAATGAGAATGGTAATGAGAATGAGGTGAGCAATACGGAATGATGGCGTCTGTTGAGCACCGTTGTAGGAATTTGACAAAGGCTACTCTGTGAGTCTCGAGCAGATGGAAACAAGATCTGTTCAGCTCCAAGTAAAGAAAAACCTCCACCAAGTGCACCAACAGACGAAAGATGCTTGCGCATACAGCTACAGCTACGGCCATCAAAGTATAGAAACAGAGTTGAGATTTGGTGGAGATGGAGGCGAGAGCTCACTGTTGAGCACGGATCATTGCAGTGGGTACCTTGGCTATTGGCTGCTAAAAAGACGGTAAGAGTCTTGGACTTGAAGAAATGCATTGTCTACCATCTTCGCAATTAGCCGATTGCTGAAGATTGATAAGGCTCGTTATAGTTCAAATCCTTCTTTTTCCTTCATGTCTGTTCCCAAGGTGCTGAGATATGGAAATACTGGATACCTCTATTAATCATGGGTCCCACTGTTTCCCAAGTGCTTATGTCTCTCCTAGCAGCCATGTTTCTCATCAACGGTTCCAAGAGTTGATTCGAATGAAAGAACAGAAAAGTGCTGGAAGAAGCCCCTGCCTGGCCAAGGCGATGATTCGTAAGAGCTTAGTTGTCAGTTGTATATTCTTGGCAAGCAGACTTGGCCACAGTCAATCGTCACACCCATAAGTGACACCACCCGTCTGATACCTTTGACTATGTCGAGTTCAAAGGAGTATACCAGTGACCAAGAGTGTCCTAGTATTAGCGGGCGTCAATAGCCATCTGGAAAACAAAAGGGATCGACACCGCTTGATCGACCCGAACCTCTCAACTGGGACAACAATTGGGAAGGGACCAGAGAGAAGGGTGCCCGTGCTTTATTCGGTAGAAAGCTACCATTCCATCGGAATGGTTGTGCTTACCAACCGACTGGTGATAGAAACGCAGACGCCATAAATACTGTAGCGTGGGGTGTGATGACAGCGGGAATGGCGCTGTAGATGTGAACTATTGAGCAAGCTCAGAGACGATGACGATGGCTAAGGCGGAAGATGGGCTGTAGTCTGGTGCCGAGTTCTCAAGTTGATAGCAACAGGCCAACACGCTGTGTGGCTGACCTTCCAATCACTGCTAACTAAGTAGCCAGCTTATCTGTGGCTTCCAAAGGCAAATGCTTCCAATTGCTCATACGCCTTGCCAAGGTCGTCATTAGTGATGACAATATCATAAACTCCAGAAGTTTCGGCATACTGGAGTTCATGTTTGGCTCGGGCCAGGCGCCTCTGTATGCTTTCTTCAGTCTCCGTCTCTCGGCCACGAAGTCGTTCCTCAAGAGTCTTAAGACTCGGAGGTGTTATAAACACACAGCGTGCATCAAGGCTTCCAGACTCAACGATTGCCTTGACGCCCTCGACATCTATGTCAAGTAAAGCAGTAGACCCTTGCAGCTTTTGACGAGCAACGGTATCTTTGCTTGTGCCGTAATGATTGCCACTGAAGAGCGTGTGTTCAATGAAACGGCCCCTTGTGATCATTTCCGAGAAGATAGCAGGAGAAACAAAGTGGTACGCAATCCCCTCCTTCTCTCCTGGGCGTGGCTTGCGTGTTGTATGAGAGACAGTCGCTGAGAACTGGCCTGGGTTGGAATCAATGAGCATTTGCATCAGTGTGCCTTTGCCAACACCAGAAGGACCCGAGATAATGATGGGTCGGAGATCAGGGGATGAAACAGCTGAGGAGGCATTAGGACTACCCAGAAGAGTATGATGGGAACGGTTGTAGCTACCTCGAGCCTGAGAAGCGGTCTTGTCCGTCAACATGATTGTCGGGATTGTTGTAAATCTAGTGATGGTTGAAGTTGTCTGGATGAAGCAAGTGAGATGAGTGAGCCGGTGTCAAGGACTCTCATTTACATTCGTTCTCACTAAACTGGCTGTGTCTGCTGTACAGGGTCGTAGGCTTTTGTGCGAGCGAGTCACAGCTGTGTTGACGATAGTTAGAGTTCAGTTGCTGCGAACAACTTTTTCTGTAATGAACCTATTGAACCTTGATCTGCCAGAGGAAGTCAACCTTATTGTTCAGTCAACTACTGAAATCCTGCAAAATGCAAATGAAACTGGTTGTGATGTTGGTAGAATGGAAGCAACTCAAGTCTTCATATGATGAATTGATAAGGTGATTTATTCAGCAATCGTGAGGCAAGTACCTAAGCATATGTATTAGGTAGATCAGTGACATACTCCTTCTGATCATCTGGGCATCCCATCTGTCTCACATCCACTGCCTCCATATTGGCGCTGTCCTCCCTCCCGTCAGGTAATACCTGCAGCAGCAGTAACACTCAACTCCCTAAACCCGGTGTGTCCTCTAATTGTCATCAAAAGGCCGTAAATTCTGCTCATCTCAAAAACGCTATCTCGAAACAAAAGTCTGAGACTGAAGCACAAACAAGAAACGCTTGAATACAGGTTCTCTCCATCTCCACACTCGTCAGAAACAACAGCGAGTTATTTTGTCTCCCTCTTTCAGAAATAAACGTCCCTGTATCGCCAGTCATCTGGGAAATCATGTTCTTATTATCCAGACGCTAGATAGGAACAGATCGTAAATAAAAGCCAGTATGCCAAGATGTATCTTGGCCGGTTTACTGGCTTGATCGGCGTCTCTTTGCCGGCATAAAGCCTTCATCTTCGTCCTCATCATCATCGCGAGGTCTTCGGACTGAAGGGATACTGCGCTTTTGAAGGAGCTCGCCGATGACATCTCGGCTTCCGATGACATTGCCTGTGCCTTCAACGACAAGACCAGCATCTACATCAATCTTCAGAGGTCGTGGGCATCCAGATTCATCAATCATTGGGATGCCACAGCGTCCAGAGCTCCCCTCATGCAGAGCCTGTACAACCGCTCTGGCAATAGCATTGGCTTGCTCTGCAGGCGTGGCTGTCAAGCATACAATGTTGTTACTGCGTGACACCTTGACGGATGTGTCGATGCGTAGACTGATTGGTGAGCTTCCCTCGGATGTCTCGTCCTGATCATCAGAGACATTGTCGGAAAGCAGTGTATTGCCGGCAACTGTTGGGCGCTCCGCTTGTTGCATACGATTAGACATATTGGCGATGGAACTTCGTGCTTCAAGAAGTTGTGTCACCAATGAAGCGACTTGAGGAGGAATACGTCTTGGAGTATATGCTGGAGGAGGAGTGTTGTCTTTGGGAACGGTGACTTGAGGGTCTTGAGGCTGAGGAGTGCTGTTGGGAGGGTCCATGTTTGTTTTATGTGTGTTGAGGTATATGATGACAGCAGAAGAACTTTTATGAATGTGCCTCCGATTTATGTACTCTTTCAAGAAGGTAGTAGATGAAGAGGGTGCGGGTGCGGGTGGTAGCTGATTTGTAGAAAAGTAAAGAGGTTGCTGCTAATCCGGAGACGTCCTGATATCCCAGTATGGCAGGACGATCGTTTATGAAACTTTCTCAACGAGGAGATTGCCGTTTACGCCAACGGGAAGACAAGAACTTGTTCTCGACACAATAGGAAAGGTCGGGATGTAGTATGGTGGTCGAGAGATATGCGCCACCTATGATAGGGTTGTCTCTGGCTTGCTAGGCTTGTGGTGACGCGAGAATGAAATGATACGCAGGATAGAGTTAAGAGAGAAATTCGGAGATTGATCTGGTATTCACGGTGGAAAGAATGTTTACATATAGTTGGACTGAAGGGAGGCCAGGAAAAGGGGGAAACATGCAAGCGAGTCGTCTCCTTGACTTTGGTCATGGAGTGTTGGACAATACAGAACAGAACCTATTCAATACCTGATTGATTGTCTGTACGTGGAGCCGCGACGGGTTTCTACAGCACAATAGTGCAGTCAACAGCAAACAAGATCCGTAGAAGAATCCCATCTACCCGCGCAGGGGAAGAGGGTGGGTGTGTGTGAAAACATGACATGACATGCATGGACCCTGGTTGAGACTCTGTAAGCCATCATTTCCCATACAACTACAATAGCTCAGGGTAAGAGGATGAATGGATCCTTCAATCTCAGCCTGAACCTGAACCTGACTCTCATGTACATACAGTAGAGAGAGTCTTGTACTCTAGCTGATTCAGCCAGGATCAAGCCACCAACAGAGCCGAGGCATCAAGATTATATGTCACAAGCAGGTTCCCGAGGAGGGCAGGGCGTGGCTAAGACGACCAAAGGATACAACCTCTGAGCCTCAGCCGAAAGTTACGTCCGTTCTGGCGGGTTCAGTTCTGGACTGAAATGAACTGAACTGAACTGCATTGTGCCCAATGTGCTCTTGTGAGCATTTCCTCAAAAGGCTGATGATGATGAATAATAACTATACACGCCCCCTCCACACCTGTAAAAAGGGCTGAAACCAACGCGAGGACCACCCCAATACCATCTCCGTGGAATGGGATGGACTCTAGCACCGGATAGGGCAATTAAAGTACTGTACTGTACGTACCAGTAGGTTTACATCGAGACATAAAACATGTGTATTGTAATGTCTTATTTTTGCTTGTTGGCGGGATGCTATTGCCTATTGATAGACGCTGAGGATGGCTGCATAGCTATTTATTTCCTTCTTCGGCGTTTGTTCGTTAACGTTAACTATCAGGTGCTTGTATTCAAACGTTGGCTATTATGTGAACTTCCTTTTGACAAATGATTTATGAAAGGACTTTTTGGCACAGGACCTGCTGCTGTGTTACCATGCTATGCAGTATTCCGATGTTATGGTGTTCTGATTATTCAAGTAACATGTGAGACTGTAGCAGATCAGCAGCAGCCACGAGGAGGATAACCCAACAAGTTATGCATCCGTCAGAGACAGTAATTCTGACATAAAACAAGTGACGATCATTGAAGGTATCGTTGGTGGTCAATCAACCACTTACTACAGCCTACCTGCCTGGGTCACTAACTTGGTACTGGCAATATTGCCTCATCTTGGTATAGCATCTTCATAGTCTCCCCCTTGCTGAAAAACTTGCCGAATCGGCAAGTGCTATCCATCAAAATTGGCCAGGTAAGGAAGCAGGGAGAGAGGTAGGTTGGCAGATAGAAAAGCGGAAGGCGTCAAGTGGCTGTTGAGGCGTGGCTTGGCGGCTTGCAGCTTCCTATTGTCCTCAAAACGCGCTTGGTATTGTTGTCGGATAGCCCCTCCCTGCCCTGTAAAGTAAGGCCGTTCCCGACCGATTGGGCTGAATCGAGGCACCGGCCACGGGTGACACCTTCCGTCTATTGCCCTCTATTGAAGCTCACTTCGGGCTTAGTGCCCGTAGCACAGACCCGCTTTTACGGAGTCCCGCCGCCTTCCACAACCATCACAGAGTCATTGACGGTCTCCAAGCTGCTGCCTCCCTTGCAACTTTCATTCTCCAACCTCAGCCAACACAAGGATAAATGTACCATTAACAATCGACAATAGGGAATCTTGCTGGGATCCCAAGGTACCTATGCACGGCTACCTATGCATGATCCAAAACGGTCACACGCCATTCATCATCCTACGGCAAGCTCTACGACTGGACACACCACCTCTATACTGTACAGACAAACAAACAATACCATATCATATCATCCAATCCATACACACAACTCAGTTCGCCGAACAAGCCTGTCACTTCTTTTGGTCCTTCTCGACAACAAGGCAATGACCCATGTCATTGTCACCAACTATCGCTTACAGTAGCAATTAGCGGCACCATCTGGTGTCTGCTTCTCCTGCAGATCCTAGGCCAAATTCCGGCCGTGACGACTGCCAAACCATTGCCTCGGTGCTGTTGACTATTCAAGCTTGGGCCTCTTCGCCTCCAAAATGCACCTTTTCTACGCTTCTGAACCTTCAGCGCCTGGACCGTACTTACCAGCAGAGTGATTACGCTATAATGGCGTGCCGGGACGATCCTCTTCTCATCCGGCCTGCTGGGTCTTGACTCACTGGACTGTGTATGTCGAATATGCTAATTCTTCCAGCCTTGCTACTCGTTATTCACCGTTGGATGTTGACACTATCAGAAGCAATGCACTGGCTAGCCTTTGCTACATTCTATATGAACCGCCTTTCGGAAACAAGAGGCCGTTCCGTTCCGTTCTGTCACATTCTTGTTCTGAAGTACCCTGTGGATCAGCAGTATACACGACGTATCTACTCTCTTTCACGTCCCAATACGCCCGATCTGCTCCCAACGGGAAGACTCCATAGCCTTTCGTCAGCAACTGCCGATACTGTTATGTGATCGGCTCTCTTTGATCGCCTCACCTAGACATGCGTTTTCTGTTTCAAACAAACAATGATGTATATGCACGATGAAAAGATTCTCTTGGCTTGGCGTCCCGCTTGGTTCGGTCTCCTTCCACCTCTATCGGTACACACTTCTTTAAAGAACAATGCATACACAGCATGTTAGATGTTATTCCCGTGTTTCAAGACAGGCATCTGAGAGGACACGCCCCCTCCCAGGAAAACTGCTTGAACAACACTTCCGCTCGGGAAATGAATAGGTCCGGATAACTTGCTCAACGGGCAAACCTGAGTTGGTTGGTCGAAGATCTAAACCAACAAGCAAACAAATCAGAAGCTTCTAAATATGTGTCATCCTCAGATCATGCTCTTTAGCTCCATATTCGCCGAAAAGATTCTCCTAGTGGCTCTCACAAGGTCAGGTCATTTCGACGAGAGAACCGAATGCAACTGACTGAGTTCTTTTTACCTCCTTGGTACTTAAGAAACCATGGATCTATCTTCCGAACATGACGGACGAGCGATCTATAGGTGGCAGATTAACGTGCCTTGACAGGTTAAAGTCGCTCTTTAAAGTGTCCAGCCGGAACTCACCGGCCTTCTACATGCAGACGCGCTGGTGCAAAACAAACATCGGTATAATGGAGATTATCTTCGCTTATCTAACTAACTGAAAAATCGGCTGCAACCTCCTTCAGTTGAGCCAGTAGCGCGGAGTTCCGCGTCCCACTTCATGTCTATACATGTTCCATATCGTCCTCCAAATGTCACTCGGATCCAGGCCATCGGCAACTACAGAGCGATTCGATCGGTGCCAAGCATATTGCGCCATTACAAGAGCATCTGGTTCTTGCATCGAACATACTTCCGGTGTCTTGATTTCGCGAAGTCGCGATTGCGAAGAAAGAGGATGTAACATACTGGTCCACCCTCAAGAGATTCCATCCACCAGCCAAATACTCGTACTCCCAAGTATCACTCCAAATAGGCAGGAAGCTATCATGATTTGCACCACAAGTTTGCATGCCCTCACTCTTGTTACGGATATGAATACTCTTTCGTCCGTGCTCTTCCCTGCTTGATGCAAGCGAAGCTATCCTAATGTTTCCCATCACAAGCCACTGATATCTCATGCACAGGCTGGTTCTAGGTGTCCAACGATACGCATGATGTTTGTCTCACAACACTCTGTAAAAAGAAAGCTCCGGTCAAGCAGGGATATGTATGAAGAATAGGCTACTGGAGGCCATGTCCTTCATCACATTTAAGAAACTTAGGCAACTTTTGCTGCAGGCGAGATAATTGCTAGTAGCGAAGTATAGACATGTTTCAGCCTTGAGGGCCATTCACTCAAGTTCCAAGTATAGATACTACCAGTCAATCATCACAATAGCCACCCAGTAGACCCCTACCATGTGGCATGAGATGCGGAAGCTCGCCCTTGCGTGAGTTTAGTGATTGGCACAGCCTCAGAGGATTTGCAATGTGCATTCATGGTCAACCTTGGCCGCATCTAGCACTTCAAACCCGAGCTATTCGGACTTAACTCTCTTGTTTATTGTTACATGTTTCAGCTGGCCGTTTACTACTCGTGACTGTTTGGTCTCTGCAGGGGGTCATCACTGGAATGAAAAATGAACACTCCTTCCGGGAATATCAACGTCTTTTGAACGCGTTTAGCTAGTCCCAGCCCTGGTGACTGTCCTCCAGAAGAGCACATTAGGCTTTTGTGATACCCCATACTAGGTACGACACGACATCATGCATAAGAGATGAGTTCAATGAAATAGCCTTTCCTTCCCCCCTTCGGCTTTCGCTTTTATAACTTTTCGAACAACTGTGTCATTGGGTTCATGGCATTCTATAAGGCCGTTTGTACTGCAATGTTGATTTGCTATATGCTACTACAAGCCACCCCGGGATACGGCCCGCAGTGGAATATCTCTCTAGGAGTTTCCTTTTCGGTAACTCTTCGTACTTCATGTTGCTCTCGTGGCCTGACCCGATG